GAGAGAGAGACACACACACACACAGAGGCTGCCGGCCCGCCCCCTCCACGCCACGCCAGGATCTACCTCGCCTGCATCCTCCCCGTCCCTCGACGGCACACGAGGGTCTTGCTGCACCCTCTCTCGCCCATGCCTGCCTGTCGGCCTGATAAAACTTTGCGTCGCCAACCCCATTTCTCTCGTCTCTCCGACCCAATCTGCTGCGTAAGAGAAACCCATTTTCTCCCACACTCGGCGCTCTATCCCTAAACCCCAGGATCCCGTCCCCGCTCCCACTGGCTGTCAACTCCCTCACCGCTGGGATTCTCGGAATGCAACTAATATTCGACCTCACTTCACCTTGGATGCTGCTTTTTTTTCAACCGGCCTTCCGCGTACATAGCACGCCGGCCAAATCATCATCGGGCCCTTGCGGAGGGGGGGGGGAGGGGAGCGTGTACCACCGACCGACGCCTACTTTGGGACATGGGTTCCCTTTGCGGTATCCTGCTACCGTGACACAAACTAGTCCTGTATACTCGCACTCGCGCTCGAGAAGTTTGGCCAGCACCGACGCCCAATCTCACGCCGGGCTATAGCAAAGACCAACTATACGTCCGCAGCCAGCGCGCTAGCCCGCATTGGGCCGCGAATCAACCGTCGTCGTCGTATGCCTTTTGATTCTTGCAATGCAATGCACGCCCCACGACCATCGCCATGTCTGCTTCTCTTGCTCGCTCGTCGGCTCGCTCGACGCCTGCTCTGCCTGGATCCACAGCGCGAGATGGGCCATGGAACTCGAGGCTTCATAGACTTTGACTGGGTGGGTCGACGTCGGGCGCTAGTAGCCTAATACTATCGCTGCCAAGCCTTATCGCCTCATACGGCGGCCAGATGGCTCCTTGATAGCCATGGCGCCTCGAGTGCGAGTATCCTGTGTTATCAACCCAACCACGGCTCCTTCTGCGTCGCTGACGGTGGTTGCAAACCCACCACCCATGGATTCCAGTTACGTCGACCTATGCACAGTCAGCCACGACGCCGCACGACAATGGTCCTGTCCGTCGTCGGCGGCTGTGGAAGGATGATGATGCGCAGTGCCGGAGCAGTAGCGGGCGGGCTGGCTTGCAACTCTGGTGTTTGAGGTTCCCGTCCTACGTCGTCTTGGCTTGGCTTGGTATGAGGCGATGCGATTCGACATGCCGCCCTCGTACGGACACGATGGCTTGCAGCTGCTGCAGCAACGAGAGCGCTTGATGCCACATCCTTTTGCACCCTGTGCTGCAAGTCATTTTGCAAAGCACACACACACACTGCATTCGCAGTCCACGCCAACGCGGAGGCGCTGCTGGTGAAAATAGCCATCGCACCCAAGCACCCAAGCAGGTCCAGCGCCAACCCGACAAATGGCAGAGACGCAGAGCGGTTCGGAGAATTTCTCGCAAGCACCAGCACGCAGCAGTCGAGTATATACAAAGTGCTAACCCGCCAAGCCACTCGTGTTGCAGAGCTATCGACACTTTTGCATGACTAGCGTGCTCGGGTATACCGATCAGCCGTGGGTGGCAAGGCCATGGAGTCATTGGCACAAACGGTGAATCAGTCAGTCAGTCAGTCAGTCACTGGCACCTGTTGTGAAGCATGCCAGCACTTGGCCACCATTGCACGACGGCGACGGCGACGACCATGACGAGCGCGACCTGACAGGCCACTGTAACGTGCCGCCCATGTCGCCAGGGCGTGAAACACTCGACTGCGGCAGACGGCTTACTCGACTAGCAGCGTCTACACCTACGCTGTGGATAGACGTCAGATCAGACGCCCGGCAAGTGGAGCATTGGCAGCACCAGGCCGCTTGCATGTAGCCGCAGGCCAAGTTGCGTGCAACCTCGCGGGGTGCTTTGGCCCGAGTCGTTCAGCTCCAAGCCAGCCGCGGCTCTGAATTGCATGGGCAGAGCCCAGCTGGTGGCCGCCGGCCGTGGCGTGTTGCTGGTCGACTGCAACTATAACAACAACTCGAGAGATCAACACGAAAACCGTTATGCGCACCGTAATCGCAATGGCTCGCCTCGCTTACTCGCGCCCCACGAATGGCCGCGCGCGCCAGGCCACCATCTCTCGAACCGTACAAACCCCTCAGCTGCGACACGCAGCCTCTGCATCCCAAGCCTCGCTAGCAACTGGCACATCCGATCTGGTCCTTTGCTCCCCTGCACACCATCGTCACGGAGCGGGCCCATCGGCGCCTACCAATCTGCTTTGAGACGGGCACCTTTGTTCAATCGAGCCCTCCGGTGGTGTGATTGTGCCCGCAACCCTCCCGCTCGCCCTCGCGCCCAAACTGCGGCTGCACCTTGGTGCTGACTGTCTGCAGCATCGTCCAAGCCATGCCACCACCAGCGAACAGCAAGCCACCCATGTGACGTTGGCCCCCAGACATGCGCCTCTTACGTTTTGCCGCAATGTTTTGGGGCATGCTCCAAATGCACCCACCGCGTGCCCAACTGCTTTCTGCAGCACGCGTACGATTGCCAGCCGAGTTGGCGCTGGCTCTGGCTTGCTATGCCTCGAGCACTCGCACAGCAGCGACTGCATCTTCTCTTCTCCACTTCCAACTTTCTGCTGCCGTCCGGGCCCTTTTCTTGCACCATGGCGGCCATGGCACCATATCCGCCGTTGCTGTCCGCGGACATGTGCGCCCTGCCAAGCTGGATTGCAACCACCCACCCCTCCCCTCGCCCTCTTATGGGGAGCCTCTCGGTATCTATCGACGGGGACATGCCATGGAGATTACTCCCCATCCTCCGCCTCCGGGTATTCCTCCACGCCTCGTCTGAATGCATCTGTCTTACCCTCTAGCTCGTATCGCAGCCTGATTACTCTTGTTTCATCATGCCACTTTTCCCTCTGGAGCAGCAGCGACTGCATGTCCGAAATCTCGACCGTCTGTGGGCAAAGCCGCTAAGATGCGCGATCCTAGCGCCGTGTAGAGCTAAGCTTCTCACGCCAAGTAGCCGCTTGCGGGCAACGGGTGCCGCTCCGGACACACCGGATGGAAACTATCCACGACCGACAACGGATGCCACAAATTCAAGGTCGGTAGCAACGGCATCGGCTTGCTCTGCCATGGACGTCTTGACTATGCTTGTCGTCTAACCGTGGCTGGAGGTGCGCCCATTCCACGCCAGCCTTGCACAACCCGGTAAACACCCTCGCCACGGATCGGTTTCTGTTTCTGAACGCTTCGGCGCCACCCATGGCCTGCCTGGATCGGCTTAGCAGGATGCCAACCGAAGCCGTCCCGTGTGCAACAATACCAATACTCTCGTGGCCCGGCATACTGTAATGGGTTTAATTAAACGTCTCCACACGTGAATAACAGCATCCACACGCACACGCGCTTGATGGTTCAGCAATAGCCCCACAGGAGGCTGTCCCCGCCGTCCCCGAACAGCTGCCCGCGCAAGGGTCTGTCAACTTTATTCTCAACACTGTACAAATGTCAAGCAACGACTCCGGGATGCTGGCACGCCGCATCCTCGCCGCATGCCCGTCAGTGCTTGTCGGCGTCAATGTCCGTATATTACATGAAGCAATTCTATCATGGTCTTGATTTTGCTTGTTCAAAGACCACATGGTGGTTGGCTATGCATATCCAGGGAAAACCTGGCACCAAGGTTGGCCCTTTTTCAACTCTATCCGAACGCATGGACAGTCCCATGGCTCGACACCCTCTGATCTCCTGCGCTCATCTACCGTCATACTCGTCTCCCTATCCTCTCACTCGGTTCCAATACGATCATGTATAGCCGTCCCTGTCGTTCTTACGATTATCTTTCATTCCTCTGCTTACATAACACGCATCGTCTCTCCGCGGTTAGGATCCCAAGTCATGAATACCCCAAATGAGAACTCATTTCTGGGTGACACGGGCGTCATCGACTCCGATGTTTGGTGTCGGTGAGCGTCCGTGTACGAAAACCGGAGTCGCGTACCGATCAAAGTTTCCATCAGATGATGCGCAATGCTTCCTATCATTTATTTTTTTTTCCTGTGATTTAAAGCAATCTCGCACATACATTGTCTGATTTCGAAAATGAAGCGAAGGGTGCACAGGCGGGCACATGGCATCTCACATCCAACCTTAGACCCATGGTTCCGATCGCATGCGTTGCTGGAATAAGCAGAATCATGAGCTTTCATCTTCACCGGAACTGCAAAGGAACTGGAACGGAACTTTCCACAAAAAGAGTGGTTCACATGTCTCCACAACATACAGAAACCCAGTGTACGAACATTGGAGGTTCCCTCTTCTTGGCACAAGCTCAAATCGGCACTGGAAGCTTGGTGGTTGCAGCATCAGTGCGGACCCATATACATCAGGCGTCGATGCGTCACGCTACAGCCAAAGTCTTCCTAAAAGCCCTAATTCACAATAAAGCAACTACCCTCCATCGCCATACGTGTGGAAACAAGCTCCGACATGGTGCACAGAGCCTTGTGCTTGTGCAGTACAGGGTGCAGAGGCACTTCCCTCAAATCGTGTAGCCCTGGTCTGCTAGTGCGAGCTTTCCTTCATCAACAGGACTCGACGTTCCGTATTTGCAGTCGGTCTGTGCTCAAGGTGGTGAGCAGTAATGAGAAGAAGAAAAAAGGAGTGCTAGAAAAAGCGATATGCAACGAAGAATCTTCTGCATGACGGTTTCTAGAAAGGCAATATCCCGGAAGAAAGAGACAACGCGCGCGTAATTTGGCGGTGAGAAGCAATCCTGGCCCGTTTTCCATGATTGCTTTTCATGTCGAGTAGAAGCAGGCTAGGTTTTGGAGAAAGAAAAGAGCGGAGAGAATGACAGAAAAGCAACGTGTTTGACCGGGGAGGAAAGCTCCGTCGTCGAACCTTGGTACATAACGCATCTTTACTTTTTGGCGACGTCGGATGAAAGTTTCATGCATGCCTTCGTGGGGGCCAGGTCAGGTGCCAGGTGGGATTCCAAGGCGGTGTTGCTGGCGAGTCTTGTGCTCCTGGTGGCACGCGGTTATTGGGAGGCAGGAAAAGCCATGCCCCGATTGGGAAGTGCGGCGGTGTGGTTAATGAATGCGTCTTTGACGTGCTGTCAAGCCTGGCCAATGGAGCATCTGCGCGTCTGAACACCGACATGAAGGAATCAGCAATCATCGCTTGGCATTGGAGTTGACACCAGTGACATGGCGATTGAGAAATGCGGTGCTGCCCCGTGACTTTTTGAATAATAAACATTCATCGAGTTTGCCGCGGAACATGTGACGCGTACTACAGCACACGCGATACCTACGCCGTGAGATACAGTCATCATGATTCATGTGACTGTATGCGAAAAATTGGTCCAGGTTGCAAAACTGGCTATCCTAGACAATAAGTTCTGTGTTTGATATAGTTGTAAAACAGGGGCCATATAGCTAGGCTGAATAAATGTTACCTTGCGAGGTGGGGACATGTGGTGGGGTGAACAGAAACGGCAGATGTTGCCTTGCGGCTACCTTGCTGCTTCAGGACGAGCCGAGGTGGGGCCATGGACTCGAGCACGACAAACACCAAACAACGCGTTCTACCGCGACGCAACCACGGCAATTGGGGCTTCTCGGGCCTTTTGTCTGCTCTAGCTGTAGCGCGCTGTTGGTTTCAAAAGAGCAGGCAAAATGTTTTCCCTGCCTATGATTGCGCCGCGCCCAGTGAGTATTTCTGCCACGGCCTCGAGGCTAATAACTGTGGGCGGCGACGTCGCCAGCAAGTAGATCAAATGTCGAGACATGAAGTACTGATGGAAAAACCAGGACGCCAGTTTATGGCCCTCCCTCCACAACACACATACGGCATTCGAAGACACGCAGTCGCAGTCTCCACCCAACTCGCACAACCAGCGACGCCCAACCTCGCGACACGTTCCGCACCACAACCAGAATCTGCTGCTCTCCGCTCTTACTGTCGATGAGAATACAATTGCCCAGCGAAAACTCAATGTCCGCCGCTTTGGTGCAGGGTGGCTGCGTCCCCCGGGTGTGACTAAGACGCTGCAGGCACTCAAAGATGAGGAGCTTGAAAAGGAGGAGCAAGAGTTGATGCAGCGCAGAGAGCAAGTCATGATGGACCTGGCCGCCGCGCAGCAAGAAGCTGCCAACGAAGAGGAGAGGGAGAGGGGCCAAATGGAGGAAGAAGCTGGTCTCGTCGAAGAAGAAAGGGATCTGGACGACCAAGTCCCAGAAGCAGAGGAAAGCATGAGCAACTCATCCACCGAAGCCGACAGTAGCAGTGCAGACGAGTCATCAGAAGACGAAGACGAGCAAGCAAGCGAAATCAGCGGCGAAGCACAGGAAGAAAGCACAGTGCCCTTCAACGAAGACAGCTTCATAGAAGGCAGCATGATGGAAGCCGAAGTCTCGCATATGCTTGAAATGGAGGAGGCGGAAATGGCCGGCGTCCTGCAGGACGAGCGCGACCTCGACGAAGACATTCCTGAAGCGGGGAGCTACGAGCACACCGATTCCGAACTCGAGGACTCGAGCGACTTGGAGAGCAGCGCGCTCCCTGCTGGCCTTGCGTCGGCTCGCTCCAGACGCTCGACGCGCCGCCGCCGCTCCAGCGCCAGACGCAGCTCGGCGCGCCGCAGCTCAGGTCTCCCTGCGGGAATGACGCTGGGTGCGCATCCCACGGCCGGCCGAGTCAGTCTGGGTCTTGATCTCGGCAACAGCAGGAGCAGCTTCGGCATGGATGGCAGCAGTTCGTTTCTCGAGGGAAGCTCCTTTTTGAGAAGCTCGCCTGCCGGCGCTGCTGCGGCCAATCGCGGCTCCCTGCGTGACCGCTTCATGAGCGCTGCGAGGGGTGGTGGTGGTGCCGGTGGAGGCAGGAGAGCTTGATACATGCTGCCAGAACGTGATGCGTTATGATTTCAGTGTAGAGATACCCAGTTTGCCGTCTAGAGTAGTAGTACTGCTGCGATGATCAACCCTAGATGTAATCAATAGTTTCGACGTATGTCGTGTCTACACAGTGCGGAAACTATTGCTCTTAGTGTGGATACTGATAGTGTATTACTGCCTGTTGATTATGTATAGGATACAAGATATGCATGCTACACTGCTCTCTTCGGTCATCTACTACATTGCGTTGTAAAACCCGCCTCCATGCACACATAAAAACCAACCTCTATAACAAACACAGGGGGAGAAATCCAAGTGTCTAGTCCGCCCCAATCCAACCTTATTCATCCATATCCCGCAGTATCCTCACTGGAAATACATGACCCAATTCACCCACATATACAAAGAAACCCCCCTCCTAAAAACTCCCACTTCCCACAGCTCTCTATCCAACCGCGCAAATCAGTACCCCCCAACCTCCTCATACGCCCTAACCAGGAACCTCGCCGCCTCCCTCCACACACGCGCACAGCTTCTCCTCTCGCGCTCCCCCACAATCTCCAAGCAAACATTGACCCAGCTAATCCAGCGCTCGAGCGCCCGCCTGCCCATCTGCAGCAGGAAAAACTCAATCCGTGCTTCGACGCCACTCGCGGCGTCGACGCCGGCCCGCAGCTGCGCCAGCCGGCCGTGCCATTCTGCGTCGGGAACAGATGACATGAGGTGCATTGCGCGGAGCATGGATTGCAGAGTCTGCAGCGGCACGCGGTGCAATGTTTGCAGGAGGTTGCATTTATCCAGCTCTGTGGCGACGGCGCGCGCGTCCGAGAGCAGGGCGTGCGCGAGCGAGCGGCGGGCGGCGGATGCGGAGCGGCTGTTTGCATGGGATGAGGCGAGGAGCGTGCGGTGCGAGGGGCGTCCGGTACCTATTGGGGCGTGTTTGGAATATGCGTGGGTGGAGAGGTTTGGGGGTAGACTTGCGCGTGTTTTGCTGTGGAGCTGTAGGTGGATTGCATCGGTGGTGTTGATTGCTTCTAGGACTTCGAGCGAGGGCGTGAAGACGAGTGTGTTGGAGGCGGTTTCGTCGGGCTTGAGGATGCTGGTTAGGTATACTGTTTGCGTGTGTGTGTTAGCTATGTATATTGTGGTGTTGATGTATGCGAAGAAAAAAAAAAGAATCATACAGAGGTCACGGGTACACCATGTGATGGGTTCTTCTGGACTGTTGGAGACGGGAGACGTGGGTACGGTTGGCGTGCTGCGTATGGATAGGCTTGAGTCAGAGACACTGGGCGATGGCGGTGTCCAGGTGAGACAAGGAACCATGACTGTGATGGTTTCACCCAGCACTGTCTCCTCGACCTCCAAAGCGACAGTCTTGACATGTTTGTGTGGCTTGATCCTAGCATTGCCAATTGTGATGGGCGACTCATCAAGTTCGATAGGCGGAGTTTCCACCCCGACATATTCGTCACTCAGGGAGCTGGTAAACGTTGCTGTCGCAGTGATGCTCATGCTGGAATCGAGTTGAGTCTTTTCCTGGAAATAATCTGCCTGGCTGCCGTAGTACGCCTAGCTGAATGGAATGCGGCCTGGGTAAAGTGATAGACTGTGATTTTGAATACGAGAAGCAAAGGAGTGAGAAAAACGGCGACTAGAAGAAGCGGCGGAAATATTGAATAACGACGGCGAGGGATAGTAATATCCACCTCTTCAAGTGTAGTAGTATTTGTGAACAAAGGGTGCTGCCAAAGTCAATCGCTCATGTTCACCAGACATCGTCAGCGGATATAGTGGCAAGGAAAACAAGGTGTGGTCAAGTATCATGGCGTTATTCATATGTGAACGAGGTCTGAGACGTAGCACGTCACCTGCTGGATGACTTTTAGTTTTAGCAAACCACTTGCTCCGTCACGATGCAAACGAATTGTCGTATCGTCACAGACAGACGTTGAAATGGACCCTGTTGAATTTCCTTGTACTTTGTTCCCAGCGCTATATGTACAGCAGTTAGTGGCCCGCAAAGATGTTGCGTGTGCGCAGGTGAACGGGTGTCTCGCCCTTTGGCGTATCTGGTATCGTCTTCTCCAATTTCTGCAAAGGATGAGCAACCGGGGCCGCACGAGGGTGCGCGGAGACGTACCAGCTTCTCGAACACGCACTGGTTCAGCTTGCGCTCTGCCGACCGGCAGTTCCAGAGTTGCTGGTTGTGGTTTTCTAGGCACTGCCAGTGGGTGCGGAACTGCGTCAGACAGTTCTCGTTGATGTCCTTGATGCTGTCGCACGTGTCAGCAGCCCGCTCCTGCTACCGCTGCAGGTGTAGTACGCACACGCTCGCGGCACACCTGGTGACCTTACGGCCCTCCTTCATGCACTCGAATTCACCGCGGCCGTTGGCCTCGGTCTTGCACATCATGTAGTCATCGTTGTAGGCCTTGCACCGCGCGCCAATAAAGTACGAGGCACTGAGGAGGGGCGCAGAACTGGCTCCGAGCTCCTGGACCTTGGGGATGTCGTCGGGCAGAGGGGTGGTGTCGATGAGGGCTTGCTGGTTGAACCTGGCGGGGTCAATCAGGCCGCGGGGCTTGCAGCGGGACGCAGAGAGGATATTTACCTGGGCTGGCGCGACGACATGTTGACGGTGCGGTGCCAATGGCGGGCGATCGGCTCTTGACCTGAGGATGCTGGTCGTGAGGTCGTCGCGGAAGTCGGCTTGGCGCTTCACTAAACCTGGCAGGGATGTGAGATGGGCCGCTGCCCGTGCCTGAACCTTTGGCCGCCAGCAACAAACAATCTCTCACTTTCGCGCCTGCATCCCAACTGCGCTGTTGCCAGACCGCCTGCATATTCCATCCGCCGGTATGCACGCCCATTGAGCTCCATTGTCTCCCTTTCCTGCGCCAACGTGTCTGCAGGCCCTCCGTTCGCGTTATACCCGCGACCGAAAACAAACAACTGAGCGCTCGACAGCCCGCGACCTGAGGATATCGCCGTTCGCCCACACACCCACAGAACAAACCGAGACACGGCTCGCGCACCTCACGCACCTCCTTCAGCATGTCGTTTAGCTTTGGAAACCTGGGCGGCGGGGAAAAGAAGACGGGCACCTTGTTCGGCAGCACCACAGCGCCGTCTGGAGGCCTCTTCGGTCAATCGCAGCAGCAGCCTCAGCAGTCCAACACAACAGGGTCTAGCCTCTTCGGATCCACAGCGGCGCCCCAGAACAACACGACCAGCTTGTTTGGGTCGACACAACCGCAGCAGCAGAACACGGGCTCCAGTCTCTTTGGCCAGCCCCAGCAACAGCAGACTGCTGGCTCAAGCCTCTTCGGACAGCCTCAACAACAGCAACAACAGCAGCAAAATGCTGGCTCGAGCCTGTTTGGCCAGCCGCAGCAGCAACAACAGCAACAGCAACAACAAGCGCCACAACAGCAGCCTAACATGAGCAACAGTCTCTTTGGCGCCTCGCTCCAGCCAGCTCCCTTGCTGAACAACGTCCAAGCGCAAAGCATCCAACAGCAGCGCGAAGGGCTCCCGCAGCTGCGCCAGTCCTCGGCACAGCCTTTCGCCGGCTCTACCATGAGTGGCCAACGGGAGAAGTCGGTCGTCGAGCAGATACGAATCCTCAACAACAAGTGGGACCCGGCAAACCCAGAATGTGTATTCCAGTACTACTTCTACAACTCGGTCAAGCCAGAAGAAGCGCCGTTCTACGGGCCCTCGCAAGGCGAAGACGAGAGAAAATGGGAGGAGGCGCTGTCAAAGAAGCCGAGCCCAGGCGCCATCCCCGTGCTTGCGCGTGGCTTCGAACAAGTCGGAGAGCGCATACGGCAGCAAGCCGCGGCTGTCACGGCGCTGCGAACACGTCTGCACGAAATCAACAATAGTCTGTCGTTGCTCAAGGACGCACATGAGCTGACTGTAGCGTCGCGCATCACTGAAGCGAAGCGGAAACACATCGTCTTCACGCAGCGAACACTGGCCCTTGCGACCAAGGTGCAGATTTTACGGAACCGGGGATATGTCATGGACCCACAGGAGGAGGACCTGAAGAAGAAGTTGATTGAGCTCGAGAAGCAGGCCTTTGACCCCGTGTTGGGAGGTCGGCAAGAGGAGATTTGGGCGCGCATGTCCAGCGTTCGTGAACGCGCGCGGATACTGCAGGAGGAGACAGAGAAGCTGGGCAGGAACATTGACAAGCAGCAGAACGGTGAACTGCTCTCGGACGAAGACCAGAAGGCGCTAGAGAAGGTAAGACTTGGACCCGCAGCAGACACGCAATCACACGCTAACAAGGCCCCTTCAGCTTCTGAAAGATTACGACCGTCAACTCGAGCACCTCAAGAAATGGGTTGACGACACGAAAGAAGAGTACGACGAGTGGGAGGCGACAAAGCAGACGAGGCCAGCAAAGCGATAATCCCATAGTATGCATTGTTGCTTTGAGCATGTACGATTGATTAGATGTGTGGGGGTTATATTGCAAAAATTGGGCGTTGTGAGATACCAAGCGGCGGATGCATAGAAGCTGAGAATAGTCTTAGCGTCCGGCAAGCATTGCTACCATTCTGCACACTTGGTTTTTGCATGTCCGTGGACAATATCTGAGGCGGTGGAAACGTTTACATTGGGATATCATTACATGTGGTGACGAGTATTTCCGTGAAGCGTTGTGCGCCCTGGTGTTGTTACAAGCGCATGCTTGGTTGCATGCGCGTCTATGATACAGTTTCCGGAGGCATTGCCATGTACGGTGTACGCGGACGTAGTCGTTGTATGTGATAAAGATTGGTGCCGGTTAAAAGAGCTTCGAAACGTATTCGACGAGGTGAGGCGCTGGTGGTGGTTAGCCCATGACACGCCTTCGCAGGTGTTGGAGGATTGGCTTACAAAAGTACAGGACAACAGCGCTGGCCGCAGTCCATTTGATGTCGGACATGGTCTGCGCCTCGGCCGCAGCAAGCTCCTGCTTGGAAGGCTGTGGTGGTGCTACATCCGTCGTCAGTTACATTCCACCCCACTCGTGCAACCACCGCTTGCCGCTTCTGGGTCAGGACCAACTAACCTCCGAACATTATGGCGATGTGAGTACTAGATCCGAGGGTCTTGGGTGCAAAAGTCTGTTTGGGCTGGCGGATATCGCAGATGACGTGCACGGGAGACTGGGATACGCAAAAGTTTGGATCGTCGGAGTTGAGCGCCACAAGTTGCCGACCGGGGGGACAGGTCACGTGGAGACGTGTCTCATGCTGCATTCATCTCCCACTCCAAAACAACCCTGCTCCATATCAACCTTCCTGGCAACTCGACGAATCTGACTCAGCTGCAAAAGAACTAACTGCAAAAGAACGAATGCGGCCATTGTTCGCATGGGCCCAATGTCACATATTTGCTTGCCAACCCCTGTCCGCTGTCGCTTTTTGGATTCCGGCATTTCCGTCATGATACTTTACAGTTTTCAGCCCCAAGCTAGAGTGACATTGGCGATCAACATGGTGGACAGGCGCCAGCCGTGAACCGTCTGAATCTTGTTGATCTCCCTCTTGCGCTCGATGCATTGTCCTTGTACGCGTCGCGTCACAAGCAATGTGCTAGTATCAACGTAATAGGCAATACGAGCCGTGTCTCCCTGCAGCGCCGTGCATCATCATCATTTACCTGCGTGGCGCTCAGGTCGACCTCCCTGGGCCCAACTTCACAGGCAGAACCCCGCATACTCTCCGGGGCACCATTCGGAAATCCGGTGCTGGCTGGATATCTACATCTCATTATGACGCCTTCAAGAGTAAACGCCGACGACTGTTTCAACCCCCGAGGAATTGCTCATCGTCATCGACGTGCGCGGCGCCACACGCTTGAAGGCCAAGGCCGGATTGACCGTGCTGCGAACACCAACATACCTTGCACTATTGGCTAGTCGTACTACAAACGCAAATATGGTGGATCTCTACTCACATCGGTGCTTATTGTTCGGTCCTACATATGCTCTGGCTAAGGTCCGTTCCTAGGAAGGCCCCTTCAGGCGCCCTCGCTCGCATTGGTCCATATATTGGCGTGTGTATCGATATACTTTGTGGTACCGGAAGTCAGTTCTTTTCTCCATGTTAACCAGGCCTCAAGCCCTTGTCACTCGTTTGCCTGTTGTTTTAACTTCCAACAATGTTTAATCCCACGACAGCCCTTGTGTTGGGCTTGTATTCGACCTGCGCGCTTGCGCTGAACCCCCGTTACAAAAGTCGCCATGCGCACGAAGCGTCCGACATTTCGGCTGGTGCGGATGTCCAGACCCATCCGCATGTAAAACTTGGCCAGCATGAAGCGCCCAAGACAGACTGTGCTCCCTATTGGATGGAAGACATCAAACACCAGGGCATTGCTAGCTTCAACCCCAATCCGAAAAACTACACCGTCTTCAGGAATGTCAAGTCCTACGGCGCAGTTGGCGATGGAGTCACGGATGATACTGCGGCTATCCAGAAAGCCATGACTGACGGCAACCGCTGTGCACCAGGTTTTTGCTCGAGCTCTACTAACACACCTGCTGTTGTGTACTTTCCAGGCGGAACGTACTTGATTTCGAGTAGCATAATCGACTACTACAATACTCAAGTATGACTGCGAAAAGAAAAGTTGAGTTGAACCGAGTCGGACTGACTTTTCTAGATCATTGGAAACCCTAATTGTATGCCTACCATTCTTGCCGCTTCCAACTTTTCGACCACAGGTGGAATAGGCTTGATCGATGGCTCTCCTTATCTGAATGTTGGAATCCGTCCCGGACAAACCGGATTTGGAGTAACAAACACCTTCTACCGGCAGATCCGCAATCTCATTCTCGACACTACACAGCTGCCCATCACGTTCCAGGCTTTCGGACTCCACTGGCCAACTGCACAGGCGACGAGTATTCAAAATGTTGTGTTTAACATGAATGCTGAAAAGGGGACCGCGCATCAGGGTATGCTCCTCGAAGGCGGATCAGGAGGATTCATGACTGATCTGGTGTTCAACGGCGGAAACATTGGCTTCAATATTGGTAACCAACAGTTCACCACTCGCAACATTACATTTAATAATATGAATACTGCAATCCAGATGATCTGGGACTGGGGCTGGACGTTCAAGTCCGTGTTCGTCAACAATTGCCGTGTGGCGATAAACGCTACGGCGGGCGGCCCTTCGGCAGTCAATATAGGATCCATTACCTTGTTCGACAGCGAAATCAAGAACACGCAGATCGGCATTGTTACCGCTAGGACTGGTAACTCGCAACCTCCTGCTGCTGGAGCTTTGTATTTGGAGAATGTCAAACTGGACAACGTCGAGACTGCTGTAGTTGGTCCCAACGGAACGTACCTCGCAGGATCCTCGGGTTCTACAATCATTGATGCCTGGGCTGATGGACATCGCTACCTTCCCAATGGCCCCATCAAAGCCCGTGGTCACCTTCCCCCCACGCAGCGACCAGCTAATTTGGTCGATGCCCAAGGAGGCTTCTACCAGCGCTCCAAGCCTCAATATGGAGACGTCCCGTTGTCCCAGTTTCTCAGTGCTCGCGATCTGGGTGCTACTGGAGACGGACACACAGACGACACCGCCGCCCTCAACGCTGCTCTTCTCAAGGCCAAAGCAGAGGGAAAGATTCTGTATCTTGATGCGGGTTTTTACAAAGTCACGTCGACGGTTTACGTTCCCCCAGGCTCTATCATTGTCGGCGAAGCTCTCGGGTCCGTCATTCTCTCGTCTGGCCCTTACTTCAACTCCATAACCGAGCCCCAGCCCGTTGTGAAGATTGCCCTTCCAGGCGAAATGGGCCGAGTCGAAATGTCCGACGTCATCCTCAGCACGCAGGGCGAGCAAGCCGGTGCCATATTGCTCGAATACAATCTCGGCACATACGATGAAGAGCCATCTGGATTCTGGGATGTGCATGTCCGTATCGGAGGATTCTATGGCTCCGACTTGCAGACGCCACAGTGCGAAAAGACAGCCAATGTCACCATCACCGAGAGTAACCTGGATAGGGACTGCATCGCTGCATACATGTCATGGCACGTGACAAAGTACGGTGCAGGCGTCTACATGGAGAATACCTGGATTTGGACAGCTGACCATGACCTCGACGAGGCCGACAACGGAAACACTCAGCTGACCATTTACTCTGGCCGAGGATTGCTTGTGGAGAGCATCAACGGGCGCATGTGGCTGTAAGTCTCCTGTTCACCACCACCCCCTTCAGCGCTACCACTATTCTCGTCCTTGTCTTGTTTTTGAGGAGACCCAGCTAACGAGTACACAACAGCTACGGCACATCAGTAGAACACCACACCCTCTACCAGTACCAATTCGTCGACACGCGCAACGTCTACATGGGCCAAATTCAAACCGAAACCGCATACTACCAGCCCAACCCCAACGCCACCATCCCGTTCCCGACGAACCCCGTTCTCAACGACCCAGTCTTCACCTCTTCACCTGACTCCAGCCTCTCACTCACCCTCGTCTCTCTGCTCCCCGTCTCGGGCAACTCCGCCGCCGCCAAACCAACCTTCTCCAACGCCACCACCACCCCAAGCATAGCATCGGGCTGGGGTCTCCGCATCGTGCGCAGCAACGCCATCCTCGGCTACGGCGTGGGTCTCTACTCCTTCTTCAACAACTACAACACGACGTGCAACGCGCGCGACGCAACCACAAAATGCCAGCTCAACATCCTGAGCATCGAGGGCGGCCGCAACGCCTACGACATCAATCTCTACAACATTAATACCGTCGGCAGCGAGGAAATGATTACGAGGGATGGCGTGGGAATCGCAAACCATTCCGATAACAACAGCTCCTTTGTAGACACCATTAATGTGTTTAGAATCGGCATGTTTGGCTTGTGAGCTTGTCGTCGGATGGGTGGAGGAGACTGCGATCAAGTGTGCTGTGTACATACGGGGAAGGGGGAGATATGCATATACATATACATATGTGATTTCCTTGATCCAACTCTTCTTGAATATATACGATTTCCTAAAATAAAAAAACTGTGCTGAAGAGCACCTAAAGTACATCCTAAACAGCTGTATCTGGTCTTATTGTTGTATTTTTTTCGATTTTGTGTACACGCAGACTCCTGCGCGCGTTCACACCTGCTATGCTCGTTTGTAATATGTGTTCTTATTAGTTGAATCGACCTAGAAACCAACTTCGGGGGATTTTTTTTGGCCTCATCGTGAAGTATAACCAACACGTGGTATTTCACCGTCTGAGCACCGATAGACTTCTGTTAGGATTTCGGCTTTGCGTTCCACAGTCATCTTGCACTTGGACTCTGCTAAATGAACTGCGCCCGTAACGTGCTCAGTTAGCGCGAACAAACCAAAATAAAAAACGAGGATAATCGAAAACCATAAAATAAAAATAAGCATGTCGAAAGCAAAATTGAAGGACAGAATTACAAATGTATCGGTTCTATTGTACAGTACAAGCTTTTCAAAAGAATAACAGACTGGCTAAATCACATAAACAATCCCGACGTGCAAAGAAACGCCCGCTATGCATTCTGCCCACATGTCCCAAATCACGCACATAAAACTATTCCCAAACGTCTCTGCAGTGTAAAGGTCATGGCCCTCACAGAGAGCCAATGATGAAAGAAAGAGAAAAGGGTTCCCATGAAATAAGAGCTTTCTGTTGGCACACCAGCTCAGCGCCTGCCTCCACCACGACCGCCCTTGATCTGCTTCATAATGTCCACATTGGTCGAACGACTTCGAGCGTTCTCGTTGAATACAACATTGCTCTTGGGTGCAATGGTGTAGGTGGTTGGACCAGACTCCATGCGAGCACGTTGAAAAGCACGAGGGGCCTCCAGGGCCTTCTGTCGGCTGGCGGCAATGGCGGCTTGCTGGCTATTGACTGTCCTGTCGCCGCTGTTCATTTGACTGCGAAACCATTAGCACATAAAAAGATACTAACAAGCTTGAAACATACCTTGGATCGTAGTCGGCTTGGGCAAACTCCTTCTTGCGGTAGTCGTCTGTTCGCCTAAGGATAGGGCGAGTCCAGTCTGTAAAGAGGCGCTCGGCTTGCCGCTTGATGCTCAACTCGGGCTTCTTGCTCTTGATATAGAACATGATGACCTTGCCGATGCCAGATGCGACAAGCGTGTCTTTGTTGACAGGAAGTTTTGCCAATGAAGCGAATAAGTCTTTCTGAATATCATATGCGGGCAGACTGCCATCGCTCAGGGGCTCCAGGAAGAAGCGCACTGATTCGAGCAGGTTCACTTCAGGGTCCACAATAGTATCCCTCAGGTTGTTCTTGTTGAGAAGAGCTGTGACTTCGGGCAAAAGTTTGAGCTTGTGTCGCGCTGGCTCGTTGCGCTTTCGGCCTTCGTTGTCAGCCTCAGCAGCTTGCGCCATGCGACGCCGCATCTCCTCGATTTCCTGGTCGGCCATTTGCTCCAGGTCGATTCCGTCCTTCTTGCGACGACGATTCGAGCTGCCCTTGACAATGCTATCGATCTGAGCATTCAGGGCCTTCTTCCTACCTGCAAAGGCATTAGCACGTGTAGTAAGTTGATTCATGCGCCCATGTACTCACGTTCTTCTGGGGTGAGATTCTCGTCTGGATCACCTTCTGGGCTTACGTCTCGTACTCTGCCTGCTTTCTTGGATCGCTTGCTCCGCCTTTCGCCCCCCTCGGCGATGTCTCCGTCCTCTTCACCATCCTTGTTCTTCTTGCGGCGCGGCTTGTCCGCCCTCTTCTTTTTCTTCTTGGGCTCTTCGCCTTCGCCTGCAGTGCGCTTGCGCTTGTGTACACCAATCTGCTTTACGTTGTCCTCGTCTATGATCTGGGCAGGGCGCTCGTCGATGGCGACATTGTTGATGTCGAAGTCGCCAAACTGCTCGTCCATCTGGTCATCGTTGAGCGCCTCGGAAAGCACCGACTCGTTGTCAGACAAGCCAGCTTCGACATCGTCTTGATCGGGCATCTCTCCAGGTCGGTCCTCTGTCACCTCCATATCTTGGTCTGGATCGCCAATTGGAGGATTCGGAGTGGTGTTCTCCTCATCAATCTCGGGGCGCAGAGGGTCAGCCGGGTCGTTGCCAGCTTCAGGCAGCGGCGACTGCGAATGCGACTTAGTGAACTCGACGTCCTCCATAGTGTCTGTCCGAGCTGATGTTATCCAAGAGGCAGAGTTTTTGGATAGCGCCGAGACTCTTCAGGCGTTCGTCGGATGCTGGTCGCGCTACGGGTGGGCGGAAGGCGCGAGCGGTGATTGAGGTGATTGCCAGAGGAAAGTTGAAGGGAGCGCGCCTGGCAATGACGCGCGGCAATACTTTCCGCCGGGGCCGGTCTTGGCATGCGCAACCAGCAGCGGCGCCCGTGCGTCGGCTGGTTCGCGGCTTCCTTCGTGTTCCAAAGCCTCGAGCCTCTCCTCCGTCTTTGTTCCACGCCCTCTCTCGCCTGACCACCAACCTCAGGCTCACGACGCCATCCACCAGCGACTCACTACGACAAATAACGTACAAAGAACGCGCCTGAAATACCTGTCGCTGTTTCGCAACCAAGCAGCTGCTCACGATAACGGCAGCACCTCTCGCGGACCTTGGCTGTCGCAGCATCACCTGCAAGCCGCTCCAAGGTTTGTTCACGATCCCACAGCAGTTGTGCACTGCTGCCGAATTCTTTGCTTGAAGGAGGGAGGACATACATACACAAGGAGGATTGCAATAGCTGGAGGAGGGCGAGTTTGTTACTGCCTAGCTGTACCGACGCAGTCTACACTGCGTCACTTGGCGCGGCCATAGCTAGTATCCAACAAGCACTGTCATTACGTGTGTTCGTCGCGAGCGAGGAAGCATATCGTCTATCTTGTTCATCTGGCGTCGACATTGTCAGTGTTGCGACTTTTCCGATCGCACAGCGAGCCGCTCATCTGCCCTCTGCGCGCAACCTTCACCCCCTCTGACACAGGACCTTTCCTTTTGCTCTAACCCAAAGCATCCCTGCCCATTATGTCTCTCCCAGCTGCTGAAGTGGCGGCCGATTTTCGGGATGCACTGCAAGATTTGAGGATGAACAGCAGGCCCGAGATTAGCAATCTAACCCTTATCGCCAAAGAAAACACAGAGTATGCTGAAGCCATATCCAACGAGCTGCAGAAGCACATCCAATCGGTAAGTCCCTGACACATAGCCTGGAGTGATTTGCTATTCTCCTCTCGTCCCCTATCGTTTTTCTGGTATTGGTGACTAATGGTAATAGACTCGTCCTGAATGGAAGCTTCCCGCCCTTTATGTGCTTGATTCCATTGTCAAGAATGTCGGGACCCCATACACCGTTTACATCGGCCGCAACCTGTACAGAACATTCATGGATGCCTATCTTGTCATGGACCAAGCTACACGCAAGAACATGGAAGGCTTATTGAAAACATGGAAGATGCCTGTGCCCGAGTCTATGGATCCACGCCCAGTGTTCTCAGCCGAAGTGACGCAGGATATCGAGAACGCACTGGCTAAGTTTCACGCAGCTCAACAGCAGGTGCGCCCACAACATGCGCTTCCACCTCGCCCTCCATCGCTCAGTGTAGCCTGGAGAGGCACGTCTACGCCGCCGCAGAACGGTCCTCGTTATGCTGCTCCAAATGACCCGCGTGCTCGACCGGTGAGTCCTTCTTCACAAGACGCGTGTCACAGAGTACTGACAGTACGACTTCAGTCATATCCACCAGCATCTCAATATGGGACTCCAACACATGCCTCTACACCTCCAGTGCCATACACACAACCTCAGCAGCCCGCCTCGCCCATGTCATCCATTGATCTTGCTGGGCTGAAGGCTGAAGTAACTCAGTTGATCACCACTACACAAAACACGTTTGCACACAACCCAGCTGATGCTGCGCTGCGCACAAAGCTGTCGGCACTTTTATCTCTCAAGCAGATATTAGACACACAGACGTTACCGCCACAACAGCTCGAAGCTGTACGCCAGCAGATTCGAGCGTTGGCACCTCCACCCGCCCCAACACCCACTTTTGTAGCGGCAACGCCAGCATATCCCCAACAGACGGCGATACCTTCTGGCTACACCGCACAGTATCCTCCTGTGACGGCCTCACCAGGCAGTGCTCCGCCGAATGTCGCGCAGCTTCTTGCAAGCTTTAGACCACCACAGTCGACGCCGCAACCTGCGTCGACTCCAAATCCACCAGCTTTGAACCTGGCGGAACTGCTGAAGCGTGTATCGTCACCTGCACAATCGAATTCTGTCCCTGCGCCAGCTCCATTCCAACCACCATTTCAAGGCTTTCCACCACCCGTTTCAACACCAGTACCTGCACCCCAATCCGCCCCACCGGCACAGTCCGCTCCACCAACCACCAACTTGGCTGCGCTACTTGCACAGTTTAGCAAACCCGTTGCCGCGCCACCAGTGCAGCCGGTGTCTGTACCTCAACTACCACCTCAGCCCGCCGCTGCCGCCCCAGCCCTGGGAAGCGCCGAGTGGCTCCTCAAAGCCCTGAGTAGTGTATCTGGTGCGACACCCGTGAATGGGGGTCCTATTGCATCCCATGCAACAGCAGAACAAACAACAGCACCAGCGGGTTTGCTAGACCAGATTGAACTCACTACCGCATCCATGAAGAAGCCCCGTCTGCACCTCATTTCGCGTTTGTATGAAGCCAAACCCAACATCTGTGCAACCTGCGGTCGCCGCTTTGAGAATACGCCTGAAGGGAAGGAGAAGAAGGCTCGCCACATGGACTGGCACTTCAAAGTCAAGGACCCTGATGCGGCCAAGCGGGGCGTGCACCGCAGTTGGTACATTCCCGAAAAGGAATGGATCGAGTACCGCGAAGTTGACGAGACTGCCCCGAACCAGTCCAACTACCCTTCTTCAGCTACCAACGCTAGCAAGCCAAAGAAACAGACCAAGGACCGATACGTTAGCGTTCCGCAGGACGTGACACTTCAGCAAGCGCCGTGCCCAATTTGCCAAGAAAAGTTCGAGACACAATGGAATGTGGAAGCGAATGATTTTGTTTGGATGGACGCCTTGAGCGTCGGTGGCAAGGTTTATCACGCTACATGCTTTGAAGAGTATAGTAAGGGAATAGGTATTGAGATGCCCAGTACGCCAGATTCTGTACTTGGTAAGAGAAAGGCGGATGTTGGAACAAATGGAGAAGGCAAGAAGGTCAAGGCTTACTAGGTGTGATTCTTGATGTCGGTTCATCGCAGGGTTGATTGATGTTTGTGCATTTGTGGTGCATAACGTGGCCTCGTGTGCTCCATCTCAAATTTTCTTGTATAGTCTAGTCCCGCCATGGTTATGGCATAGGTTGGTCGGACAATTTTGATAAGATTCAACTAAACCAATAGAGCTCCTTATCATCATTCATACATTGTTGATCTTGTAAGGTGCAGCTTCCTGACGTTAATGCCTGGATATTGAGAGGAGTCATTACTAGGACTGTGTAATTAACTGTTATCCATTGGGTGACCAGTCTCCGTCCATACAGTACTCAATAAATATTACAACCACCAATGCACATTATTCGACACGGCTCTTCCGGACTGCAGATCTTCTTATGTGCCTGCCAATAGCATGAAGATAGCTTGCACCTAGAGCAAGCCATCGTGTGCTCGCTCCCTCCACAACGTTGATATCTGCCCAATGAGAACCCTTCTTTTTGTTCTACCGGATTCTGATCCACAATATCATCTTCACATGCACAGCTTTCTCTCAGCATGCATCCTGCTTGCAGATGGAAATGACGCATGCATTGACACGCGGGTCATTATGCGGATGCAAGAACACGGCGATCGCAGAAGCGGGGCAAGATTAGAACTATACACGATGCAGCTTGATGTATATCTCTTACCATTGTAGGCAGACTGATTCGAAGCTGTGATTCTCTTAACTGTTGGAAATATTTGCGCTTTTTGCGCGGGGATCGTTTGGGCGCCAAAAGACTAGTGGACATGGTTTCCCATTGTTGAGTGTCCTTAGCACCCACAGGGACTGGGGATAAAGTCGATATGGATGTTGCGGGCCATCCGGTTAGGTTCGGTTATAATCCAAGTTTAGGTGGGGTAAATTGTGTTAGTGAACTCGGTTGGTAGCTCCCGTGAAGAGTTTTTCTGCCATGAACTCTGGAATGCTCAGATCCACTTTCTCATTGATAGCTCTGTTATAGTTGAACATAATATACATAATTACTCTTCTTTCCATCAAAACAGCATCTGCCCGGCTAGCTCAATCGGTAGAGCGTGAGACTCTTAGCTTTCACGTCCTAAACAGACTCGATTGGTTATCTCAAGGTTGTGGGTTCGACCCCCACGTCGGGCTTCCTTTTTTGCTGTTTTGAACACAACCCCGCTATGATTTTGGCGAATGGTGGCAGCAGCTACATAGCACATTGCAATTGTGTTAGTGATGACGTTGCACGAAAGCAAGAACTTAGCCAGCTCAACAGCAAGATCGTTATTTTTATCCAGTAATAATACTGCTGCTAGATGCTGAGCACAGGACGATTCCTCTAGATTCCTCGACAAATACGATTATCCAGCCGAACAGCAGTAGCGAAATATCAGGTTTCGTAAGATCAACGGAGCACGCAAGATAGTAGCAGCTTGACGGATCTGAACACTCCGAATGATATTCTATCTGCATTCAGAAAAGGCTTCTGTACTTTTTTGACGGCAGGGAACTTCGCTCTGTCTACTTTTTGATATCTGTATAAAGCCCAGCCAACAAACGCTCGAGGAGGTAGAGAGCTGGGGACTGTGCTGAAATGGAGGCCTCGCAGGTTTTAACAATAGGGGTCAAATAGGCCAGTAAACCTAATACGCAGCAAACTACGCGGTGTTTTCATAATTGATAAACATACGATCAAATCTCTTTCTCGATTGCTAGGATGTGAGTGATGAAGTGAGGATAGTAACGTAACCAAGTCTATTTATTGTCTAATTCCTAGTTATCTAGCGTCTCTCTATGCCCGCGTAGCTAAGAACGGTCTGTACTAAAATGAATCTGTTGTTTCGCGATGTAAACATCTCTCTCGCCGTTTATTTAAGCCATAAGTAATAGAATAAGAGTCCCTACTTATCTTACTTTGCAAGCGAAATGATGCTGTAAGCGATCTATCTCCCAAGAAAACTATAACAGCCCCGTGATAGCGATATAGAAGTCGGGAAGTACTGATACGGAGAACAAAGGGTCTTTGAGAGGATCGTGATGAGACGATGTCCAGGTTCAACATTCTAGAAACCCCACCCCTTGCTCGCCTCAAATGTACGTAACCATTAGGATAACACAAAAAAACCCTACATAACTGTACAAGCGGCGACACCTACGATAGCGCTAGCAAATGTCGCCAAGCTTGCTCCAATGCTCACACCGTTCGTCACCAGTCTCGACCCGCTCGATCCTATTGTCTCATTGTTTACAGTGTCCGCTACATTGCCGACTAGATTGCTTTGCTTTGCCATTTTGAGAATGTCGGTTTGTCTCGCCAGCTTATCTCTATGACGAACAATAGCTGTGCTTCTAATACCTTCGGCAGTCAGGGCATCCTCGAGATCTTTGCCAAATGCTTCAGACACTTGGAACATAGCGGTCTTGGTTCTGTCGAAGTAGACGAAGTAGTCACCGGCCTTGTTGGGATTGAGAGCGATGCGCTGTCGTACTGGATAAGTATCCTTCAATTTCAAAAGCAAAATCAAATACGAGCTATCGAAAACATTACTTACGCTCACATCTTCACCCTCGCAACTATCAAGCGCCTGATTCAGCACCGAGTAATTCTCGTCTAGGTTATACGATTTCGATCCATCTTGCCAAATCATGACAAAGTTGTTCTCCGGACCCAGCGCTACACACCGCAGCGTCGTGTACATCTTCCTTGCATCCTGAACATTCTCTTCAATGGCCTTGGGCAAGCCAGCAGAGTACTCCGGTGAACAGCCGAACAAATACCAAAGAAACCAGGTGGCTTCAGGCCCGAAAACTACTCGTCTCGCAGATCTTGGAGAACTCGACATCGCTCTCTCCAGTTTTGGATTTAACTTGGCTGTAGCTATACTTAGACTCCGTAAGCAGTAGCCAAGATTGTAAGAGTAAAGCGGGAGTGAAGGCATGACCTACTAGTCTGGATATTGCCCTGACGGTTATACCAAAGGGAACAGTAACTACCGCTCTTATTCCATGCCATCATGTCAACTCGAATCCTCTCGCCATCCGTCCAGGGTGGCCTCCGTCCAGCTATATTTCCCGCACTACATGAACTCTCAGCCTGATGCACGTTCATCAGAGAAATTAAACAACTCACCTGCGATGGCGGTGCCCTACGCGGAGGAAATACGAGTCCTCGGGTCCGAATTGGAAGTAGATATCGCGAACAACCATATCGAAGACACAGGAAGCGCTGCTCGAGACCGGATTTATACGAGTCAAAATGATGAGTAGGGTCAAAGGAGGGTGAGAAGGCTGCGATTCTCTCAGCTGAAAGATGTCAGCGAAGAGAGGGGTGGCTGCCTGCAGGTGGCTTCTAGTACACTAGGAATACTATTGGGTCAGGCTGGAGGTGCCAGTACGCGTGCTAATCTGACGAACTAACGTGGAGCGGCACTCTGATTGGATAATCTGCCATCACCATGTATGCTGTTCAGCTCCAGATACTGCGAATGCAGTATACTGTACCTTTTTGGGCACATGGTAGCCTAGGTAGAGCTGAGCCAGGTTGCGTCACAGTTCACTTCTATTACTGCGCATAGTTGGTGTGTAACAATATTTGGTAAGTGAGCTATTGTACTAAAAATAGCGACTAGTAGATATAAGACCATAGGGTTATTGAAGATTTGCTATTGGTTTAATCTAAGCTGCTACGTATGCTATACAGTATAGAATTAATAGAGTTATCGCAGAGAAAAGGTGGACCAAGCAGGGAAACCCTGCCCCTACCTATTTACCACACCATGTTAGCCAATGTAATACTGCATCGCCACTGCTATCTCCTTGAATTTCACAGCCTATCTTACGTAACCAAACCCATGTACTTGGCATTGCCCTTCAGGGAGTGGCCTGGATACTGATGAAACACGGCAGACTTCTGGTTTAATTGATCTCGGTATGTTTGTCTGTTCTACTAGTAGCATTGTTAATTTATTCCCGACCTTGGTAAGATCATCCCAGCAACCTTGCTGTGTTGACTATATATCAAACTTTCTAGCTGCTTCTGTTCCATATTCATATCCTACAGATTGTATTCACCAGGAGCGGCTGCTCTTTCTTGTTATTATTAGATTGAGTTTCCTATTCTCATCAACACTGGACAAAAGCGAACATTTTACACTCCCTACTTCAACACCAATCTTGGTTTCTAGCGATACCACCCTAGTCTTTCCTGCACTCTAGGGCGACAACTTGATCCGACTACATAACACACTTACGCTTAAATCGCCTCTTTTTGTCGTATCTGTTACAAATTGACCAGACATGCAATTTGTCATCCTCTCTCTCATTCTCGCGGCCCAGGCCGCCACTGCCACCACAGTCTCCACCAATGGAACATATTGCAAGGTGGATCTTAGATCTGGAATGCGACGCTACAAGACCAGTGTTTGCTGTGAAAACAGCGATATTGGCGGGCTCTTGGACTGGGACAATAATCGTTGCCACGGGCTGTTAGGGGACAAATGTCAAAAGTTCAATCAGTGTTGTATAACGAAATGGGTCAACGTCAATCAAACAATCAACGACACTTGCTAGGCTAGAATGCGGAGTGTGTTAGAAGGTATCGGTACGGTAGCCACCTTGCCTTTGAAGTACCTTGTTTTGAACTCTTTTTGAAGCCTGCATAACCACGTTACTAGCCAATTTGGCTATAGCTGTTAGCTACATTTGCTTAAGCATGTAGGGCTAGTAAATGAATTCATGTACTTATTGTTTTTCCCCGAATAGGTTATTAGGTTTGTTTGTGAACCCGGCAGGTGACAGGAGTCTGTTCGAATTTGTCGATGTATTCTAGAGTGATACCCAACTTCGATTCTCGTAGAAGATAAAATCGTAACATCAACGTTGCGTTAGAATAAAATTTCCTATCTGGTATCAAACAACCCTTCTAGTCATCAAACATGCATACACTTAAGCCCTGCCATTGTCATCAACTCATACCCATTGATTTGTCCATTTCATTCCCGAAATTCCCAATCCACACCCTGTTTTGGGGACAATCAAACCACAGCCTACGAGCCAAAGTCCATCTTGAGAGCAATCTTGGGCATTCCGTCGTCTTCCCTGCTCGTCTCCTGCCGTCTGGATCCTTGTCCACTCTTTAGCACACCTTCCATAAAGGACTTTTGCTCGGGAGTCAGCCCAGTTACTACACTTCTGAAAGCCTGCTGGTCGGCTCCAGCCAGCTCGAGCAACCTTGCAGCTGTTTCTTGGGTTGCACTGGGTTCGGCCTGTGCGCGTGCTAGCAAGGCTGGAACAATAATCTTGCTTGCAACTTGTCGCTGTGCTGGTTCCTGAAGAGTTGAGATGAAGCTGACAAGAGTCTGTGCGAGTGTTGTGCGTGACTCTTCAAGGCCTTCCACCTCAGAAGGCCTGGCAAGGAAAGAGAGTGTGGGAGGCAGAAGAAGTTTGGCAAGACTTGTTTCCAAAGCGCTCTTCTTGGGCAGTAGCAGAAGCGAGCGACAACATCCTGCTGCAACTTTGCTTGTCGTCCGCGTATCGAGACAGTCGAAAAGATCATCAACGAATCGTTTGACAAGCGGATCATCAGGTGAGAAGGCAGACGGCACAGAACTTAACAAAATGGTAGTTGTGAGAATGGTGTTCTTCTCGCACGCGAGAGCAGCATCGAAATCCCGCTTCTGGGCGTGCTTGAGAATGGCAAGGAAGCGCGCCAGTGTTGCACGTAGTTGCTTGCTGGTTTCGTCTGTTGCTTCAGCATCTGGTGCAAGGCTGGTGATGAAGCGTTTGAAGATTGGCAGCGCTTGAGGGATGACGGTTGCCTGGCATTCTCCAGTTGCGACTATAGTTGCAAAGATGTGAAGAATGCAAGCATGAAGGTCGGCTTTGATGATGGATGGGAAGACTTGTGCCGCATCCACGAGAGCGGACAATGCTGTTGTGAGTAGAGCAACAGCCTCTTCATTCATCTCATGGCGAGCTAAGGATGCGAGTTAGTAAATACTCGTCTAGTGTATACGAACAAGACTCACCCTTAGCTTTGCTGTCTTCCAGCCCAGGTACCAGGCCTGATAGTACTAGCACCATGATCTTGGTCAGTTCAAATAGCTGGTCGATATCTTCAGAGAGATGTTCGTCTGCGGACGTGGTTCTGTACGTGGTCAGCAAAGCTCATAATAACTTTGATGTATGGTCTTACCCCTGATCTCTCCTTGCAGAAGGATGGCCAAGGCAGAGATTTCGCGTAATCTGTACAATGACCATTTGTATAGTCAAACCTTCAGTAAGTACCAATCGATCAAGCATGTCCATCGTTTCTGAGAATACGACCTCTTGATAGATAGCGTGCCCAGATACCGAAGGTCGCAGGATCTTCTTCAAAGCCTGTAGTATCTCTAAAATCTGCTCCTTGGATGCTTGTAGATCGCCCGGGCGACCTGCGAGAGCCTCGAATGCGAGACCGAAGAGAACAAAGAAGAAAGCGACAGGCTCATCGCGATAGTTAATATGATCGGTCCTCTCAGTGGGAGCCGGATCAGACAGCTCGGTTTTGCCATCAAGCGCGTCAAAGACAAACTCGCTGTCTTCGTCGATAAGACTAGCAATCGCATCAACAAGATTAAGCCAAGCATCCTGGTAGAACTACAAAGTGTCAGCGCATATACAAGTAGCTGTGAGAATATCCTACTTTCAACAGCGTCTCACGGTTGAGTGCCGCGTAGATGGTGTCCAGACTACCAGAGAGCGATGCAGAACCCATGGAAGAAGAGATATCGGGCTCAAATCTGAGGCGAGCATATTCCCGCAGCGATGCCAACCAAAGAGGGGTCAGCTTAGCAATATGCGGCTTCAGCACATCTACAAGGTACGTCTGCTCGGCACTAGCAATTTGCAGTTCGGCCCAAGCTGAGAAAACTGCCATCTTCACCATGACTTGGGCGTTGGAGCTTAGCCCTTTAAGGTCACCTATTGACGCAGTTTCGGATTCGCCTGATGCGTGTTAGCCAGATCTGAGACTAGGGCAGTACAGGAACGTACTAGAAAAGTTCTCAAGCGCTGAGACGAGTAGCTTGAGAATACGCCCCATGCGGTCTACGTCTGTCACGATACCCGTCGCAATAAAGGTAGCACAGACGTTCACAGCTTCGGCTGCAAGTTCTGGTGATGAGTCTGCTGCAAAGGCCGGCGTAAGTGCAGAACCGATCTGAGCCTGGTATTGTTCGAGTAGGGTAACTTCAGCGAAATCCGGGTCAGGCGTTTTACCGAACAGCTATATAATGTATTAGATGACGTTCTAGATGAAGAGAATGTGCCATACCTTGAGGACTTGATCGATAATCTTAAGACCGCGTATCCGCAATTGCACAACGCCAGCGGTGGACGCAGAAAAGGCGATGCGCACAACATCAGCTACGCGTTGCTGCAATGCCAAAACACAGGGCGCTTCCTCTCGGAAAGCAGCTTCCTTGCTAACCATTGCAACAAGCTCGCTCAAGCAATCCATACCGAATGTTCGGACTTGCCACTTGAGCAGCTCCTGGCTCACTTGAGCGCCATCTCCAGCCTCAGCTCCTGGAGCATTTGATGCAGATGCAAAGCCCGCAACCTCTTCATCCTGCAGGTCTGCTGCACCAGCTTTTGGTTTCTGTTCGATTTTTTCCGGAATCTCAACCTTCTTCGTCTTGGTTAGAACCGAGTGGCATCGCTGCACCCACGTCGCCGTGTCCGATAATCCCGTCTGATGTAGCCAATTGCGGATTATGTTTTGCACCACTTCATGATCTGGATCTCGGTCAAGAACGTGCCACAGCTGGTCTTCTAGACCCGGCTCAGCAGCGCGTATAACTTCTTCCGTGTTGCGCCTCATGATGTTGTGCAGGCCGTCAATAGCCATATCGCGTATTTGTGCTGAGCTACTTTCCACAGAGCGTTGCAGATTCTTAACATAGGTCGAAAAATCCATATGACCCGGAGCATATAGAGAGACGTGTTCCTGGCAGCGCAAGCTCTCAATGACGATAAGCTCATCAGCGTCGCCCTGGAAAAGCCCAACAAGAGTCATGATCAGGTCTCTTGCTTTTGCGACATCTTGTAGATCTGGACCCAAAACGTTGATTGTACTATCAACACATCTCGCAATGACTGCAGGTGTCGGAATGTCGATCTCAATGTTCGAGGATGCGAGGGATGCCGATTCCTCATTGTGCGTATCTGCGGCATACAACTGCGCTAGCATACCGAGTGTACTTGTGACATAGCTCGAAAACGAAAGACCAGCGGAGTCGGCGACTCGCGACAAACTGTCAATGGCCCAGAAATGCACAACAGGGTGCGGATCGTTGCCGAGTGACATCAATATTCCGAGAATATTGTTCAGGTGGAAGCCAGCCGCCATACCGCCAAGTTGAGAATGTATGCAGCCAAGGGCAACAGCGTAACCAGAACGAGCGTTCGGTTCGCGGTTAGCAACGATTTGGTCAACCAGATAATTGACTTCGGCAGTCGTGAGCGCGTTTCCAGAACTATTACACAGTCGACCTAGAGCCTCTCCGGCAAGGTTGCGGATGAAGGGATCGGGGAGAATGATGAACAGCTGTTGGGGTTAGCTACGAAGCAGACAGTGTCGGATTACTCACATGCAATAGATCCTGCATGACCTTCTCAACTGCTGCTCCTTTCAGGCTACCCGGAGCCGAACGTGTCTCCTTTACCGCCACTTTGAGTGCAGACAAAACCGCATATGCAATGTTGACCATCATAGCAGTTTTTCTGTTAAAGTCGCGCTGCAGACTGCTTGCAGACAGGAAAGATGTCATCTGTTCCAATATACTTTCTTGAATCTTGGCAGTCTGTAGAGGAAGACAAATCGCAAACAGTTGGAGTGCTGCGTTGACCACCTCAGTAGCTGGAGGGTCTGGCAGCTCATGGGTGTCGTCTGGTGCCCTTATGTACAAAGAAATCGAATCATGCTCACGAGCACCGCAGATTGGCGAAAGGAGTGTCTGGTCAATGATGGCTTCAGGGCCATGTCGGGTGAGCCAGTGGTGGCGGGTACCAGTGTCTTGCTCGCCTGGAAGTGGTGTAATGTCAAAGCCGCGTACCAGTCCAGTAACACCGAATCCGTGATTGTCAGCTACTTCCCAGATGCTTTCAAAAGTCCCTGCAGCACTGGCAATGGCGGTGCTGAATGAGCTCGTTGTGTAGTTGTCAGGCTCGGCAAAGGATGCAATAGCAAAGGGCAGCAGATTGGTCTGCAGTAGAACGTCTGTACTGCTTGCTGGACTAAGCTCGACGAGCTTGGTGTAACATTGAAGCACTCTCCTCCGGACCATCAGATCAAAGTCATGGAGTTGCAGTGCAGGCGACAACCGTTGTGACATGTCGTCAGTCGTTTTCTTCGCTGGCAACGTGTTCAAAAACAACGTCGTGTTCTGGAGCATCGCCGCCAGCCTCTTGGTTACGTCCAGCGTCAAGATCCGGCTGTTGAACTCCAGGAAGGTCAGGATTGACCCTAGTGCACATTCTCGGACGTGTGTCAGGAAGCAAAGCTCCAAATAGTTTCTTTGAATCATGTTATCTCGGTTCAGTGGTTTAGGCAGTGCATTTTTCCACAGTAGCAGTAACTGCGAAAGATGGATCTTGACAAAGTTCGGGCCCAAGGTCATCAGCCCTCCGATCAAGATCCAGGCGACTTGTATCTGCGTAGATCCAATTCTGAGATCGGAATTGCTAGCTGACTTCAGCAGTGATGTGGCCTGTGAGAGTACTCTCGAGTTCACGTCTACGGAACCGTGTAATGGTTGTGACGTGGATGTACTCAGTGCAGCGGAGAGACCATTCGCAAGACCAACACACTTCCTTGGCGACTGACGCGGCCCAGCGAGAAGACCAAGTTCTCTGTTGACACTATTCATGCATATAGTAACAGCAGGAAGCAGCTGTAGAGGACAAGCGAGAACAAAAGAGCGCAGACAAGCAGAAGCCGTCACTTGCACTGTATAGCTTGGATGTTGCAAGACCTGGACCAGAGCGTCTCTGCAAGAGTCTGCAATTGCATTGGTGGCTGACCCAAGGCTGTTGAACAGAGAAGATAGCGTGCTCAGAGCACCGATCAGGGTCTGCTTCGTAGGTTCTGGTCGCTCCTTCAGCACCTGCGGGTAGTCTTTGAGAATGTCATTGACCAAGAACCTCGCAGCGTTCAGCTGTCCCGATTCACCAAGCAAGTCACGACCAATGACGTTTTCCATGATGACTGCGACAAACTTTCTCGTACTGAGCGTGCGGTAGCGGTTCTGCACAATGACATTGCTGCTGAGGACGTCGACAAACAAGCTTCGCGCAACGGCTGCGTATTTGCTCTCGATGATCTGCTCCCCCAGGCCCTTGATGGTTTTGATATAGCATACGGCGATTCCCGCCTTTGCGCGGTTGCCAGTCTGCGGTCGACAATACTGCGTCGCGAGCAGCTTCAGCAGACTTTCAATGGTGAAAGAGAGTTGCGTTGCCGACTTTTTGGGCGCAGGCGAGTCGGGGCGCTCCATAACCATATCGTCGCCATCTTCATCTCCTATCTTCTTGCTCTTCCTCTTGGCTGTCTTTGATCGTGTGAGAACTGGGAGATCGACCGGCGCATTTTCGGAGTAGTTTTTCACAAGCGCGGCGCTGATACATGACGCCACTGCATGTCTCACAGACGATGAGGGACTATCTATGGCCTTCCAAACCACGTTCTGCAGTTTGTCAAAGTCGGCAGAGTTGTCGAAAAATGGCGTGTATCGAATCAACTGCTCCAGACAGTAGCAGACGGCCGTCTGCACAATGTATGACTTATCGCCGGCAGCATTGCGAGCCTGTTTCCACGCGTCTCTTGCAATCAGCTCATCGGCATGTGAGTGGATCCCTTTGAACACCTTTCCCACGGCTTTGAACAGCGCTGCGCGGAGACCGCTATGGTTTTGTGCAAACTTGACGAGCCCTAGCAGTGTCTTTACTGCCAATGGTGACAGCCCTATGGCGCTATCCCCAGCCGCCTCGAAGATGGAGCCCAAGCAATGCGCAGCCGCGTGCTTTGTCCTGATGTCCTTTTCGGTCTTGCCAGCCGCATTTAGTATGTTGACCGAATCATTGATGGATTCAAAGAGCAGCTTCCTGTCCCCCTTTTCGAATATGCCAGCTATCGCTCGCCCCAGGTTGTTTCGGATTACCCGTGTGGGTGCGGGGGATGCGAGGTTGACGATTTGGAATATCTCCTTCTTGATGTATATCTGATGCGCCGAAGCGCCATCGCCGTCGAGAGACGCCACATGGCGCGCGAGATCGGAGCTGAAGGTGAGCAGGTACAGGTCCTGCTGTTCAGAGGGGAGGGCGTGTAGCTTCTTGATGTCGAGTTCAGGGTTCGCGGGGCTTTCGCTGGCGGCTTGGTCGTCGGCTGCCATGGCTGTCGATGGTAGGCGTGCGGCCTGCGGATCGCTGGGTGAGACTATCGGTATTGGCTGCTCATGTCCTGGCGAGGCTTCTCATGACACCTGTCGAAGGTGGAGTTGCCCGCCGGGCGCATGTAGAGTTGCGGACCCCCGTCTTGGCAGGGACGATGATCTCCAACTTTTTAGGTGGGCGCTTGATGTTCCCCAGAATCTCTCGCCCTACATGTCCGCTCCATTGCGCCGTGCCGTTAGGACTGCCGTTTCCAGTAACAGCGGCGTGTGCTGCACCTGTCGCCATGCCCTACAGCCCAGGCGGGTGCGCATTGCGGACCAGGTGCGCTGTCTGAGCACCACTCCCGCCTTGCTGTCAGGCCATTCGTAGGACTGCCCACCATGCATTGGCACGAACAAAGCGCATGCTGACTCACGCATAGGAAATGGGCTACGATCAAGCACGACAAGGCGAAGAACGATGCGGGCAAGTCGAAACAGCGGTCGCTCATGACCCGCGACATCACCAATGCCGTCAAACTCGCTGGCCCCAACCCCGACATGAACCCTCGCCTTGCCCTCGCCATATCCACGGCAAAAAAGTCGGCTGTACCAAAGGCTTCCATTGAGGCTGCCATTGCGCGTGGGCAGGGCCTCTCTGCCTCGGGCGCAGCGCTCGAATCTGTCGTTCTCGAAGCCATACTCCCGCCGTCCATTGCCACTATTATAGAATGCCAGACCGACAACAAGCTGCGTGCATTGGCCGACCTCCGCTTACTGGTCAAGGAGGCGGGCGGCGCCGTCTCTGCTACAGCCTTCATGTTTGAAAAGAAAGGGCGGATAATACTGCGGAAAAAGGATGGCGTGACCGTGGACGAAGTGCTGGAGCCCGCGGTGGAGGCCGGCGTGGTAGACGTAGACGAGGATACCCAGGGCAGGGTCGTGCTTTACACCGAGCCAGCCATGACGAATAAGACGGCCGACAAACTATCCAAGGATCTGGGATATGAGATTGAAGAGAGCGAAATTATTTACGACCCGAACGAAGACACCAAGGTACCATTGGAAGATGAGGGCGCAGCCAAAGAGTTGAGTAGCTTCTTGGATGAGCTGCAGGAAGTACAGGGCGTGCAGGGCGTGTACATGAATTGGGCCAAGGGAAGTCTACCAGACGACGTTTGGGAGGAGTTGAGAGGAAAGGCGAGCGTTTGATAGCGCCCCGCCTCCACCCGGTATTTGTATTATACAGTATTGTACACTAATGTACATCTCCTCGAGCACATTCAGACAACCAAACGCCATCCATGCCATGTCGTATCTCAATAGTTCGCATTCACTTGTGTGCGCGGCTCAGTCGCCTTTTTTTGTTCCGCACCCCGCATTGCGTAAGGCATATCTTCTGCACAAAGATGTGTCTCGGGTATATGTCCCCTCACTCGTCCCTGCTCTCACCCATCTCCCTCAGCCTTTCTCTCTCTTCTCTCCTGCGCTTGTTTTCAAGATTCCTCGCTTTCAGTCGCTCCAGCTCCTTGGCAATCTCTTCGCGGTCATACGGAATCTTGTGCGTCTGGCCGGGCTTGGGCCAGAAATCAGGGACGGTGAATTTGCCGTCGAGGTTCGTGCCGAAGTAGTACATGATGCTGATAGGGAAGAGGATATACATCCCAAACTACAGCATGACATAGTTAGCGATATTCTCCTTGCGATGGCGGGGGGGAAACATAGATCATGCGCATCGGGTAACTGGGAAATGCAAGGCGAGTTTGCGCAGCGCAAGCAACAGCCACGGGGAGAATGTACCTTGAAGACCTCGAGATTAGGGCCTGCCATTTTTTGCGGTATGCGACGAAGCGTGTAGCTCTGCACGGCGATTGCCAACCTTGGGGGAGGGGAGCGGCGCCAACAAGTCGAGAGTGATGGCGCCCCGAAGAATCTCAGATGGCGAGTCGGCGATGGTTCGGCAATATCTCTCGGGCGTCGATCTAATCTTCAGCCTTATCGCCAGCGATTAGGGCAGAACTAACTCCCCACTTGCACTTGGAAACTTGGGGTAAAGCTTGCCGCAGAGCTTCACATGCAACTTGATAGGTACCTGCGCGGTGTTTGCCCGCGCAGGGGTTATCCCATGGCATTCGCACATATTGCCATGGGCTGACTCTACTCAGCACATGAGTGTCAGCATGATGGACCGTTCCTACTCATCCGCTTTACCCATCTCTGGACCCATGGAATTACGCCCCGTTCCCGCCCCATGTTGCAACCGCGCCTCCGCATCCTGGGCCTCGGCTCAACGACAAGTTGCCGTCAGTTTCTCCACGCGCCGCGACGTCGACCACCCGTCGCAAACATAACAAGCTCACTCTCTTCTCCGCCCCATCCCTCATCACCCTCCATTCCTGCCTACCACATTTCCCCGAAACGCCTTCGCTCCGCCCCTCCACCATGGCCTCCGAAAGCCCCGTCCAACTCGAGTACCGCGGCAAAGTCGCCATCATCACGCTCAATGCACCCAAGAAACTCAACGCCCTCGACGGAACAGCCTACTACAAGCTTGCCCTCGCCATGCAGGAGATCGCCAAGCGCGATGATATCTACATTACCGTTTTGACGGGCAAAGGCCGCTACTTCAGCGCGGGCGCAGACGTATCGTTTGGCAGGACAAAGGACCCTACAGCCGTCGACGAGCAGCAAACGTTCCTGAGGGGCTTTGTATCTCAAAACCTCTTTGTACGTGTTTTCTCGTATAATTTTTTTTATCTGTTTGGGATTTCAACCATTTTTGTTTTTGGTCGCTGCAAAGTGATTGGCATTGCCTGTGCAGCTCCATACTATATATACACACTAACAAACGCACACAGATCACACAAGCCTTTTACACACACCCCAAAATTCTCATCACGGCGCTCAACGGCCCCGCCGTCGGTCTCTCGGCTGCCCTAGCCGGCTGGTCTGATTTCATTTACAGTGCGCCACACGCCTTCATCCTCACGCCGTTTTCCTCCATCGGGCTTGTGACAGAAGGCAACGCCTCGATTGGCTTTGTGCGGCGGCTGGGCCTACCCAAGGCCAACGAAGCCCTCATAATGAGCAAGCGCATTACCAACGAGGAGCTCGTCGCCACGGGCTTCGTCAACAAGGTGTTTGACGTCGGGAACCCCACGGCGGCAGACTACAACGACAAGTTCCTGGCCAAGGTGCTCGAGGAGGTCAGCGAGCGCTTCGACCACCTGAACAGCGACAGTCTGGTGCAGATTAAGGCGCTAATCCAGAAGCCCGATCGTGCTGCCCTGGATAGACAGGGTGTCGAGGAGGCGCTGACCGGCTTGAAAAGGTTTGTACAGGGCATCCCACAGGAGGAATTCAGGAAGCTGGCGTCGGGTGAAAAGAAGCACAAGTTGTAAAAGGGATTTTTGGCTTGGACGACTCCGTGCTAAAGAGGAAAATAGAAGTGAGGGGAAAAACGAAACGAAAATACAAGCACGTGTTCAACATTTGCAATGAGGAAGATGACTGTTTATCGTGTGTACAAGGTCTTGGGTAATGTCTATACGCTATTACGTTGTGGAAATCCGCCATGTTAGCATTGGAATCACTCCTAATACTCAAACAAGCACACACTTCAAGACGTTTATTCATCATCATTGGATTGGCTCGTAGACCAGGAATCTATCCAAGCGACACTCCCTCTGTAGCCAACAGCTCTCCCCCCAGCGCATCATGTGCCGTTGGGCTCGCCGGATCGACAACGGGTCTATTTGGCGCGGAGGAATTATCCGCCAAATCCTGGAGCGAGCCTTGTCCATGCGGCGGCGGGGGGTTCCTCTTCTTCTTCTCCTCTTGCATCTGATGCTGCACGTAGCTCGTATATCTCAGCGCGACGAAGAGCATGAATGCCGAGACGCCAACGGTAATGGCGGCACGCCGCGTCAGGACCCAGCGGAGAGCCTCGACTTCAGAGCGCGCATCCGAGTTGAGGGCGACTGTGATTTTGTAGTTGAGCTCCTGGATCTACAAAAGGTGCCATGTTAGTGTGCCCTCTGTGAATTCGCGGGATAAAGTGTTCTGTATGTACCTTTGTCTCCATGCTCCTTTGCTCCTGCCTCACGGCCATTTTGCGGTCGTCAAAGAGCCCCTTAAGCTCGTCTTTCAGGCCGCCCGTCTCCTGTCCTAGGCGTTGCCCGAGAATATCTACTTCGTGCTGCAATTGGCCTCTTTCTTGCCGCATTCGCTCCATCTCGCCTTTCCTCGCGTTGCCAATTTCCGTCCGCAGTTCGCTACATGCTGCCCGGAACAGGTATGTCTCGTTTTCCACGTTGCTCTTGCTGACGAGACCTTCGCGCGCCAGTGCCATGTTGTCGAGTAGTATTTGTCGCACAGCCTTCATGATGATGATGGATTGGGTGGGTGTAAACGATGATTCCGATAGTTTGCGTACGAGGCCGTATGTGTCAAAATGATGAACGTAGGGGGGTGTCTTCAGGTGTGGTGGTTTGTGCGATTCTTCGTCAGCGGGTGAAGGCATGTGAAGGACGCTATCGAGGGGTTTGTTTTCGCCTGTTTTAGGCGGCTCGGGTGCTGGCGTTTTTGAGAACGTCTCCTCGGTGGCACTGGCTTTGCTGAGGGTCGAGGAGCTGGATAGTGTCGTTGGCGCATCTTCATCTACTTCTTCCTCGCGATCGAGGTCCTGAAACTTCTCTGTTGCCGTGGAGTTCTTATTTCGAGACACAATGGTCGGTTTCTTGTTTTCTGGTGAGACCGCGTGTTCGTATGCCTTTCCATATCGCTGTGGAATTGATTGCTCTGACCGGCAGGGCGCTGTGGTGAAGTGTCGTCGTGCTTGTCGAGCGCGAGGCGCGTTCTCCTTTGCTCTGGAAACGTGTATTCGTGCCGATTTTGCTGGCCTGAACAGCATAGGCCATAGGAAGGGCAGGTTCGGTGTGCCCATGTTGTCGCGCGTCGATGGGGAGTCAGAAGCTCAGACTTTGGAGGTATTTCGTCATTTGGGGATTCGGGTAATCTAGGGACAACACAACTGCAACTAGCGGGGGATCTGCCGCCCATAAGCGGTTGTCAATTCCGAACCACCATGCAAATGCTCGCCAGACTAGGCATTCTAATGTTCTTTAGGTGAAATAACAAACATTGTCATTAGCCTTCATAGATGAGTATTAATGATAATGACATCAAGCTTCGCAGGGCATAAGAACAACTCGCAACTGAACCGAGACTCATAAAGGGGAGTGTATCTACATAGGGTACTTTGAATAACAGCATAACAAAACACATCCTCCGCCGCATTCCGACATGTCTTTCTTTTCGTATAGATTCTACAGTAACAACATAACTTTTTCATCAGGCATTGCCCTGCCGACAACGCCACGCAATGCATCCACACGAAACCCCCGTCTCGGCCTGCAATAGAAAATCAAAAAAAACTTTTGTGTAGTAATCAAACCCCTGGGTATATTGGTAAGCCTGTTGGAACACCAGAAACAAAAAACTTTTGGTGCGCAATATCAGACGTCGTGCGAGGAACTGCTGACGGAGCTGCGGCTGGTGCCGTCGGTGACATGGGTTGCGATACTCAGCCGCTGAAAAGGCGAAACCAGATTCTGTTCCCGGGATGGTGGGCTTGAAAGGCCTTGGGTTGCCGGTGGTGATGTTGGTGGTACGTGGCCTGGCTGGACACTGTTGGCGCCATATCGCTCTCGGAGACGTTTGATCTCGCGCAGCCTGTTGCGCCAAGACGAGCTTGATTCGCCTCCTTCTCGGATGAACCATACGTTGGAAAACACGACGGCGTTGATAGCAATCAGACGGCAGTAGTCGGCGAGGTACTTTCCGCAAATAATCTTGGTCTCAACAGCAGGCGAGATGTCGGGAAAGCCAGGCTTGGAAATGGCTTGAACTTTGTAGTAGCGATTTCTACCCTCGGGATCAGAGTCCAGCCGGCGATCAACGAAGCTGGCTCTCGACTCGGGGGAAATAACAATGTGTACGTAGTTGAATTGCGAGGGAAAGGTGTCGAAGTTGTAGGGGAGACCGGAGTCGTTGAAAATGATGTTAACGAAATCGTTGCCAATATGGCGCTTCTTGTTGGGATACGTCATCTCGTCGTCGGGGTTCGTGGGCATCATAGTGGGGATGTGGAAAACGAGTTCCGTGCAGCGATCACGCCAACAGTAAGTGAATTCGCCGTCCATGTCTTCGCGTGTGTCGAGACCGCCAGTGTTGAACTTTGCACCCTTCAAGCGACAAAGCGTGCCTAGGTTGCTAAGGAACGATGTGTATGCGGGAGATCCAATGTCGTTCATGAAAATCTCTCTTTCATTCGTCTGACCTTCGCCAATGTATATGACTCCTACTTTGTAGTTGTCAACAGTGGCAATTCTGTCAAATGTGGCAATGGCACGGCGTGTGGGTTCGTCATCGGGCAGAGGAATTGGTGGGTTGCTGAGGTCCAGGGGCGCGTAGAAGGACTGGAAGATGTCATCTGGCAGAATGCCAACATAGGTATCAGAATAGAATGCTTCGGATGCGAGACCAATGGTAATGGGTACTTGATGTCGCGGAGGCGACGTGAGCAGTGGCCGCACTTTGAGATACCTGGTTCCGCACTACTAACAGTTAGTAAACTATGATGAAAATCCAGGGATATTAGACACTCACGGGTCGGCGTGTCGTGACAAGAGAAGTGCCGGTCCTTGCAGCAGTTTCTATTGTCACCAGGGCGTTGCCTACGATCCAAGTCTTCTTCCAAACCTCGCCGTCTCCGGGCTTGACAGAGAATTCTTCGCGTGTCGTCTGATCGCGATCCGTGTATGCCACCATGTTCATGATATCCACAAGGACTTGTCCTTGTTCTTCCATGACCTGTCGGCCAGAGCTATCGGTAAAGTACAGGTTTCTAGTGATCCATGGGATTTGCTTTGGACGATCCTCCATCTTCAAGGCCATGAACCAGAATGTGATGACATGGTAAGCGAGAGAATTCAGGTATTGAGGAAGGTCATCTTCAACACTTCTTGGCCTCGTCGCGCCGGGTTCTGGTGCCGCAAAGTCTCTAGATGTACCACTATGTCTAAGCGTCCGAGCACCGTTTTGAGACACGGTTCCGTTTGTGGCTCGACCCTGCTGGTCACGAATGTGCTGCAAGTAGCGAAAACACACTCCAAAAACCAGTTTGAACTCGTCCTCGCGAAAGTTTTTGAAGAGCTCTGGAAGGCGTGCCATTGAGACGAGGAATTCCAGAATGTGTATCGCCGTTGCTGGTTTTGTGATAATCTGCGACATCTTCTGGACGATGCTATCGAGCGATTTACTGACCGAGAGTGGGATTTCAAAACAGCACACAGAGAGTGCATGGATGCACCACTTTGATGTTCTGTCCCATTGGACTATGCCCTGTAGGAACGCTTTGACCAAATCGTCTTCTTCACTCTTTTCAAAGTACTCATGGTAGCTGATGATAACGGTCAACGTATGGAACAGGCAGACGGCAACATCTGCCTTCTTTAGAAGAGTGTGTGGTGGCGGTTCATGGAAGCTCGCATTTCGGACCTGTTCACAAAGGACGTTTCGCAGCATTTGGAGCTGTACAACACAACTGCGGACCAATGCTTGATTGGACAGCTGGGGACCGAGGTGAACGAGGACATAAGAGTATATCTCCCAATCAGTCGGTCTTTGGAGCAAAGAGATGATCAGCTCCAACCACAGTGTGATTTCCATGTCCAAGACATCATCGCTGAGAGGATATTTGGCAGCATCGATATGTGAGAAGACCACTCGACTGGATTCGGGCGATGGCTCTTCGGGGAGGCCCATTGGGCCCGGATACATCCATAAAGGAGGTATCGGTCTTGATACGCGTCCTGTGGGCGGAACCTGGCGACCCGAATGGCGGTTGAGAGAAGAGCGGGGGCTAGTTCCAGAAGTCTTACGGTTTTCCCTCCAAGAAGAATAATCTTCAGAGCGAGCGTAGTCCCCTGGCACAAATTCGTCATTTCTTTCAGTAATGGCTGTTTCTTCTGTGCGGCATAACTCGGCAGCAATACGCTCACCCTCGGAGGAAGAGTTGACTATGAGTGCAAAGCGGGCGTCTGCACGTAAACGGAACAACAACTTGAGGGCCGACAGGCGCGCATCGTGCGCATATCGGTCGCCTCCAGCAATCTCCCGCAGTACTTCGTAAAGCACGCGAGTTTTCCGTGCTGCATGGGTAACACTTCGAGTAAACAGCCGCACATAGGCTATAGTGATTACGTTGCATGGGGAACATCCGTCATCCTTTGTGAGAAACAGATGAGGTTGCCATGGCACCGATGGGGCCGGTGGTGCAGGCTGAGGTCGGTCGAGACGTTTCTTCAAGATATAGATAATTTGAGAGAAGCGGTCGAAGGATGCTTGATCGGCAACATACATGGCGAAGTCTACGAGTTCCTGCAAGACTTCAATGTCGTCTTCAGGCTCGATGCGGCTGAGTAGGAGTTCTTCGCATTGCAACACAACATCGCTGTCACACAGCAACTCGACTGTGCTGTACGTCTCCCGTAGCACTCGTATCACCATGGTGCGGAGTGAACGCGGGCGGGTGGTGTCGTTGAATATGCCCGTGACAAGACGTCGGCAAAGATGCAGCCAATCTTCATTAGACGGGTTGAGATAGCGTTCTTCGGCAAAATAGCGGATGACTCTCTCTGCGGTTGCATCGCTCACACGGTGTGAAAGGCGCAAGAAGAGCTCCATGGTAGCTTCTCGCTGGACAAAATCAAATGCGTCGCTGAGATGGTCCAGCTTGACCAGGACTTTGAATATGCCATCTGCGGAATCTCGTTGATAAAGTTCGTGTTGGGACGGGGCGCTCTCATCGTGTGGTGCTATGTCGTCGTCGTGCTCCATTACGCCTATGGGCGGCGAGGACGAGGCAAACCGATGCCGAATCACAGGCCTACCATTACTCGACTTGTTATCGTGAGGAGAACCTAGTCTCTCAATGGAGCCTTTCTTCTCAATGCTGAGCCTGTCCGTTGTTTTGGCAAGTCTGGCGCGGACGCGGTCATCATCACGCTCAGCGCATACACAGATTACTTCGAGCAAATCCCCCAGGTCGCTCTCGGCAAGAAGCAAGTCTCTCATACCGTCTTGGTCCAGAACGGTATCTATCAAGCTGACGATGATTTGTTCCTGGTCGGTATTGGGCCTTTGGATGGACGCTTTCAGTGCGGGGAACAACAGGGACATGGGCACCTTGGGCAGCTCGTTACGACCATTTTCCAAGAGGAGGAGACGTAAGACCAGAGTTGTGCCTGTATACATGCTGTCGAGCCTTTTCTTGTCGATGTCCTGGAGATTGTCCTGGGTAGGGCCATCGAGGAGCATATGGAGCAGCACGGATATTGCAGCTTGGCCAATGTGAGACTTGAAGAGGTTGCTCAGTGTGTTCCACGCTTGGTCCTGGAAGCCATGGATTCTCTTGTGGATTTCGCTCAAAACTTGCAGACAGGGACGGAGTGACTTGGTGGGCACGTGGACATAGGTGATGATGGTGTCAAAGAGCTTGATGCCGCACTCTACGTCGGGTCTGTAGAATGTAGCCTTGCAGATGGCGACGGTTCTTCTGATGAGGAGATCCAGGTCGTCGTCGGTGAAGACCTTGGCGTTGAATTTGCAAATGTCAATGGTGAACTGGAAGGCCCGGAACATGTTGGCGACCTCGTGGGGCGTGCCTGCAACCGCCTTTTTCGCATTCGACCTGGTCCGCTGGGCGTTGAGGGCATCCTTGCTGGCCTGGAAGCAGTTTTCCAGCGAGGTCAGGACAAACGAGACCATGCCCGACTCGCACGACTCGATGTCGCGGCCGTCATGGGTGAGGGTGGTGACGACGTCGAGACGCTTGTCAAAGAAGCGGTCGTTCTTGCGCAGACAAGCCGCGTCGAAGAAGACGGTGCGCTCGATGCTCGTCAGGTTGGCCAGCGAGGCGCAGGCCTTGAGCAGGCGGTAGCCCACGTCGGCGACGTCGTCTGGCTGCTCGGGCAGGAGCAGGTCGCTAGCCACGGACCACAGAGCCAAGACGTTCTGCACGGGATACTCTTGCAGGATGGCGCATATCCTGTCCACGACCACGACCCTCTCGGCAAACGGCCGGCTGCGGTCGAGCTGGGCGATGAGCTCGTCGAGCTCTGGCGGGCCGCCCGTGACTGGCCTGACGGCGCGCTGGCCGGCGCCATGGCTGAGGCGGTGGAGGGAGCCGTCGGCATGGTGCGAGCCTGAGAGGGAGCCTGCACGAATGGTGCCCAGCGAGGGCGTGCGCGCGGGCGTGCTGGTGGCCGACGAGAGCGAGGGCGGGGGCGTCGGGCTCTTCAGGCGGCCGCCGGTAAGGGAGCGGAAGGCCGTGAAGAGAGCCTGGGTGGAGGAGCGGCGGTCGGGCGTGCGAGGGTCATGGTCCGCCGGCGGAGACATGCGTCTCGGTGTCGCGGGCGGGGCGAGGCGCTGGGGATGCTGGTGGGGATGCTACGACTACGGGCGACGGACAGGCAGACGAGGGGGTTACGAGCGAGGCGCAGGCGCATCGAGTCGGTCATCCGGGCGGGTGGGCGGAGAAGCAGCAGACGCAGAAGCAGAAGCAGAAGAAGAAGAAGAGGCGGGGCTGGCGGTGCCCATCTGCTTGTTGCGGGCGGGCGGCGGCGGGCGGCGGCGGGGGGGCAGGGCGGCGGGCGTGGGCGCGGGCGGCGCAGGCAGAAGAGGCAGGGCGGGCGTGGGCGCGAGGAGAAAAAGGCGGCGCGGGCGAGGGCGACGAGGGCGTGAAGGAGGCACGGCAGCGTCTCGTCATGTGAGGAATGCGACTGTGAAAATCGCCGTCTGGGGTACCTGAGGCGCATCCCTGTCTGTCCTACTTGCACTTACGCCCACCGCCCACCGCCCAAGCTCCGGCCCGCTAGCCCTGGTGGTAAAGTGGGCGCCCGCCTGCCCCAAACAGCAACCAGCGGCCAAACACCGTCGTCGTCTTTTTTTTCCTTCTCTTCTCTCGCCTTATTGCTTCCGTGTTCCATCCCCGCCATCATACCATGGCCGCCGACATCGCCACCCTCTCACAGCTGCTCCAGGCCAGTCTGGACCCCCGCCAGAACAAGCAGGGTAAGTGGCAGCAGCAGCAGCATAGTGCCTTTGTTTACACCACCGCCCGCCCGCGGCAGCGCTCCGTGGCAAAGGCGCTCTGCACACGCAATGCGCGCCCCTCTCAGCGTCCAAGATGTACAGCAGATACATGTGCCCGGGACTGCTGTGCCTGGCCCAGATTCGATTCCCTCACCGCACCCCTCCACGGCCCACTACTGCTTTTGACCACCCGCTGACTTTCCACAGCGGAGGCAGCCATTGCCCAAGAACAGACCAAGCCCGGCTTCTCCCTCGGCCTCCTCCAGATCGTCGCCTCAGACGCCAGCCCCCAGACGACACGGTTAGCCGCCGCGCTCTACTTCAAGAACTTCATAAAGCGGAATTGGGTCGATGAGGACGGCAACTACAAGCTGCCCGAGGGCGAGGTGGTGGCAATCAAGAGCGAGCTGATCGGCCTCATGGTCTCGGTGCCTGCCAGCTTGCAGGCGCAGCTCGGCGAAGCTATCAGCGCCATTGCAGACAGCGACTTCTGGCAGCGGTGGGACACGCTGGTCGACGATCTGATTTCGCGCCTCACGCCCGACAACACGGTCGTCAACAACGGCGTCCTGCAAGTCGCACACTCCATCTTCAAGCGCTGGCGGCCGCTGTTCCGCTCCGACGACCTCTTCACCGAGATCAACCACGTCCTGTCCAAGTTCGGCACGCCCTTCCTCCAGCTGCTCGAGAACACCGACGCCCTCATCACAAACTCCCAGGGCAACCCCGAGACGCTCAAGAACGCCTTTACCACACTGGACCTCTTGGTCAAGCTCTTCTACGATCTCTCGTGCCAGGATCTGCCTCCCGTCTTCGAGGACCACATTGGCGTCATTTCAGGCCTCTTGCACAAGTACCTCATCTACGACAACCCCGCCCTACACACAGACGACGACACCGAGTCGGGGCCGCAGGAGTATGTGCGCGCCGGTATCTTCGAGGCGCTCATGCTCTACATTCAAAAGTACGAGGATGTCTTTGGCTCGCACCTGGGCCAGTTCATCGAGAGCACTTGGGGCTTCCTCATGTCAGTAGGACTAGAAACCAAGTACGACATCCTGGTCAGCAAGGCGCTGCAGTTCCTGACGTCGGTCGCCTCTACACAACACGCCGCAGCCTTCAACAACCAAGACGTTTTGGTCCAGGTCATCGAAAAGGTCATTCTGCCGAACCTGACACTGCGCGAGTCGGATGTCGAACTGTTTGAAGACGAGCCGATTGAGTTCATCAGGAGAGATCTCGAGGGATCCGACAGCGACACCCGCCGTCGCGCCGCGACAAACTTCTTGCGCCAACTGATGGCTCGCTTCGAGGCACTAGTCACGAGCACCTCCAAGACGTACATTGACGCCTACCTCCAAGACTACGCCAAGGACCCGGCCAACAACTGGAAGTCCAAGGACACGGCAGTGTACCTCTTCACTGCAATTGCCGCAAAGGGCACTGCCACCGCCGGCCAGGGTGTCATGAGCGTGAACGAAAATGTCAACATTCTTGAGTTCTTCCAGGCGCATATCGCTGCTGATCTGCAGGCACAAGGCGCCTCACCAATTCTCAAGGTCGATGCTATCAAGTTCCTATACGTCTTCCGCAGCCAGCTGTCAGCCGACCTGTGGCGTGCTGCATTCCCACTACTCGTGAACCAACTGGGCGACGAAAACTACGTCATCCACACATATGCGGCCATCGCGGTAGAACGAGCTCTGTTCATGACCGACAGCAACCGACAGCCCATTATTCCCAAGGCTGACGTTGTAGGCTCAACAAAGGATCTCCTGGCGCACCTGTTCAAGCTCATCACCAAGAACTCTGCTCCTGAAAAGATTCAAGAGAACGAGTTCTTGATGAAGTGTGTCATGCGTGTGCTCATCTTTGTGCGCGATGGCGTTTTGCCAATCTGCGAAACCGTCTTGCAAAACTTCATCAATATTGTCAAGGTTATTCGCCACAACCCCAGCAACCCTCGCTTCCAGTACTACTTGTTTGAGGGCATCGGAGCGCTGGTTCGATTCGGTGCACCCAAGCACCCTCAGTTCTTTGAGGAGAAACTCTACGAGCCATTCGCTGCCTGCTTGCAGGCCAACGTTGAGGAATTCTCTCCCTACATTTTCCAAATATTTTCTGCATTGCTCGAGGCCAACCCCTCCGGTGAGCTGAGCGAGTACTACAGGAGTCTGTTCGCAATCATTATCCAGGGTGCAGTCTGGGAGCAGCGCGGTAACGTGCCGGCCTTGGCCCGCCTGCTCAGCGCCATGGTCGCCCGCGATGCCCAGCATATCGTCGCCAACAAGCACCTGGAGCCTATTCTGGGTATCTTCCAGAAGCTCGTCACCAGCAAAGCACATGAGACGTACTCGTTTGAACTCATCGAGTCTGTCGTCGCTCACATTCCAGCCGAAGCCCTTCAACCGTACTTTGTTACCATCCTCCAGCTGATGCTGACAAGGCTGTCCAACATGAAGACAGAGAACTTCCAGCAGCGCTTCATTGCCTTTTACCACTTTGTTTCTGCGCGACTTGACAAGGGACTTGGTACCGATTTCTTCATCAGCGTCACCGACCAGATCCAGCATGAGTAAGTCGCATTGCGAGACACATTGTAGTAACCACTGACTCGTCAATAGCATATTCAAGCCCATCTACTTAACTGTCATCCTCCCCGATACGCAAAAACTTGCGCGACCCACAGACCGCAAGACTGCTGTGGTGTCATTTACCAAGACTCTAGGAGATTCACAAGCGTTTGTCGACCGGTACCCCAAGGGCTGGATGCTCACCACTCAGCGCCTGATTGAACTCCTGGTCAACCCACCAGTGCCCACCGCTGCTGATGACATTATTCCTGACGCCGATGTGGACGAGCTTGGCTTTGGTGTTGGTTTTACGCAACTCAACACATGCAAAAAGGCACCTCGCGATCCTTTCCCCGAGATTGCTGACGTAAAGCAATGGGTTGGTGAATATCTCAAGGATGCCAACGCACGTCATGGCGGCCGCATTGTCAAGATTGTACAGGAACGACTGGATGAAACGTCCAAGCAGGCATTGGCGGCGTACCTAAGCTAAATGTACGTGCAAAAGTGGTGCGCCCGGTTTATGGTAGAGACGAACTTGGATTGGCAAAAAAAGCGTGGATGAATGAGACGGACGAAGCTGGCCTCTTAACAACATGGGATATGATACCAGGGTTAGAATAAGGGGTTGGAGTTTTTCTTATTGATAAATGTTTTCTCGTAATCAGCCGACACGAGATATGGCAAGCTACTGTTATTATCTGCGTGTGTAAAGTGTCCGTGAAGATGTGAGTACCTGATTGATTTTTCAGTGGCACCTGATGAAGCTGAAAAGGGAGATGAAAAAATAAAACCCCCACGTCGGTGCAAACCTTATTTTTACTGCCCTTGTTCATTCGACTTACCATTCAAGCCACATTTTTTTTTCTTGTCTTTTTTTTTACTTTTTCCCCTATTCACTTCTAGACTAATCCCTCTCCACACTAGACTGTAAACAATAAATTCTCGCCTTTTTTTTCTAGACCTTACCCATTGACTAATTCTCCCTCCCTCCCACATACATACGTACGCATGCACACACCTGACCAACCCCTGATCTACACCTAACGCCTTTTTCGCCTTCCACACTAACTCATAATGCCACATATATTGCACACGTGGTGTAGCCCCCGTACCCACGTACCCACGTAACTCTCTCGTTTTCGCTCCAGCTGCAAGTCATGCAAGTCATGCACCCCTCCACGTCTGCTTTCTTGCTTCCACCCCACACATACACATACACATATACACACATACATACGTATGTAAGTATGTAAGTATGTAAGTAAGCAAGTAACGTGCATGCGCAATATATACTAGATGTGGTAATCCCGCGTCGCACGCCCCGCGTCTGTCTTTTCGTCTTTGCTTGACTTTTTGTAGCGTCTGGAGTGTCTTGAGAAATGGAGGAATGGATTAAATAGCGCCATGTGATACAATGATGATGTAAGTATGCAGCGTAATGGGGGATGGGGGATGGGAAATTAATTGATTGACTGGATGACTGGTTGGTTGGTTGGCAGGCTGACTGACTGACTGGCTGGCTGATAACCAATTCATCCCATCCCATGCCATCTCATCGTGTTTACACACATATTGCCATAACAGCAGGATACGCGGGATACCAGCGATACTTGCTGTGCCTTACACGGCTGGTTGGCTGGCTGGCTCGGTCAGTTTGGAGTATGTAGGATACGTGGCTGTAGTAGTAGTAGTAGTAGTAGTAGTAGTAGTAGCACACTTGGTAATAGCCTTGATGTTATTGTTATTCTCAGATGGCTCCAGTGTACTTGTATCGCAGTATCGACTTCGTTACTTACCTTCCATCTACCTAGCTACCTACCTACCTACCTACCTATCTAAATAAACACCCCAATATCTAAATGTCCAAACCTAGGCGTATATGCATATGCATATGCATATCTAGCTGGTGGAAATTAATACACCGGGATAGCATGAGATGGAAACCAACTCTCTTATTCTTATACACACTGATACCCACATAGATATATAGCCATACCAAAACAAAGACATGGAAAGAAAGAAGAAAGAAAGAAAGACAATGAAATTCGGGTATGAGTGGATAAACGTTGGGTCCAATCCAATCCAATCCAATCCCCTACCTAGTCCCAGTCTCTCCAAAGCCCAGGTCCAGGAGTACTTACATGTACTTAACAGCATGTAACTAACGCAGAAACAGTGGGTGTGCGCGGGGGTGTTGGTGTTGGTGTTGGTGTTGCTGCAGTGTGTTTCGGAGTTTCCCTATACTCCACATTCCACAAGTTTAAACGTTATACAGTAAGCCCCCCCCTGCTCCACCCCTGCTCCACCCCGTAAGTAAGTAAGTAAGTAAGAAAGTAAATAAGTGCCAGCAGCAATACGCCGCACGGAAGATTAAAGGGCTAGAAAAAAAAGTACCATGTCTGGGAATGTGGAAGGGTGCAGGGGAGAAGGGGGGTCATGTGAGACTGTGAAAGAGTCATGTGAGGTACGTTTCTGAGCGTATGAGTGTGTACATGGGTGAGTTAGTGCTGACGGGGGGGGTATTTTTCCAAAGTATACGTACTAGTTTCGATGGTTTTTTTTGTTTGGGGGGGGGGGGGAGGGACTATGTATCAGGTGTGTGTGTGTGTGTGTGTATGCATGGGGTAAATACATGGGTGTGTACGGAGGTGCCTTTCAAAAGTTCTGTCTGACGCTAATCTTGGCCCTTCGGCGCAATTCTTCTTGGCGCAACTCCCACCTTTAAGCTAAGCTATTAATTAGTTATAGTTATCTATCTACTTAGTACTATAGCTCCTAATACTAATTCTTACACCCGTGTCTTAATTATAACGTTAAAGTCACCTCCTATTGGCAAGTCAACGTCACAGATCTTAGAGCTAACTAGTGTTAATCCTCGTACGGTCGATCGTATCTATAGTAGAGCTATCGCTGCTGGCTTTGAGCCAAACGTTCTCCCTCTCAAGATCCTTCCACAGCACGTTCAAGATACCCCTCGCTCTAGCAGGCCTGCTAAGCAGACAGAGGAGGTGAAGGAGCAGATATTTCAACAAGTACGACGCGATAGATATGGACAAGAGAAGAGCTGCGCTGACCTTGCTAGTGCGCTTAGTCTCTAAGGAGTCGAAATCTCTGCCTCTACTATCTAGAGGGTATTAAGAGAAGCAGGATACAAAAAGACTAAGCCAACAAGGAAGCCTAGGTTAACATAGGAGATAAGGAGTGCTCGTCTTAGATGGGCGATCGACCACAAAGACTAGACGTTAGAGGACTAGAAGAATGTCATCTAGACAGACGAGACGTCCGTGGTGATCAACCACCAACGTAGGGGCTATAGGATCTAGAGAAAAGCAGACAAGAGAGTAGTTAAGAGCTGTATCTGTAAGAGGTGGAAGGGATACTCTAAGTTCATATTCTAGGGCTGCTTCTCGTATGACAAGAAAGGTCCATGCCATATCTACCAGCTAGAGACAAAGGCAGAGAAAGAGGATGCTGCTTAAAGATTAAGCAGCTAAACGCTAAGCTTGAACCTCTATAGAGAGAGGAGTGGGAGCTGTTAGAGTCTATGAGAAGGACAGGGCTGCGCAACAAGCCTAGCAGAAAACCTCAATGGAGATAGACAGAGAATACAGGCAAGCTGGTGCGTAAGCCTGGAGGTGGTATAGACTAGTGGAGATATCAGAACTGTACTCTAATACCAAAGCTGATTCCTTTCGCCAAAGAGTGCCTCTAAGATAGACCTCAGACTATCGTGATAGAAGATAAGGCACCTGCCCACGCCCACCACTATCAGAGTGTGATCTATAGTCTGCACGACGTCGAGAGACTACTCTAGTGTGGCAACTCGCCAGACTATAACTGTATTAAGCCGTGCTGGTTCTATATGAAGAGAGAGACTACGAAGAAAGGAGCTCCACAGTCAAGGGCTGAGGCAGTTAGAGTCTAGCAGAATTGCTAGAGAGACCTTTCTCAACTTAAGATCTAAGCTTAGATTAAGCGGATTCTTATTTATGTCTAAAAGATAATTAAGCTATAAGGTGGTAATAAGTATATAGAGGGAAGAGACAAGCCTCGACTAAGGCGGCCGTACTTCGGCTGAATTATTCTTGGCAGACAGAACTTTTGAAAGGCACCTGTACAAGGCTTACTTTTAGATTTGACCAGGAAAAAGACAAGTCATATACAACCAAGTTAACCACAAGTAATTCGAGCAGTTCATTGACAAAAAAAACGGTAGATTATTAAAGTTATCTATGAAACCGGAAATAAAAACAGGGACTCGCTTGCTTTGCTTGCTAAAAATAAGAAATGACAACCATCTTCTTTTTTGTGTATAAAACAACAACGCCCTCTTTCCCTTATGGTGAAAATCGGAAAATTCAACGACAGAGACGAAAGAAGAAAAAGAAAGAGGAACACTTCCTCTAAAACAATCATGTAAACGCTGTATGTGTGTGTGTGGGTGGGTGTCTGTGCCAGATGCCTCCCAAAAAGTAAATGCCCAATCGCTCAATGCCCCAAGTGCGTATACAAAACCATCGCACTATCCGAAAAAATGTGGGAAAAAGAAAAAAACTGTGGTGAGACTCTTGCTAGCTGTGTGGGAATCAAAACGAAGCAATGTAGCAAAAAAAGTCGTCACACCCCTGGGTATCTCTTCTCTTTGTGTGTTTTAACCTTCATGAATCCTTTTAAGCATACTTTTCAATCATGGCCATGGCGCCGTGCTTCTCGAGACCCTCAAGAGCAGTCTTGAGCTCAGCGACGAATCGCTGGTCACTGCGGAGGTCATCACCAAAGAGGCTCTTGATGTTGAGCTGGGAAATGGGGTCCTTGGCGGCGTGGGCCTGGAGCTCCTCGACCATGGGGTCGTCGACCTTGAAGGCCTTGCCGGCATCATCAACACCCTTGTTGTAGCGGAACCAGGCGGCGGCAACAAGAGTAAGGCGGCGGAGAGGACCACCAGCTACAATCTGCTCGGCAATGCTGGGCATGATGAACTGGGGGATCTTGCCACTGCCGCCAAGGCAGATACGGGGAAGCTCGTCCTTGAGGGTGGGGTTGGAGAAGCGGCCAAGGAGCGTGTTGCAGTAGTCGTCGACGCTGACACCGGGGATCTGGGGAAGGAGAGGCTTGACCTCCTGGTGCATCATGTTGACGACAAACTGTCGGTAGACGGGGTGGCCAATGACTTCGTGGATGTAGTTGAAGCCGGCGAGCTGACCAGCGTAGCCCATGGCGGAGTGGGATCCGTTGAGCAGACGGAGCTTGATCATCTCGTACTCCTCGACCTGGTGGACGTTGGGGACAATCTGAACACCGGCCTTCTCAAAGGGAGGGCGGCCGTCAACAAACTTGTCCTCGAGCACCCACTGGTGGAAGGGCTCGGTGACGACTGGCCAGGCATCCTCGACACCAAAGTTCTGGGCAAGGTTGGCCTTGTCCTCTTCGTTGGTGCGGGGAGTGATGCGGTCGACCATGGAGTTGGGGAAAGCACCGTTGCTGGCGATCCAGTCGGCGACCTCTGGGTTGAAGTGGCGGGCGAAAGACACAAGCATGTCACGGCTAATGTCACCGTTCTTCTGCATGTTGTCGCAGGACAGAACGGTAAAGGGTCGCAGACCAGCTGCGTGGCGGCGAGCCATGGCGGCGTAGAGGTAACCAAAGACGGTGCGTGGGGGCTGTCCACCAGCCAGGTCGGCGGCAACGTCGGGGTGGTCGGTCTGGAGCTCGTGTGTGTTCTCGTTCATGTAGTAACCGCTCTCGGTGACAGTCATGGAGACAATGTGCGTGTCGGGGTGGGCCATCTTGGCAATGACGGCCTCGGAGTTGTCAGGAGCAAAGAGATAGTCCGTGATGCTACCCACGACGCGGGCGCTGCTGCCCTCGGCGGCGCGCTCAATGATGGTGTAGAGATTGTCCTGGGGCTTCAGGGCATCGCGCATGGGGGCAGCAAAGGGCTGCAGGTCAACACCGCAGATGGACCAATCCTGGACATTGAATTGCTCGAGAAGGGTGTCGACGTAAGCAGCAAGATGGGCGCGGTGGAAACCTCCCACGCCGACGTGGACAATGCCCTGCTTGACCCCCTGTCGTTGGTAGGTGGGCACAGAGACATTTTGCAGCCGAGCAAGGTTTTTAGTGTTAAGTTTAACGGGGGTGGCCGCGACGCGGCGAGATTGGGTCGAGACAGGGGCGGGGATCTTCTCCTCCTTGCGGTGGGTGAATTCCCTGGGAGGAGCGTTGTAGATGGGCTTGCCCTCCGAGGGCGTCTGACGGACAGCCTCAGTGCTCTGGAAGCGGACAGGCGTGGCGCGGTGGCAGGGCCTGGTGGACTGGAAGACAGCGCGGGCGCGGGCTGCTCGGAGCAGGTTCCTGGGGACTTGGGGAGGCATTGTGTGCTATGTGTGTATGTGTGAAAAAAGCTCAAGGGATGACGGGAGGAAAAAGGGACGGATGAGCAGAGTACGAGGAGGCGGCGTCCAGGAGCTTATAAAGTGACAGGCTCTGTCCTTTTTGTGGGCACGAGTGCCTTGTCTCGTAAGCAATGGTGGTCGGGAAAAAAAGTCGACCATAGCGTAGGGGCCCCTATTTTTTCAGAGGGTCTAGACATGGTGGATTCTGAGTCGGGAAACGAAGGCTGATAGCCTGTGCTTCGGGAAACGTGGGCAGTCGCCAAAGGGGGTGGGCTGCGGCTTGCATTGTGTTGTGTCGGTCGGTCGGGCGCGGCGGCGGCGGCGGGCTGGATGGGGACGGACGGGCGCTTGGGCCGCCCGCCCACAGCCGTGCGTGCAGGAACAGTCTGGCGGGCTGGGTTATGGGTACGTACCAGACGATCAGACATTTTTTTTTGCCCGCTGGGTTTGACGCGTCCGCGGCGGACAGGCGCCCCGGTTTTTAGACTGGAGAAAAGTTTCAGACTTTTGCGCTGCCGCCTCCGCCGTCTGAAGGGGTCGGGGGGTTCGGGGAGGCAGGCGAGAGCCACAATTGCGCCGGAAGAGGGCGATAGTGCTGATGCTGGCAGGCGACTTTGTGCGGTGGATGCAGGACCCATGGCATGGCGTGCTGCGCGGGTGGCGTGGATGGGCGTGGGTGGTGTGGGTGGTGAGGGATGCTGGACAGCAAGCAATGCCATGTGTGTTCAAGGTCGGTGACCAAAAGGGTGGATGGCGGCTCTCCCCAAGATACACACCGCTCGGTTGGCAGGTGCAGGCGTGGGGCGTGGGGGAATTGGCGTTGGAGATGGCGTCGCAGTTGCAGTCGCCGTCGCAGCTATCGCCGTGGCCATGTTGTTGAGCCCAGGCCGCATTATCAGCACCGCCTTGGCGCGCGATGGATGGGCGGATGGGTGTGGGTGGGTGGGTGGATGGATGTGCGGAGGAGAATGGGGGGAATGGGATGGGATGGGGGGTGAGAGCGGGATGCAGCGTGCGACAGCTGTGGCCTCAGCATGGCCGTGCCCGGGCGTCATGGATGGGAGAAGCACATGCACCTGGGGTAAGGCCGTGGCCATGGCGATGGGTTCTCACCACGCACACGCACACACTCCAAGACGTTGAGATGCATCCCAATCCTCTGCCTCTGCCTCTGCCTCTGCCTCGCCGCTGACTCGTTCACCGACTTCTGGCTGGACCGGCGATCTCGCACCAACGGCCACCAAAGCGATCTACGGGCCTGCAGCTGAGCCTCATGCACATGCCAATGCCGTGCCCGCCGTGCCCTGCCACGCTCTGCCACGCCCTGCCATGCCCTGCCATGCCATGCACATGCACATGCGACATTGCCCGGCCACGGCACATCATCCCCGCCACGATAGCTCTGCCTCTCTGCCTGTGCCTGCACCAGCGCCCATTATTAGATCGCCCAGCTCAGCCCTTTCGGCGCTACGACGTCAGTAGCGCGCCCCAATTGCCACCGGCACCTCTTGTTTCGTACAAGCCGAACCAGCCCAAGCCGGCGCGACAAGGGGCCCGCATCGAAGCATGGAAGAAGCCCTCTTTTTTTTTCCTTTCTTTCTTTCCATCTTGCTTTCTTTCTTCGAACCGCCCGGCCTCCAACTGCTCCCATGCCTGCTGCACTGTGAGCTCACCGGCCCCAGATAAGCTCCTGCACCCTGATCCACTCCCGCGCCCGGGCTGCCCCTTCAACCGCTACGTGGATCCACTTGGCCTGTGTAGCCCCATGTACATGTATACGTATGTATACATGTCCTTGTCGCCTTGTTGATACATGCTACTACTAGCATCCGCAAAGAAGCAACACCACAATGTATGCACCAAGGCCGACCTTCCTCGTCGACGACTTTTCCGCACACTAGCTGCCTTCCGCGCGGCCCTCGCCCTCACGCCATCTCCCCTCCCCCCCCCTTGCTAGCACCCCCCCCCCGGACAAATAGGAGTACAATTATTATTATTATTATTATTGTAGTTTAACGTCCTTTCTCAGCCCAAAGGGCTATATAAGACGTGCAGGCTTAAGGCCTGCAAGTAACTACGTAGGCTAGAATTTAATCTAGGTACAAATTGAGTAGGTACAATGTAGGGGGTTATCTAAATGAAGGTGAGGCTCGTAGCCTAGTAGTTTTTTAGTGAGTAACTCTCTCAGATCTTTCACTTTAAATGAGTCTTCCTCTCAAGTTTTAACGAGTAACTCTCTCAGTCGAATAGGTAGTTTAATGAGTAACTCTCTCATGTGGGTGGACCATAAATATGGTTGTGAGGGGAGAAGGATTCGAACCTTCGATCTTTGCTGACGTGAGACAGCAGAAAATTTTCCAGGCGCTCCACCACTGCGCCATCCCCCCATAGGAGTACAATTGCCATGGCGGAAGCTTGGATTTGTCTCGGCACATGGCTGCTGCGCCCGGTCAGACTCACCACGCGCTCCGTGTCCAGCATCACGCGCACACCTCACATTTCCAAAATCCTGGGCGTGGCCAAGCACATAGTAATAATAAGCAATGGCTATCCTTTTCACGATGCCCGTTTGGGCGCCCGTGCCTCTCCAGACATTACCCTCCAATAGTCGTCGCCCGCTTCCCCACGACTTGCCAATAGTCGCTGTTACGCGTCCCCCCCCTTCCCACCCCATACTCTCTTGCGGCCCCGACCGTGTCACATCATGGCTGTGTACATATGTATGACTCCTTTTTTCCTTCTGACACCTTCATTTCCGTTTCTTTTTTCATCAAAGCTTCAAAAACACCTCCCGCATCTTCTCGTAGTTTGGCGTTCCGAGTCCCGTGACTGGATCCCACCCCGGACTTGCTGGGAACCCGTCGGTCCCGCACCCCGGGTTGCTGCCAGCAGTCACGTCGTTGAACATGTCCGGATACTTGTACAGGATCGGGTTCAGAAAGCCAATTGGCTTCTTGCCAGCCTCGAGTCGCTCCTCGTTCAACAGCGTAATGAGGCTGGCAAAAATGGGCGCCGAGACCGATGTGCCTCCCGCACTCTCCGTCTTGTTGAGCCAGATTATCGGCATGTGATCGCCAATGGCCGACACGTCTGGGTACCCGCGACCCGACGAGTTGAAGACCGATTCCCCGTACGCCGGCACATACTTGTCCAGGTACTTGGACACGGCCGCCGACTGCCACGACGGACGACCAAAGACGCTCGAGAAGCCGCCGCCCGAGTAGTATGACAGCAGCCCGTTGGGGCCTGCCACAGCCTCCTCTCCGAGCGCCAGGCTTCCATTGCGCAGTGTTGTCGCTCCAACAGCCGTAATCTACCTGTACTCAGTACATGCACCGCCGCAACACAGTAGTCTCGACACTTACATAGGGACAGTTGACCGGAAAGCTGGGGGAGAAGCGCGTGCCCTTCTCGTCCACATAGCCAGACTCGGCGTTGAGGCAGCTGTTGTTGTATCCAGCGTTGTACCGGTTGGCAACACCAGAGTCTCCCGAGGCAACCACTACACTGACTCCTTGCAGCGCCAGCTTCATCCACTCGCGGCACTGCCGTTCTTGGTAGAACCGCGGCAGTGCGCCTTCAATCTGGCCATACGAAATGGAAATCACATTACTCGAGGGCGCCCCACCGCACTGGAGCGGGCCCTGGTATCCGCCGTCGTTAGGGTCGGGGTAAGCTGGGTCGACGTAGGGCTGGTCTCCGCCTTGGTACGTGCAGTACGACGCATCCTGGGGCACGTTAGCGATTGGTGAAGCAGACCAAGCCTTTGGAGGGGGGGGGGGACCCACCAAAGCGTCTAGGAAAATGTTAAACGTGCCGACGGAATCCACATTGACTCCGTCTCCCACTTGGTACAGCCGCGTTTGTTGAGGCCAGATGATGGAATATGCCGTCTGGAAGTCCAGCGCACTTTCAACCACTTGCTGCGCCTTTGCCCTCGCCAGGCTCGATTCTTTGCCACGGTCGATGGAGACAAACTCTGGCACCGTGTCGGCAGGAATCTTGGGCGTCGTCAACAGTTCGAAGAACTTGGGCAGGTCGGGCAGGTAGAGATAGTCGGCCCACTCGGCTATGCCCAGCTTGTTTCCAGTGTGGTTGTACTTGCCAGCAGGGATCTTGTAGAGCTCGCGCAGACAGTTGATGGTCACGAGCTTTCCGCAGTGCGAAAGGTCCGTCAAATTCAAGTTGGCATCTCCGCTGGCCACGGCCTCGTGGCGTATCGTCTGGGCCACGGGCTGCAGTCCATCGAGCTGAATCGTGGGCATGATGAAGTCGACGTGCGGACGGACATGCTGCGGAAGCCCATACTCGTCGCAGGCAACGCGGAAGCCTCCGCTCTGCTTGTGCTGGTAGTTGTGGTACTGCGTGTTGAGCAGCGCCTCCAATTCTGAAACCGTTGCCGAGAACTCGAGCCAGTTGCGTCCTGGGATGGTCAGACGCCGCTTGTTTTTCCTGCAATGCCCATGTTCGCCAACTTACCGACAGAGTGTTTGACACGCTGGCTGCCAATGCCCGCCTCACGCAGCCACGCCAGTGTCGTGTCGGACGCTTGCTGAGACGGCGCAAACGTGTTTGCAACCCGCTCGGCAGTCCAGTGTTTGCCTACCCGCCACCCTCAGTGTTAAAACACGGCCTGTTTTGGTCGGCTGGGCAAAAGCACTACTTACCAAAATTGGGCGAATCCGGGTCTGAAATGTCGTCGAGGAAGCGATCCCCATGCTCGAGGTTTCGCTCCTTCAACCCGATACGCACAGGCAGCACCACGTCTCCGTCTGCCCGCGAGTGCCTGGTCCACGCAAACGGCTCGACGTCTCGCTTCTCGTGAACCGTGTGCGTGCTGCGGGATGGGGCGCATTGTGCCAGGCCACCGAGGCCAAGCAAGACCTACGCGCAGAGGTACATGTTGTCGTGCTTGGAGTCGAAAAGGTCAAGATGGGGCGTGGGGCTTGAGGAGAGAGAGCGACTCGCAGCAGCTAAATAGCCATATCTTCCCCCCCCCCCTCAATCTCGCCAGCCAGGTCGCATAGCCGTCGTCCTTGACTATATTGCAAGCGTCATTTTACTCTCCCGCAATGCACCGAATAGCGCCAGCACGACGGCCATGGGCACCGATACGAACGGACGATGAGCCGCTCTCGTCGAATCACCGACTTGTCAGCATCGAGATGGGCTACCAGCCGCGTTGTTAGGACCATATTGGTGCCTGATGCAGGTCAAGCGGTCTCGTTGTTTTGCATACAAACAAGCCTCGAGCCAATGACAGCCACCGACTACGCCCGGCTCGGCACCAGGGATGCCTGTCTCAGACGAAAGCTTAATCTGTATAGACGACCTACGCGGCGGTGCTTGGGGAAAGCTTGACCTTGCCACCCACGAGCCATATTGCTTCAGGAAGGTGATTTGGTAGCTCCTTGGCGGAATTAGGAAGGTGCTGTTTGCATTGCGGGCACACATCGAGATGGGGAAGCGCTGTTGATTTTCCCTCTCGTACAGCGAGTGTTCAAACAGAGAGGGTTGGTTTAGTGTACAGCTAAAACAAACGGACGGTAGCATGTAGATTACAGGGCCGGCGCATCGGTCTTGGCACGGGGGTTGTCTTTGGCAAGGCTGCAAGTTTTGTTAGTCAGCCCGTCAGGAGGCTGAACCTTATCTCTAGTCGACGGATGAGATCATCGCAGCAGTTGCACGTTGGTGTTGGAGAGGAATAAGCGAGCGTGCGTGCCTGTGTGTGTGTGTGTGTGTGCAAACGAGGTACACCTACTCCTAGACGTGTGCGCTCTTGCTCTCACTCTCGCTCTCGCTCTCGCTCTCGCAAACCGGATGGCTCGGATCTGGGATTTACACTCAACCCAAAGACCCGGACTAGGACGGGAAATTAGGCAGTGGCAAAGAGAGTGAGAGAGACTAATATTCTATTAGCACTGCAGAAGCCCACTTTGGGAGCTCGTATGTAGACATGATGTGCTTACCGGAAGAACTTTCCCTGTGCTGTGTGTGTGTGTGTGTTGGGGGGGGGGTGCCCTCTTTTTTTTTGCCACGGCTGACAGGACCCTGTGACTGGGGTCAGCGTAAGTATTACTCTGACTCGACGCTTCCGCCTAACCTTATTTGCACTCGTCGTCCGCTTTTCTTTTGCTGTGGTGGTGGTGGTATACCCAGCTGTCCCCACCGGTTGCAGCGACAAGGCGAAAATCTCTCTCGGCTGTGCGTGGCGGGTGGCGAGAGAAATGGGGAACTTGCATCTCGCCATGACGCAGGGCATGCGGAAATGTCGTATACCCTGCCTCGCTATGCGCTTTTGCATTGAAGGAACGATCCACTAGGTGTAGCGTGCATGCACATGTGTGTGCATAGGAGAACGGGCCTGGCCTTTTTTATGCCACAGAGGCATATCTGGTTCAAATTGTGAATCCTATCTAGGTGTATTATCATCGCCGCATATGTGTAGAAGCTGAGCATCGCTTGCTGCATTCAACGTCCAGCAATAGCGCTGACGTGATCCGTGATGTTTGTATCAACATCGCTTGTAAGAAAAAATAGTCATCTTCCCTTGTATACCAATACCAATACCAACGCTCAGCAACATCCACCCCAGCCTTGTTGCTTTCCCTTCCTGCTTGCATCGTTCAGATTAATGCCTGCTCGGTTTGCGCCTCCGCCTCCGGGCCCTTTGACGCCACTCCGCCGGTCATTCAGGTCGTATTTGCCCGCCTCAATGTTCTGATATATCCGCTCCGCCACTTCAAGAAAGGCTCGTTCCACGCCCTCGCCGCTCTTGGCGCTCGTCTCAACGTACTGCATGACGCCATTTGCTTTGCACCACTCCTCGGCCTCTTCTCTTGTCACCTGCCGCTTGTTTGCGGCTTCCGAACCCGACACCGTCGAAGAGCCCGCCAGATCAGACTTGTTGCCCACAAGCACCACTACAATGCCCTCCTCGGCGATTTGCCGCAGGTCGTGCAGCCATGACGTCGCCGACAGAAACGTGTTTTTGCGCGAAATGTCAAACACCAACAATGCGCCTGAAGCGCCTCGGAAGTAGCTTCGTGTGATGCTCTTGTACGTCTCCTGTCCCGCCGTGTCCCACAGCGACAGCTTCATGTGCTTTTGTTCTTGTTTTTGCTTCGAGGGCGACACGGGCGCTGGGGCTTGTGAGGTTTTGGCCGGGTTGTTGATATTGAGGGCATACGAAGCCGGGGGCCCGACTGGTACAATGCGCGATCCGAATTCTACACCGATAGTTACGTCGTGGTGTGGTGAGAAGCGGCCTTCGCATAGGCGGACGGTAAGCTACAGACAGTCAGCACGGTACGCCCGCACAGAGACAGGACATGTCGTCGCATACACTGGATTTACCGCAGCCCGAGTCGCCCAGCGAAACAATCTTTGCTATGTAGTCCCACGGCTGAGCCATGGTGCTCGGCGACGGCGGTGCGACGGCGGGCGTAGATGTCGGGGCGTGGGCGCAAGGCTATGGATGAGCTGGATGCTGCTCTACACCAAATACAATGGACAGTGTCGAACAAGGCAGCTGGGGCTCACGTGCGATGCAGGCTCAAGCAGGTGGCATGAGACGAGAGCTGGCAGGCTGGACGGAAGGCAGGCTGGACGGCGGTGCTTCAGGTGAGGTCAGGCCAGGGTTCAGCAATGCGGTCATAGCTCGGCAGCCCGCTTGAGCCAGAAGTTGAAGGCGTTGGGCAAGCAGCGCCTTGGTCGAGATGCAAGTGATGCGAGGTACAGGCGTCTGGAGCCAGCGCTAGTGTGACTGGCACGCATGCGCAAGCTCTTTGATTGCTTCACCGGGACGGTACACGCACTTGGCACATGTATCCCACCCATTCGCCGAAGAGGTCCCGTGCTGCCTGCACCGGCATGCCACTTGCCAGGCCGCAAACAGCGAGCGCACGCAGGCACCAGCCGTGGCCAGACGACGACACGCCAGAGGGAAACGAGCGCGCGCAGCAGACGGAGAGCGGGAGCTTTCTTCTTGTCGTGTGCAGCTAGCAGAGCAGCGCGCGAGGCCATGCGTCTGGTAGTAGTGGTAGTAGTGTCTGGGAGGCTGCCGGCCCCAATGCCCTACGGTAGTGGTATCGATAACCCGACGCGCCCTGGCTTGGCTCCGTGACGATGATCAACCCCATCCACACAGCAAACTCGCCGACTCGTCCAGCCTCACCAGCGCCTCGTGTCCTAGCGCCATATTTACCTATTCCTATCTCGCTGCCCTCTCCCTCTCCCCATCCATCTCCAGCTGGCTGCCGAGCTCTCTGCCCCCCGACGGCTGCATGTCTCTTCGACTGCGTCATCCGCGCCTGCCTCTAGTACTTCGGTACCCTTGCCCTCGACCGCCTCACGACCGCTGACCTTCCGCCTGCGCACCGCCTGAGCACCCCCCCTTCGCCCCGGGGCCACGCTCGCGATACATATCCACGGGCCCCCAACCGGAGAGCCGCATCGCCTTGAGCCCGTCCTGCACTCGCTCTGCCTGTCATGTTCTCCGAGTGTAAGTCGCCCGCCGCCTTATCAGCTACATGTGACAGGGCCACCGCCTCTTGTCTTAGCTGCCCGGCCTACTCGCGTGACTAACGTGCGTGCTTCACAGATGCATCCAAATTCCTCTCCCAGTCTCAGTCGCGTCTGTCACTGGGTCAGCCCGAGTCCACTTTGAACCGCAACGCCCCCGACAGGCAGCGCCCGTCGTCGCGCGCAGCCCAAGCATACCTCCAGCGCCGCAACATGCCCAACCCGTACAACTCGCAGGCCATGAGCCGCTTCGCCTTTGCCTCGCGGACCTCAAATGCACCCGCTCCATTATTCTATTCAGCCACTGATGACTTCCGCGAAGAGGACGACCATGTCGAGCACGACCGGGAAATGGCAGACCACTATGCCCTGCAGCGGTCGCGGCGGCAGTTTGGCGCAAGCAACCTTTCCGATTCATCAGAGGTCGAAGACGACCTTGCCCAGCGATCAGACCACACGATAGAAGCAGACAGAGGCGACAACGACGCCCCTGGCTATGGCCTAGGTCGAGGTATCAAGAGTTCGTGGATAGGCGACAAGCCTGCGCGTGGAAGATCGACAATTGCCAGAAAATCCCACGACGAAGAGAGAGATTCCAGCGTCCCGCTTTCCGAGACCACAGACCGCAGCAGCAGGGGAAGAGGCAATCTGGTGGACGTCGAGCTGGAATCCACAGATCGCGGGAGCCTGGAAGAGCTGGATCGCGACGAATTATTGGGGCACCAGGACGAACCACCGCCTTCATTCCAACAATTCCGGAACATGCCAAGGCCAAAACGCGGTCGCAGTCCGCTGCGGAACACGCTTCCCATTCCCCAGGAAACCGACGAAGACACGCTGCTCGAGCACCCACGGCCAGTGAGTCCGGATCGCCAGACCGTGCCCGACGACGTACCGGAAAACCCGATATCGGCACCCCGACACAACTTTTTCTGGGCCGAGCTCTTCATAATCGTACAGTGTGCCATTATCGGCACATGGTTTCTCTCGTTCCTGCAGGAGTCGCCGCCAAGCAAGAAGAATCCGCTGGGCGACACCATTTACACCGTTTTGCACTCGTCATTTCATCTCATCGGCGTCTACTCGCTTGTCTCTGTCATAGTCGGGGTCTTGTGGCTATCGTTACTGCGGTCCTTTGCTCGGCCTCTGGTAAGCCTGATGTTACTGGCCATACCCGTCATTTCCGTGTCCTTTTTCTTCTACCCTTTTGTTTCAAGCTTCAAGGGGTCTTGGCATGGCGACAGCGTTCAGGACCGCGTGATGAGATGGTTCTCATTCGGCCCACTGTGTTTTGCTGCTTTCTGGGTGTACACCATTGTCAAGGCGCGGCATTCACTAGATAAAGCTGCCGGCATGTTGGAGTTTTCTAGTGACATATTGAGAGCGCAGTTCCCGTTGCTCCTCGTGGGTATCGGCTCATTAGCCGCTGTGATTGTCTGGTCCTGGATCTGGCTCCTGATGTTCACTCGCCTCTTTCTCGGCGGTCACTTTGCCAGCAACAAGTCTCGGTGGATCATCGACACAAGCACCTGGTGGCTTGGCATTGCCTTCTTCTTGGACTACTTCTGGACCTTGGCCGTCATTGCCGGTGTGCAGAGAGCAACGACGGCAGCAACAGTATCCCAGTGGTACTTTCACCGCAACAGCGTGCCGGCGCCCGCGGCTCGAACCGTCGTCCAAGCCTCGCTCAGCCACGCGACATATACCATGGCTGGCAGCATCTGCCTGTCAACACTGATTTCCCTTCTGGTCCGCCTTCCGCTCATCGTTCTCCCACGGCGACTTGCTGGTCTGATTGGCATGTGCGCCTACTCAATCGTGCCGACGCCGATCGCTGCCTTGACGAACCCGCTCACCCTGACGTTTGCCTCGATACATGGCGTGCCTCTAAACCAGGCGGCACAGGGCCTCTCGCAGCTCAACTTTATCTCTGCGGCATCTCCAACTACGACTCTCGGTCCAAGTTCGTTTAAGAACCACGGTCGCCCATCGATACAGTCGTACCGGCTCGCCAAACTCCTCCTCCATGCTATTCGCTGGGTGATTACGCTATCACTCGGCTTTGGAGGGTGGGTTTCTACCGCACGCATGCTGCAGATTGGCAACGGCACGGTTCCATACAAAGGCAGTCTGTATGCCTATGTGGTCGGCCTGATTAGCGCCGCAATTGGTTGGGGTGCCCTGGGCGCCATGGAAGGTGTTCTCGGCGGAATCCTGGATGCAGTGCTAGTGTGCTGGGGCAGTGAGGTAGGGCGAGATGGACAGGGCGAGGCCAGGTACTGTGTCGAAGCCGGCCGCCTGTTTGGCAACGAAATCACCGGTCGTGGAAGAGCTAGGTATGAGGTGTGATGCATTTTTTTGATGTGTATGATCATTGTTAGCGTTCTCCTTTGGTAAATATGGGTCACTCAACGGATACGGGGCTTGGATATACCTCTTGTTCTGTTTTCCTTTGTTCTTTCCTTTGTCATGTGACTCTGCTTGCGGCATAGCATGTATGTAGCGGTCCTATAGTTTTATCCAATTTGAAAGAGAGAGTTGTTCTTTGCTGGCTGCATATCTGGCTTCTTCCTGGAGAGCACTCGCATTCCAGCCGAGTGAGGAGAGCCGGGCAGATGCGGTGAGCCTGGAGCACACGTATATAATGCCCACAAGCCTCGTGCTCCAGCACTAATGCTAACGGCATCACGTAGTCGCCTTCAAGTGGCAGCCCGTCTGCGTCATGGTTCGGTTAGCCGCTAGCGCGAACTGACGCGTGGGAAAGCGGGACTCGATCAACACGGCTACTGCAGCCCAAACATGCGCCCAGCGCAGCAACAAGTGACACCAAAGCGCTCAGCCTATATGGAGTGCCTTGCCCGCCGCCATGTCCTCGCGCAACGTCCCGACTACGACTATGAAATCCCTGTCCACGGCTGAACGTCGCTCTGTGAATGCCAACCACTCATCCGCCTCGCGACCCCGCGTCGCCTCGGGCGAAGAACACGACCGCCGCAGCGCCAGCACAGCATCACATGCGAAGAAACACTCGGCCGCCATGCGCGCAACCGGCGCGACCCCGAGTGAGCGCCGCACAGAAAAGAGAGAGATCCGCGAGCGGGAGACGGAGGTCAGGCGCACCAAGAGCCCGCTGAAGCCGTCAAGCGAGAGCCGCCCGAGTACTCGAACCCGCGCTGAGAAACAAGCGCGCGATGTGGAGAGACCGTCTCGGAGCGCCGCTGGGCCAAAGGCGCAGCCCGAAGAGCCTCAGGCCCCGTGGGAGCCGCAGGCCTCGCTCATAGCGCACACGACGGCTCCGCTCGCGACACGTATTTCCATTCCTCCGCTCGCCTCCACCGCCCCCGTTTCCTTGCAGCCCACGCCGCTCGCACAGCTGTCCGTCGAGGCCCAGGAGAGGGCGATTCTGGAGGACCTGTTGTTTGTGTTTATGGGCTTCGAGGGCCAGTACATCCGCTTCAGCGATGTCTACAATCCACATGAAGAGAAGGAGCGGCTGGTGGGACCCCAGTTTCGCCTGATGCCCGGCCTAGACCCAAGTCTGCGCGACCTGACCAAGTCGATGCTCAAAACAGCCACCCACTACATCGCCATCGAAGCCTGTGTCGAGGTTCTGAGCAGGGAGGAGTACGGTGCGGTCAACCACGCCTTGTGTGCTGCGGTACGGCGGTTGCTGAAGGACTACCTTACCCTGGTTGCGCAGCTCGAACACCAGCTCCTGACCAACGAGTCGTTTACGCTTCACGTGCTCAATCTGCATACCAAACAGACTAGCCACATGCTGTTCCAGCTCTACACAACAGGAATTGAATTGCTGAAAGCGAATGGCATCCTGGAGGACGAAAAGGACGAGGACTCGGCCGATGACGATAGCAACGATTTTGAAAACATTCTCGAGTCGCTACGGGAAGGAGGAAATACTACAAAGAAACTCTGCAAAGGCGGAAGCGTACTGGGCCTCATCACAAAACGCTTGGCCTCCATGTCGGGAGATCCAGCAGCACGCACATTACTCACCACCCTGCTACGGGAAGCTAGCAGACCATACATGGCCATGTTGAACGAGTGGCTCCACCACGGCGGCATCAGAGACCCGCATTCCGAGTTTTTGATCAAGGAACAGCGGAGTATCAAGCGCGAGCGATTAGACCAGGATTACACCGACGAGTACTGGGAGAAGAGATATACCATACGCGATAGCCTCGTACCTCCACAGCTCGAAGCAGTCAAGGACAAAGTACTACTGGCAGGCAAATACCTCAACGTAGTCCGCGAGTGCGGAGGCGTCGACGTAAGTAAGATTGTGCAGGACGCGCCTACTAGCTTCGACGACCCTCGTTTCCTGGACAATGTCAACTCCTCGTACGCCTACGCAAACTCCTCGCTTCTCAACCTGCTCCTTACAACACACCAACTTCCTGCGCGATTACGTTCACTAAAGCACTACTTCTTCCTCGATCGATCCGACTTCTTCACGTACTTCCTTGAAATGGGTGAGGTCGAGCTTAAGAAGCCAGCTAAGCATGTTAATGTCGGCAAGCTGCAATCTCTGCTGGATCTCGCCACTCGTCATGCTGGTTCAGTCGCGGTGGAAGATCCGTACAAGGAAGACATCAAGGTCCAGATCAATGACACTGGATTAACGAATTGGCTCATGAAGATTGTCAATGTCCAAGGTCTCGACCAAGAGGCTGCTACAGCTACACTTTCGAGCTACACGCCGGCAAACTCCGCGCCCATTACAGACGATACCAACATCACAGGATTCCAGGCATTGGTGTTTGATTATGCTATGCCGTTCCCACTCTCATTGGTAGTTAGCAGAGTCACACTGACGCGCTACCAACTACTCTTCCGATACCTTCTGAGCTTGAAGCATCTCGAAACCGATCTGGCCAAGTGCTGGGGTGAGCAGGGCAAGAATGCAGCCTGGAAACACCGATCAAAGAACCCCCGCATTGAACAGTGGAAACGACGAGCTTGGACACTCCGCGCACGCATGCTGGTCTTTGTGCAACAACTTACATACTACTGCACATCGGAAGTCATTGAGCCAAACTGGGCCTCATTGATGTCGCGAATAAGCGAGGAGAAGGACGCAAGGGGCAAGGGCACCGACGAGAGCGGCGGGCCTCAAGTGAAGCGAACAGTAGACGAGCTGATGCAAGATCATGTTGACTTTCTCGCAACCTGTTTGAAGGAATGCATGCTCACCAACAGCAAGCTGCTTCGGGTAAGTCTTGCAACCTCATGTCACTATTAATCTAACCATGTCCAGATTAACAACAAGATCATGTCAACATGCAGCATGTTCGCATCCTTCACCTATTCGCTCTCCCGCTACCTGGTAACCGGTGACCCGGACCTTGTTGCCCAGATCAACGCTACGTTTGCCCAACAAGCAGCCAAAGCCTCCAAGACCCCTGCTGCCCCGCTCCTAACCTCAACACACCGTTCCACAACACAGTTTGTGTACGATCCGCAGCGCGTCGACAAGATGTTCGACATGCTGGCCAAGTACGAGGAAAACTTTACTCGCCATCTAAAGATCCTGCTCGACACGCTCAACTACCTTGCTGCTACCGAGACGGTCGTCTTTCTCAGTCTGTGTGCGCGCTTGACGAGCGCAGGCGAGGGGCTCAGTGGGTTTCAGGTGCCTATGGGTATGGAGGGTATCGCATAGTAACGGTCTGCGATAGTATGGCTTTCAGGTCGGCAAAGCATTTTGACGGAAATCTCATGTTGTTGTTTCTTTTTCTTTTTTTTTCTCGTTCTTGTTCCAAAATGGTGGTTCATGAATATAGTTTGCAAGGCGCTTCAGCGATACCATAGAGTCTCTCTTTTCTTCCCTAGAATGGGAAATGGAAATGCAAACGAGTTACGACCTGTTTAACGACTTTTTATTTTTCTCGGTGCCAGTCAGCTGGGTGACGGTGCAGTAAGTGGAATGGTTGAATTGAAGCTATGTACAGAACAAGAAAAAAAAGGGGGCTAGGAAACCAAATAAAAAAAAATCTAATACTCCTTAAACGGACACCCTTTGTCCGCACTGGTGCTCTTGGTCTTCTCCTTGACAATCTTCCACGTCAACTCCATGAGCTGCTCACCCAGCTTCTCATCATTCGCGAGGTCGCTTCCCTTTTCTGGGATGGCAGGCGGACAGATATACTGGCCCGTGTTTTCCGTCTTTGTAGCAGCAAACATGGTGCTGACGGCGCCTTCAAACTGCGTCTTCTTGAACGGCGCCATGCCCACGCTCATGGCGTAGCCGCCAAGCGGGTACGGCTCGTGGATGTGCTCGGACGACTGGCGCGTCTCAACCACACCGGGATGCGTGGCATTCGACAGGATATTCGGATGCGACGAAGACAGGTGGCGGGCGAGATATCGCGCGTACAGAATCGCAGCGAGCTTTGAGCGGCCGTACTGCGCCATGGGCCCGAGATCCTGGTTGAGCTCCTCCAGCGACGCAAACTTGGTGTCCTTGGGCGCATTCTCATGCGCATTCGAGCCTAGCTGTACCAAGCGTACTGTATTTCCCTTCTCGGCTGTCGCCTTGAGCACAGGCAGTAGATGCGAAGTCAAGACTACGTGGCCCATGTGGTTCAGCGCCATGTGCAGGTCGACGCCGTTGGTGGCAAGCTGGTACGTCATGATACCGCGAGCGGCATTGTTAATCAAGATGTCGATGCGGTCTGTCTTTTTTGCGATTTCAAATGCCGCTTTGCCCGTCTGCTCCCAGTCTGAGAGGTCGCATTTGAGCCATTCGACGCGTGCGGCCTTGTCCTCGCCGAGTTCCTTTGCGATGGCGCCCGTGGCTTCGGACACAATGTCCTGGCTCAGCGAGATGATGAAGAGCTTGGAGATGTTCTTGGAGAGCAGCGTGTGTGTGCAGCCGTAGCCGATGCCTTCTGAGCCGCCGGTTACGACGGCGACTTTGCCGCTGAGATCGGGCACTTCTTCCAGCGAGAATTGCTGGTCTGCGGGCGCGAGGCTGTGTGCACCTGAGATGGTGTTGCCCAGGTTTTCGGCAATGGTGTTTTTGACGGCTTGCATCGTGGTGGCTGTAGCGGTGTCGACTGGGCCGGCGAAGCGGTCGGTGTTTGGTTTGTGTGGTGAGGGAGAAGAAGAAGAGAGTCTGGCAGTGGATATGCGTGGAGAGAAGGTAAGAACTGAGGGGCTCTGGATCCGCACAGAACAAAGGGAAAGCCCACTCCTAAATAATCGTGGTGAGTGCATGGCTTACAGCACATGTCACAGGATGCACCATGAATGCCTTTTTAGATACCGTCATTGTCCACTTGGACTGCCCAAAAGCAATCTTGCAACATGACGTGGTTGCTCCCGAGGAACATGTCAACCACTATCATTTTATCTTGATGTCAGCATTTCTGCACGCCTGGTGCGTTCCTGCAGCATGGTGGAGTAGATCGTGAGCAGATCGAATTCATTGACCTACTTATGACGCGTTGATGGTAGCAGGTTGCTATGCCGATTTAGGCTTAGCGAGGCTGCATGTCAGCAGGCTGGACGCGTCTTATCGATACCAACTGTCTCACTTCACGTACCTACGCGATGGGTTCCTGCATGACTGGCACCAAGGATTCGTGTTACACCTGAGCAATATGGCTGAGCATCTAAATAAATCAAAATATAACGGCCAAGTACGTTGAGCTCGTTGGTACTGCAGTTTCTTACATGACGGTTCACGGTATCACACATTGCCTTCCCCAGTGCAAAAGCCCAGGAAGCCATGTGGCTACTCTACTTTCATAGGTCTTCCAATCAGCTTTTAATTGATTTGTCTGTTTCAATATCTCCAAGCTTTTAGACTCTTGTTGCAAGTTGCGGAGCACTATTCTCTAGGCTTTTTGAGTTGATAGTACAAACATGCGGCTAACAAGTAACAGACCGCTCATTCGCTCTATGCTCTACCAACTCAAGATGTCGTCACTCCGCCAGCAAGCAATGCCACATCAATCCCCCAGCGCCCCAGCGCCACAAACTCGCCTAATACGTCGTCCTCAAACAGTGAGATCCCAGCCGATATTGCAGAAATACGCAAGGCCAATATGAACTCCGACATCATCGACGCGTTCAAAAGCACTTGTCCTCCAGGAGTAAAGCCCTATATCACAGGGATCGGCCTATATACCCATGTTGATGGCTCTAAAAATGTTTCCACCTCTTCTCACGGAGAAAACACCCCGCCACAGCCGATATTCCTTCCCATTCCGCAGCCCCTCGGAAGTGTGAACTCGGGCTCGAAATTACCAGAAGAAGTGAGAAAGCTCTGGGTAGACCTCCGAGGTGTCATTCAAGACGAGGAACGTCTGATTGGTAAAAGGAAACTTGAACTTGAGGAACTGAGCAAAAGATATGAAGCACTTCCAGCCCCAGAGAAATCGACAACACCGGTACAGCATGAAAAAGTGGATGTGGTCATGCAAGACGGAGAAGGTTCAGAGGATGGAGAGATCGAAGATACCATAGCGGTTCCAGTGCGTAATTCGAGATCCCAGTCTGGTCATATACCGCTTGATAGAAGGGTTGCGACTGCGTCGGACAGTAATGAAAAGGACGCTATGCAAGGGATGGAGGGGGAGAGGGGCACGAAATTACCTCCTAGTACACAAATTTATGGACCGGACCCGAGGAAGCAGAGACGACAAGTATCACGGGAATGATGAAAATGAAAGTAATAAAAAGCAGCCGAAGACTTGGCCGCGAAAAGCTACTGCTTTCAACGTTCTCAATATACGCAATCATTTGATAAGACTTTTCATTTTCTTGCTAACTGAACAGAACGACCTGCGTTCTCAGCTGTAAATTCGACGTGAAAATATCAAACTATCCATGCATCTATATGATACATCCAAACAGATGGATGCGATATTCCACATCATGGACTATATACCTGTCATACACTATGCTCAAACCACCGCTCAAACAACTCTTGCCGAGCTACAATATCTACCTCTTCGTCCACTAATAGCGCAAACATTCCATACTGAGCTACATCATCTACATGCTCACCAATCAAATGCTCAATAGTCCCATAGCTCTCATGTACCCAAGACAGGCTTTCAACCTGCACAGGCGATAGTGGTGAAAAGCATCGGCGTCGCTCATACCTTGCCAGTACAATGAACAAGAAAACTATCAGAGCAATTGCAATACCGAACATGACGAAAAAGAGGCTTGCAATCGGTGGCGAAGGGGCTGGTAGAACTGGAATTGGCATTTTGCGCTTTATAAGGAGAAGAGTGATTGAGACAAAGAGGAAGGAGGGTACAGGAGATGGGAATATAGTGCAGAAGTTAAACAGGGGCTTTGAATACTATGGAAGCATTGTTGGAAAACAGTGTGAGACTTGACAATGATGGCGGCTGCGAATGTGAGACATGTTCAGGAGGCGAGGAAGGGTCTCGTGTAGGACGCGGTAGAGGAAAAGTGCGAGTTGCTGCTTCTAGCATTGGCATATATATTTGTGCGCGCACCCTGTTTCTCTCTGTGGGATAATGATGGTCAAGAATTAAACGAAGGAAATGATGGGCGTGTGAGACAATACTGCAGACTATGTGTATAGCACGCATAATTCTAAGTAATTCTACAAGTTTGAAGTGCATTATAGTTTCACTATACTTCTTCAAAGATGCCAACATGGTTGCCATACGTCTTTTTGGCTCATTTATCGCTATATTGGCTGCAGAAGGACTGAGGCTTGCTTTGATAGACCTTTGAAACATTGCTTTGCTGACCGCCCTCAATCAGTGCGTTAAAAAATGGCTTGAAAGTGAAAATCTCTGCGGTAACCATCATACATCAGTGTTTGTAGAGAGTTAGAGCTATAGCTGTTTCTCTATTATGTGCTACATAGGAGAAATTGTGTGAGTTAGAGATAAACTTATCATTCCAATCTCTTTTTGGGATTCCTGCAGGAATTCGCTTTATGTAATTCTTTCGCTGTCCTTAGATATCGTCTTGGTAGTGCTGGAAGGCGAGAAGTCAATTGTGCCCGATGTTTAGCATATCATAAGTCAAGCAAGTTTATCGACACGGCGATGTGGTACCCAAATGGGTTTTGGCAATCCTCGGGGCTGAACTCTGCAGAGTGGCTGCAAGCCAAGGCCGCACAGTATCGCCGTATATGTACGCGATCGGTTGGGCGCCGGCAGCGCTTCTCTTATTCTTTATAATTCTACCGAAGGCCATAGATAACCCTGGCTACATCCGGCCTTGACAAGACATTAGGCATGGTTCAATGAAATAAAGTTTCCTGGCTAAAAAGACTTTAAGACCTAGGTCCTTAGGAGAGAGAATAGTGCAAAGCAGAAGCTGGGCTTTTGAATGAAAACGCTCTTGCTCTACTTAAAGAGGAGTATTAGTGACGGATTAGCGCTATCACAGAATACAATAGACGGGCTGTTCCACTAGTGAATACATGTGTGAGAATGCATCTAGATATAACTCGATAGATACCTGGTACTATGCATATTTGCTCCAAACAACTAAAAAGCTAATCTATATAGCGACACCTAGATACGTTTCGCTTTTACCAGAAAGTATCAAGGTCGGATAGTGCGAAGCAGGGAACGCTTCTAGAAGCTGCCCTACACGATTCCAAACCATACTATCTTTGGCTAGATTAGCAGAATCCCCACCTGCTAGTGTCGGAGCGACAAGATACAGGCCCGATAACTTGCATGTAGATTCGTATTCTTCATCTCAGTGCGTATGTCGATCAAGCAACCAGGCGTCCTCTTCGTCCATAACAGGCAGCTAGGTATCTAGCAGATGCATAGGGACATGTGTACTAAAACAACGGGCCTAGAATTGCTTCAAACGTATGTTCCATTCTACCGTCAATAAGATATGATTTTATGGGTAGTTACGATTTCTAGCATATTCCTAGTTCTCAGAGAGAAAAAGAAGAAGAGTAAGTAGAAGATGGGCTTTACAGTGTCACGTAATATCTTTACCTACTTACACTTAGTGGAGACGGTATACCTACTTGCACCCAAGTACCTTGAGCACATTGTAAATTATATTAGAGTCAAGTGTGGGGTATTGGTGTGTTACTAAAGGGCAACTAGCAGTACGGATTACGTGCAACACTCATGCCAAACCCACGCTTGATGTAATATTGGCACGATTGCTCACACCTATAAAATCCCAGTAGCAGAAATACAGTTCCCGGCACCCCACTAGGCACCAAAGAAACCCCAGATTAACACTAAGGAAACCCACAGCATGGATACTGCAGCGTTCTCCAGGTCATCCTTACGGTGACATGGTACGTGCCAGAGCCTCTCACAACAAAGTAGACAATCTCGCGAATTCTCCACGTCACATGCACTCCATCTTTGCTTGGCGGAGAGAGAAAAGAAATCCCCCGCTTCCCTAATGGCGCCAGAGCAACTAAACCATACATGAGCAGCGCGATAGGCAGTATAGTGTAGTCTCGTTCGTATTCTTCATTACCGCAGTGACACCGACGACCACTCTGCATGCGCCGTTTTTTATACCGCAAACTAGGTTTTTAGCGCCCCATGATTGTCGTCTACTATTTTGCCAGTATATAATGATAGCTCAAACGTACTATTACTGGCAAAAGCCCATGCACAAAGCTGAGAGTAAACGAGGAGATTATACACGGGTACAATAGGGATAGGCGAAAATGCAGCTCTCTAGCATCCTTGCTCTACTGCCCCTTGCAGGCTGCGCACTCGCCATGACGCACTGCACTCCTGCTCCAGCGGAATGGGGCGTACGTATTACGAAGCCATCTAGCGTGCCGTGTAACCATCCCTACTAACACCCTGACACAGCCTTCAAATTGTCTTAAAGAGGATATGTCCACATGTCCATACACGTGTTTTTTTCTGGGTAAGCTGGATTTGAATTTCCATTGCATTCGGGTTCTAGTTTGAAACCAATGTGCGTTATGTGGGTGGCTAATGTGGAGATTAGTGTGAAGGAACGTTTGATAGGGGCTTCGCTACGCCAGGTCCAGAGTCCAGGTGCGAATGCTGGTGCCACGGTACGGTAAATCCATAGCTGGGGTGGTAAAAGTGAAAGATGGGGTTTGCAAGGCGTTTGTGGATAGAATGGTTTCCAACTCAGGATAGATAGATACATGGATGTGTTGTATGGCGTTATGTGAAATGGAGATGCGTTATGATTGATGGATAAAACTACTTTGCAGATTCGATATTTCGGCGGAATATATACGATGTGGTCGTAGATTCTAGAGGATTAGTCCTATTTTCTCTAAGATGAGTATCTTATTACATGAGTTCTACGTTGTGTTCCTGGCTGAATTATTATAATCATCCAGTCTGACAAATCCCTCACTTATCTACCTACTACATATACCAAAACACGGCAATGATCAACATGCATTGTATTGCTCCACTGTACCCAAGTACATTGCCCGACTACTATGAGTGAGTCTCCCAGAATCCATATCACGTGGCCATGTTATTCACCATTACTTTTCCTCACCATCCTTCAAAAAAGAAATAGTAATTGATAAAATGTTTATTAGAGCTTGCAAAAGGCTATTTGAAAAAGCAGTAGTAAGCAAGGTCAAAAAGATGTTTAGAAAAGAGCCGTCACGTACAAAGACGATATATAGAGCGGCATGTTGGTAAGATCACATGACAACGCCAAGATGGAGGAAAGAAAGAGTAGCTAGGCAAGCGCTGCTTGTCAAATGGTTGATCAAGCTTTAGCATTTAAATTTCAATTGAATCCATCTCCTGATTCATTCCTGTGATTGTTTTCCTATCAAGAGAGAAATAAATATTACTATCAACCAATCAGTCAATACTCATTGATGCAAATAGCTAACTTCTTGATCATTACTCAAAATGCTAGTCATGTCTAGTATATTGCACAGTAGACGACACCAATGTAAACGAATTTGTAGAACAGTCACGACACAGCGAACCCTGTTTATCACAGCAGCAGAGTTAACCGCATTGGGATGCAAGGCGCGGGGCCCACATGTGAGGGGCAATGAGGGGCAGCGCACCGTAGCGTTGGGACCATGGCAGAGTTGTGCTGTTGAAGTTTCACATGTCATAAATTTGGATACTTATGGCGTGTATCGGCATCATAACCGACCATCTCTATAATACATTTGTATAGCAGCGCCCCGTCCCAATCAATCCTGAAGAGTAAACGAAGCCCCAAGCGATTCCGGTGATGCTGATGCGCCGAAGAACACCCAAGTATGCATTGCTGCAAATAATGACAGATTCTCATCGTTCGCAGTATCATTAGATCATGCCAGCCATGTGTGACGCGTACGCCATTGGCTTGATGTTTGGATGTGCGACCGCGTCAAATTGCGTAAAGTTGAGCTTGTAGTCAGGGCCGACTTTGATAAAGGCACCCTTGTTGTGGGTGCTGTCACAGTAGTTGGGTGCTGAGAAAACGGTGATGCAGCGTCCGTCGTGCTCGACTTCGTAGCCCTCCATGCGCACCTCGTGCGATCGAATAATGGCCTCGAGGCCGTTGTTCTCGCAGAAGCGCTTGGTGATGTCGGGACCGAATTGCAGGCCGACACCGCGCTTGCTGGGACCTCGGCCAGGAGTTGTCTGGGGGTCGGTCCACAGCATTTCCATCATCAGGCCAGACTGTCCTGGCTGTCGCTGCTTGAATCGGTTGAGCTTTCGTACGTCATCCAGAGTGATCTTGTCGTCTGAGAAGAGACCGCCATGGAGCACAAAGTACTTCTTGCCAATCAGAGTTGCCAGGGGAAGCGCAGAAAAGGACTCTGAGAAAAGCTTGAACACGCGCTCCGTGTACTTGGCCTTGCACTCTCCCTCGAAGCCGTACATTCTGTTCATATCGTCCGTCTCGTGGTTGCCGCGGTTCAGGAAGAAAGTGTCGGGGTATAGCCACTTGTAGGCGTACAGTAGCAGTGCGATTTCGGTGGACCACGAGCCTCGGTCGACAAAGTCACCGTTGAAGAGGAATGCGTGCTTTTCTGAGGGCTTTCCAGCCAGGCGGAAAATCTCCATGAGATCGAAGAATTGACCTAGTTTGTTAGCAAGTGCGCCACCATGTGCATTGCTGCAGCTTACCGTGGGTGTCACCGCAGATGGTAACCTCTGTGCCTTGTGGGATGTCGTATTCGACCATGGTGGGCTCCTTCTTGATGATGTCCATGACGGCGATGATGATTTGATAGACGTACTTTTTGGCCAGCTTCTTTCCGGTCTTGAATCGCTCAATCATGTCGTCGATGAACTCAACCGTCATCTTGTCTTGGAGCTTGGCGCCGTCGTACGAGGCATCGACTACCATGTGCTCGAGGTCCAGGCCCTCTGCGGCCGAGGGCGCATCCTCGACTTCAATGGCCTTGAGGAAGGCGTCTCGCTTGACAATCTTGTCGCACTCGGCCATGCGCAGCTTTGCGTTGGCATCGTTGGGGGCCTTCTTGGCGACGAGCTTCCAGTCGCGGAGGGCCTCGCGATGCTTGAGGATGGCCGTGTTGGCCGAGGCGCGGCGGTAGTATGCCTGGACGAGTGGTTAGCGTCGCATTGACAGCGGGCGCTTGCGGGCGTGGTACCTTGACATTGTTGGCATCGAGCTCGATTGCCTTGTCGGCGTCTGCTATTGCGTAGCCATACTGTTCTAGCTTGATGTATGTCTGCAGAGCCGTTTAGCACAGTGGCATCATCAAGGCGGCGGGCGGGCAGCAGCATACTTGGGCGCGGTTGGTGTAGAAGGACGGCTCGGCGGCGTATGCCTCGATGGCCTTTGTGTAGAAGCTCAGGGCCTTGTCCCACTCCTGGTTGCGGAAGGCCGTGTTGCCCTGGTCCTTGAGCTTGGTCGCCTCGTCTGGCGGGCTCCCCATGGTGTATCGATACGATGGAAGGCGGCACGGGCCGGGGCGTCGATGCGAGACAGCAGCAGCAAGCGTGCGATTGCGGAAGGCGCGACGGGCGTGGCGGCTGTCCGGCGAGGAAGCAGCGATGGGGGGGAGGGGGGAAGGGGCGAAGCAGAGAAGGAGCGGCTGGCAAGCAATGACGCACAACCACAACTGGAGGCAAAGACGTGAAGACTCGCTGCCCGCACTGCCCGCCAAAAGTTATCGAGCAATTTGGTCCCGCCCTCAGTCGCTCGCCTCGCCTTGCCACTAGCACTCCAGCTGCAACTCTCCGCCCGCGCTCCAGCCAGCAAGCGAGCCCGGCGCCCGCCTAGCCGTCGCCCGTCATGGCGCGCAAGGGCGTCGCAACCGTCACCACGGCCACCAGACGAGACGGCCACCAGCATGCCAGCCTTGCGCCCGACCACCAAGAGCCCAGCTCCGCCGCGCACGCCTCACGGCATTCACGCAGCCCGGCGGCCAACGACAGCCGTGTGCACGAGAGACCGTGGCTCGGGCACGAGCTGGACAGTGTCGATCGCGCAACCTCACGCGAGGCACTAAACCTCTCTAAAGCAGCGCAGTCAGGCCCAGAGCCAGCGCCTCGCCAAGCTTCCGGGGCCGTGGGACAAGGTCGCCCTCTTGCTCTCGAGAGCGCCCTGTTCCCAGACCGCGTCCACACCCAGCTGCTTCTTCCTCGCGCCGAAGCTTCTAGACAGCACCACGCGCCCGAGCCAGTCGCCAGTCTCCCTCGCTACCACGCAAACCACGACCCGCCAGCACACGAGCCCTATTTAAGTGCTGCCGCTGCCCGTCGCCCTCGACGCCCGCATCCCACCCCTACCAAGCCATCTGCAAACCCTGCGCCTGACGCCAACGACCCCGACGAGCTTGCAAACATGGCCGGCGGCGCGTACATCCCCCCAAACCAGCAGCGCAACATGCGCGCCTGCATGGTCTGCTCCATAGTCCGCACCCAGCAGCAGTTCATGACGCAGGGCTGCCCCAACTGCGAAGATATCCTCGAGCTCACCGGCAACCCCGAACAAATCAACGACTGTACCTCGCAGGTATTTGAAGGCCTCATCACGGTTGCCGATACCTCGAAGAGCTGGGTCGCTCGGTACCAGCGTCTTGAGGGCTACCAGCCGGGCGTTTACGCGACTCAGGTCGAGGGTATCCTCCCAGATGATATTATTGGCCTCATCGAGAGCGCCGGCATCAACTACGTACCCAGAGACGGCAGCGAGCAGGACATGCTTCCCAAGGACTGAGAATGTCAAAGGGAGAGACGAGTTGGCAACATCAACTAGACGCCACGCGCCGTGGGAGTGAATACTTGCATTACATCTTGAGCGACGGAGTTACGGTAAAAGAGGGCCACATATGTCCCAACATCAACGTGCATGGAGGAAGTCGTCTGATCTTTCATTTCAACCAATTCATGATGTGATTGTTTCCCCAGCCCTTTGACAAGTATCGAAACATTTCTTCTTTTTCAGCTAGCCCAGATTGGCAACGCATCCGCCCTCACTAGCTTTGCATAGATATATCTCAGGACTTAGGTAACCAGACGTGGACTGACACGACAAGGTCAATCCAGCCCAAGAAATGAAGAATCAACTGTTTGCATTCAACACGTGCTACTTGACTTGAGCAACCATGCATCACTACCCCACGCCCAACCACGACTCGGCCTAAGCAGGCGCGGGAATCGAGTCAGCAACAGCCTTGATACCAGCATACCAGATGTCACCCATGCGTGCGTATCCCGCGGCACTCCTATCCAACCAGTTAGCACAGGCACGCACTTCCACTTAGTAGTAACGGGAGTACTTACGGGTGCAAGTCATCGCTCAGCTCGTTCAAGCTCAGCACATTCATATCGACGAGCGAAACCTTTGAGCCCTGGTTTGCGCGCGCAGCCACAATCGCCGGCAGCGCATTGTTAAACGTCTTGATGGTAGCCGACAGACCAGACTTCTTGGACGGGATAATCTTGGCGACAATCACGACTGCGTTGGGCACCGCCTTGAGCACGTCGTCGATCAGGAGGCCGAGCCGGCGCGGCGCATCCGCATCCGGCTCCGACGAAGGGTTGCCTCTGTTGAGGTCATTTGTACCTGCGTGCAGCAAGACAACGTTGGGCTTGAAGGCCAGCCCGCCCGAAACCACGCCGCGGATCTGGTTGATGGTGTATCCCGGGAAGCCCTGGTTGTCCTTGTCGGCCATGGTGCCGGATTTCTGCGTCCCCACAAAGTCGACGCTGAAGCCGCCGCCCGTCAGGTCCGACAGCAGCCGCTCGCGGTACCCGTTGGAGCCGCCGCCGTTGATCCAGCCCCACGTGATGGAGTCGCCGAGCGGCATGATGCGCAGGTTGGTTGTCTTGCGCGCGACGAGGACAGAGCGCGTCTCATGGGGGAGCGCCTGCACCGAGACGAGAACTACAGAATGTATAATTAGCCGTGTGCTTTTTACCTTGATCATACTACACCATATAAGTAGAGTAGGACCTGGGGGGGACCTACAGAAAGCAAGTATAGCCCACGGCACCGCCAACCGGCTCATAAGATGCGACAACATGATGACGCTTATAATCAGTTATTTCCCCCAAGTTTCCTTTCTGCGCACCAGCAAGTAACCTGTTAAAAAAAACAGAGAGAAGGAGAAAGCAAGTCAATTTCCCTTCCGGCACGAAACATGTCCGCTTTTTAAATCATCCTCCCCTTTTTACCCTGTCAGCCCTACTACTACAACACCCCTCTCCATACTCTAGTCTAATCTAATTTACCCCAGATCCTCTTCCTCCTCCTCCTCCTCCTCCTCCTCCTCCCTTTATTTTTTTTAGATTACCAGTACCGCAAAGGAACAAACAGCGCAAAAAGAGAGCGGCTAAGAGGCCGGCGGCGCCCATCAAACTGACACACCGTCTTGGGAAAGTGGAGTTTCTCCGTGAAATTGATTGAGCACCAAGACGCTAGTCTAAAGTAAGTATACAGTAGTCTAAGTAAGTATACCGCCGCGCCTTTCGTTTCGTTTCGTTTTTTTTTCCTTTTTTCTGTATGTGTGTTTCCAAATATCCGATTGGCAAAGCTTGACATCTTCCGCCTTTTCTCTCTCTCTCTCTCTCTCTCCAAGGAAATCAGCACATCTGCTTGCCGTTTTGCTTTTGTGTGTGTTTTTTTTCCGCTCCCCGCTGCTTACTTTACTTACTTTACTTAACCCGTTTGGATAACTGCGGCTCGCACGTACGGATGCATTCAACTACATACATTGCCATGCTTGTCCATCGGGGGGGGGGGGGGGGGTTCTACGTAGGCGATATATATTATATGGAAAAAAAAGCCCGTCCCGGCTGCACATGCAATGAAGCAGATATTAAGTACGGGTGTAGTAAAGTATCGACCAAAAGCGGGGGTTTACTGTATGTCTGTCGGGAAAAAAAAAAGCGACCCCACATGGCCCACGGCCATATTGCTGTGGGGTTTCTTCCGGTGGGAAACACACACACACACGGCTCCATACTTGGCTACGCTGTCATGATGTCTGAGATGTCAAGGGTGAGTTTTTTGGGGAGGGGGGAGGGGGCTCTTAGCCCTCGGTTAATTATGTGTGTACAGCGGTGTTTCAAGCAGGGAGGTGGAGGGGGGCGCCAATTTAACCCTGTTTGTTTCTTCTTGTTTCTGGATGCATGGCATGGCATGGCATGGAGCAATGTCTTGTGCAATGCAGCGGAAATAGACTTGTCGCGGCTGCGGGCCCCACTTGCTGATTAGCCTTGGCCTTGTCACACGGTTGTGGCGCTAAGTACTGTACCCATGAATGACATGCCTGTACAGAAGCGCAAAAGTCAATTGCCATTATCCTTTTGAAAAATCATTATTGCGGCAACATGTACTCTATAGTCTATTCTACTACGCCAATTAGCAGCATGTCATGCTTGCACCGCCATGTTGCGTACCATACCAGCTCATACGGAGCGTGCAAGATGAAAAAGCAGTCCATCTAACGGCTTTGGTAACAGAACAAATCCAATAACTGAAACTACTTAATACTTCACTGCGTTGTGAGATTCGCTGCGTTAACACATTGAAACCACCCATAAACAAACAATCGAGACTATTATTTCTTACACATCATCCACCCCACTTCCCCAATACACACTACACACTACACAACTCAACTCATCCCACTGCTCTCCAACCAAACTACATTCCTATGCGGTCCCACGCCCATATCCGCCACACCCACAGTACTACACCGAACATCTTCAGCCACCACAACCGCATCACCATAGCTCAAACAATCCGTCTCGCAGTTGAGAATCTCAGCTACTTCCTGCGCACCGCCCTTCTCCTTATCAACAACCTTTGGCTTGATTCGAGGCCGAATCTCCACGTGTGGCAGGAGCGTGTTGCCTGGCCGCAGTGGGATAAGGACAATGGGCCATTCATGCTCTTGGTCTTCGGTTGCGGTGAAGTAGGCGCGGCGTTGGCCCGCGACGAGCCATACTTCGGGGTTTGCGTCGATGGTGTAGACAAAGTCAATGGGCTCCGTGGGGTCGGATAGGTTGGCGGCTGAGACGAGGCTGGAGGGTGAGGCCCAGCGGCGAGTGTGGCAAATACGGAGCGTCGTCATGAGGGGTTGCCCTACGGTTGCAATGGGAGACTGGGACGTGGCCGATGGTGAATTGAGGGTTAACGAGGCGGTGTGCAGGATGTGTGTTTGCGGAATGGACACGGCTATTATCATGCGTCGCGGTGGATGTGGCGATGGAGGGGCAGCGGCGTGATGCGTCTTGTTTGGCGAGGTGTCCGTCACGAGAGAGACTACCTTGTTTTTCTTCAACACATTAGTATTTGGGTCAAATAGCCCTTCTGGATCACTTACTTCATGCCACTTCTGCAGCCACGTCTGCGTATCATCCCGGATGATAAGTGGCAAGCTCTCAAGGCAGTCGGTCCAGCCCATATCCTCAAATGCACCCAGGTCGAGCCTTCCAATGAGCGCCATCTTCTCATATTGGGGTGGCAGAATGGTATGCTCGAGGTGGTTGACAAAAGTCTCAGTCAGCAGGCGAGCCAAACGATGAACCGGACTACTCTCGACCGCCTCGGTAAACATCTTTCGCATGCGATCTAGCACATCCTCGTTGAGACAGCGGTACTCGACAGACAGTGACAGGCTACCAGTCGTGCTAATTCGACTAATTCGCTTCTGAGCAGCATTCATCGTCTTTTTCACGACTTTGTACGTGACTGCAACTGGTTGTCTCGGAAACACATAGAGTGCTTCCTTCGGGTGCGTGGGTGCATAAACATCAAACTCTTCTGATCCTTCGAGTGAAGTGTCCAAGAGTTCCAGTGGTATGTGGCTTGCAGTCTTGATGTTAAACTTGGAGAACAAGGATTTGCTCTTGAAATGGTCGTGTACATTGACGTCCAACGGCAGCTCCACCGGAATGATGAAGGATGAAGTGTACTGGAACTGGCCTTTTTCGGTATAATAGTCGACATCAATCTTGATGCTAAGGTCCTGTAGGATAGTTTCCATGTCGTAAGGCACTTTCAATGTGGCTGCAGATTGCGCCAGCATCTCGCCAATGGCAATGACACCGGGAGTTTGCTTGTTGTCCTCCAGCTTCACGTCACCAGTCGCTACGCTTGCATCTGCTGTGCGTAGTCGCAGTCCTGCAGAGGCAGACTTGAGCTTGATTTCTGCATGCGTTATCTCGTTCCAGCCACTCGAGAACTCAACCTCGACATGACGTGGCTTGTCGATATGGATCAGATGCGAAAGGTAGATGCGGGCCTGGAATGCTTCGCTACGTGGAAAACACAGGATCCGGGCTTTCTTCGCTGCTTTGAGTGAATGTGCGGATACAGATGTAATGATGCCCAGAGGTGTTGTTGCTTCAGTCTTCTGAAGAGGCTCGTGCACAAAGACGATGCGCTTTGCTTCCAGCACAATCCTGTCCACCATGTATGGTCCGGTGGTATTCACCTACACCAGTCAGCCATGCATCTAAATGACGGCAACAGACTCACATTGCTGCCGATCCACATGCGGTTCAGGCCCTTCTTCAGCTGTATAGTGCCAGTCTCTTCAAGCCACACGTCCTTGGCTTGGTTGGAGATTGCACTGACCAGTCTGATTTTAGCTGCCTTGATTTCGACCTCATCCTCAAGGAGATGTCTAAATTGAAGACGTAGCTGGAAACCGTCCTTGTCGTCGTAGTGTCGCACATATGGCTCAACCGAGATGTCGCTAAAGTATTTGGCCATCTGGACCGTGACATCGTACGGTAACTGTTGAGAATAGGCAACAATCTCGTGGAACACGTCAGTGGTATCAACATCATCATCGTTGAGCCACTCCGGAATACCGCCAGATGCATCGTTTGCACGGATTCGCTTCGAGTTCTTAGATGCCATCCGGCTCGCCGCCGACTTTGCTAGCAAATCTAACACAGTCCGCACATATTCGTCTTTGCGATTGAGCTTTTTCAGACAGCGTGCGTGCATTCTCAGCATAGTAGCTTCGACTGTATTCCATCTGCTTTCTGCAAAATACGAGGCCATACGCCCAAAGTACATTGCCGCTGCGGCAAAGTCGCCCAGCTCGCTATTCTTGTGTTAGGCCAAGTCGTCAACAGCATCAGTAGCCACTTACAATTTGAGAGCCGCTAGGTCACCAAGCACAGTCTCTGCTGACTTGTTCTGACCCGCAGCCATGTAGTGCTTGACAATGAGATCACTCAAGGTCTATCTAAAGTCAGCAGTATTGGTGAAGGTCGTACTATACCACCTACCTCGTAAAACTGTCGAAACTGCTTCAACGACGACAGTGCCGTGATTAGTACTCCAGCAGATATTCCAAGACGCGACTTCTCGAGTTCAGCATCTGACTTTGTGTTTGAAGCCTCTCGTTCCGCCTCAAGCTCTGCCTCTTCCTCTTCATCCAAAGTCACGTCGGTCAGCTCTTCTTTCGCAGTCAGAGAAGCAACAATTGCATTCCACCCTATGCTCCACCCCAAGTTCTTGCCCGCATGCTCAAGCAATCTTCGTTGTATGGCGAGAAGCTGTGCTCTCGTGCCAGCCAGTTCCTGCAAGCCATTTTTGGCAGAAGGTAGAGTGCTTGGTTGGCCCGGAGCTGCTCGATCGTGATACTGCCCATTTTCAAAGACGACCTGGGCATTTGACGCATTTTGCGTATAGGGCAGTTCTGAAACAGGCCGCCCATGGGTCAATGAAGTTGAGCGCGAAGGGTGGGCCTTTGATTTTGGATCAGGGCTCCTACTCTTTTCCTTGCTGCGAGTACTAAAGGACCGGCTTTTACCGGAAGAACTGGCCGGTGCATCTCTGGTGGACCTGGTAAATGGAAGAGAAAAGGTAGCCGTCTCGCGTAGCACCTGCTCCAATGCAGCAAACGTCCACGAACGAACAATGTTTTCAATGAGATGGTCATCGAACGTAGTCTCATGTGCTTTTGCACTAGCAGAAAGATTAGCCAAAACAACGATTTCAATACACTTTAGCCTACCCATTGATCAAATCGTCTCGCAACAGCCTGCCGGCAAAAGTGATAAAGTTCAATGCACGCGTGCAAAGATCAGCAAGCGAGTACAGATCTTCTGCGTCCTGAGTCTGACCAGCCGACCTCAGCCCAATGGCACTGTCATCGTTTGAATACTGGATTCCGCCAGTGTTGGCTCTAGGCCGCAGCTTAGTCGCAAGGTCGGAGCGCGCTGACATTGAGTTTCCGAGCCTCAGAAGCAACCACATCTGCCGGGCGAAAATGTAGAGCCTAAAGTCAAAGACGGAGATGTTGTTGGCGAGAATTAGTCCGCGGTAGTCTTTTCTTAGCGCGTTGATCGGCTTGTCGTCGTGAATAACTGACTGAGGCTTCTTCGCAGCGGCACCTTCCTTCTGTGAAAGCTCTGCTGCTTTTTGGTGGAGATCGTCGGAATAGCTCAGGAGTACACTTCCCTGTGCCTGTTCACTCGACTGGTCACGAATTACACTGTCTAGGCCGATTGAAAGCTCGTCGTATACAAGCAAAGCGTCTTCGACCAAGCCCACGCTCTCAAAGCCTCGGGCAAGGCCCTCTTTCAGAATAAAGAAGGTGTTAAAGTTCCAGCCGGGAAAGGAGCGCTGAGCATCGTTCTTCCGGATATCCTCTTCATACTGACTTACACGCAGATCGAATGAAAGAAGAATGAGCACTTTGAACCTAGCTATGACATCCGCCCAAGCTCGTTCCTGCTCTTGGGGACTTTCGTTGGCTGACGGAGAATGAGAGGACGCCGAAGCCGGTAGCATGTTTGGCGGGATTCTTTCTTTCGGCACGCGTATCTGCGCAACGCGATCAGGTGCAGACTTGGACGAGACATTGAAATCGGCACGCAGCTTCTCGAGAATCGTCGTCGTCCCGCGCGTCCATCTTGAAGCCGCTCCGCTCTTCTCTTTCTCGCCCGCCGTCGCGCTTGACGATCCACTGGTCTGGCTTGCTGCCGGCGTATCAGGCAGCACAACGTGCAGAATCAGCCATTCATACGCATCATGGTTTTCCTGGGTATTGGACGTGCTACTCTGAGAAGGCGGCGTATGGTCCTTGACCCATTCGCGGACCAATTTGCGTGATGCCGATTTGTACGTATCGGAATCATCGCATCTCAAGAGATATACCCTGAGATACGGCGTTTGGCGCAGGCCGGGAATCTGATGTCGTCTCTCTTTTTCTTTGTTAGGTGCCCTGACGATTTCATCCGCGGTCCTCTTGGGCGTACCTTGTCCCGGTGCCAGGGTCGACGACGGCACACCCGCAGCTTGCGCCGATTCAGGGCTGGGCACGAGGTCGACATGCAGCGAGTCGATTGACCGCAATGGCCGCGTGGGGGCCTTCCAATGTAAATTGCGGAGGGGAAGCCGTGCAGCCAGATCCTCGTGTATCAAGCCAAAGATGCCGGACGGGTCATGGTACTCGACTGGAAAGAGTAAGTGGTGTTAGAGGAAAAGAAGAAAAAACGACAAGGGGTGTTTTGCGCACCCGTGACTTTTGAGCTGGAGTCCCCATCCATCACCGTAGGTTCGGCTGGGGCTTGCCTAGAAACATGCTCTGCGGCACCCAGGGCTGGTGTATCATTTCCAGCCACACTCATGAAACACACACGACCGGATGATGTAAAAGGTGGTTAGCGGACGGTGTGTTGGAATGACGCTGGCTGCAATCTGCGGGTATTGATGCCGTTGCGAGATGAAGGGTTGCACCTTTGGCTGGCTTCACCGCTAGCGTGGATTAGCGTGCATCAAACCAAGCTTACTGACGTAGCCCCACAGTATCACGTGCAGATACCATCACCAGTAAGTGCAGTCTGCCTGAGCCACCCAGCGCTGACCGGTCAGTCTCTGCAAAACTCTTGCAATTTGCTATCGCCTAGCCTGGTCGACTTCTTCATGCGTGATTTGCTCTGCTCTAAGCGATGCATCGTGGCACCACGGCCTAAGGCACATTTCCCATGCCCGCCTCGCATTCTTCGCATTCCAGGTTGCAAAGACGGGACGATGATTCGATGCCTCCAGTCCATTCCCCTCATTCAGATACTCTTGTTTTGTGATGCACAGCCTTGCTGTCTCCAGTGCAAGCCTCCTCATGACTTGTGGTTCCAGCTCAGGCTTTCCTCTCGACAGCCTGACCTCGTATCTGTCGCCTGATGGCTTACTCTAGTGAATACCAGGGGCACTGAGTGTCTGAGTATGAGAATAAATGCAGGAGTGCTGCATACAACTGATGACAAGGTTATGCTCCTATCACGATAGATACACCTGGTCATCGATACAAGTATCTTGAGACATCCAACTACAAGCCATCGCCTCCGACCATGGGACTAGGAGACTACTCTCCAGCCAGTGTGTGGTTTTATGCCCCTAACAAAGCCGCTCCTATTGTATTTATCATTCTCTTCTCCATATCCGGTGTTTTGCACATCTGGCAAACCATGTTCGTATCACCTATTACCCTTGGGCTCTCACACAAACCCTAATACCACCCTCCAGCAAACACAAATCATGGCGGACCACGATGCTCCTCCCTTGGGCCGCCCTACTCATGATCAGCGGCTTCGCTGTACGCCTGGCGGGCGCCTATTCGCCCTCGAATCTCAGCTACCTGATCGCCTCGACCGTGCTCATCATGTCAGGGCCCCCAGTCTACGCCCTGATCAACTACTTCATCTTCTCTCGTCTGCTGTACTATATTCCCTACCTTGCGCCGCTGCATCCAGGCCGCGTGGCCACGACCTTTATTGGGCTGGATGCAGTATGTGAGATTTTAATTGGCCAGGGTGCATGGCGAATGGCTGATTCAAGTTCATCCGATGCACAGCGGAGACTGGGTTCGAGGCTCGTCAGTGCCTCGCTGTGTCTCCAGGCCGCTCTATTCGGTGCATTTGGGCTGTTGGCAGCGCAGTTTCATCGGCGGGCGGCAAGAGCTGGCGTGTTGAAACCGCAGCTACGTGTTGTCTTGTATGTCTTGTATGTGAGTGCTACAATTGTTACCATCCGCTGCATCTACCGACTCATCGAGTACTTTTCCGGATGGGACTCTGGCATTTACAAGAATGAAGTGTACTTTTGGATCTTCGAGGCGGCCATCATGTTCTTGAACTCAGCGCTGCTTAATGCCTGGCACCCGGGAAAACGTCTCCCGCCGTCGAACTCGGTTTTTCTTGCTCGCGACGGCGTCACGGAACGCAAGGGGCCGGGCTGGAGGGATGATCGTCCGTGGATCGTTACCATGTTTGATCCGTTTGATCTGTGGGGCCTGGTCAAGGGCAGGGATAAGAAGACGCAGTTTTGGGACATGAGCGATGGAGAACTCGAGGCTGCGAGGTTGGAAAAAAAGAGGAACAAGAGGGGCTTTGTGCAGGGTTTGTTGGATCCGTTCCATCTTTATGGCAAGAGAGGATACATTGCGAGGTTTGTTCGTAAGAGGAGGGAAGCAAGGCAGAGTCATGGGGAAATTGGAATGCAGCAGGGTCGCGCAGCCGAGATGAAGAATGGCGATGCGGAGCAGAAGGGCCAAGTTTGAACATGGCCGAATATTTGAATCTCATCCCATAGTCGGCTTGTGTAGCATTGAAGAGCGATCACCCAAATAGACAAGCACACGATATAATCAACGCACAGCGTAGTATTCATTGAAACTTCAGCCTAACCTATGGAGCTTATGCAATCAACATGTAAGCCTCCCATTTTACTACATGAGACCATATACGTAATTTTCCGCTTGATGCCGCATGGTGGCACCAGCCCGCCAAACCACGCAAACGAACAACCGCCAGTTATTGCCAGGAAACAACAAATTTACGATTCATTGCAGGGATCACTCGTGTTTCGTGCTGTGGATTCACGAGATGGCCAACGTACATGACAGCTGGAACAAGAACAAAAAGAGAGTTTGAGCGAAGATGACGCGTGTACTGGGTATGTCAATGTTCAATACATATATTGGGGTGTAGAAAAGAATGGTAGCAAGGAAATGGTCGAGTGCAGCTCAAGTGGCTGGCGTGTTGCGATAAATGATGGAAAAATGGGGTTAAGTGTGCAGAACAGGATTAAGAAAGGAAAAGAAGAAGATGGCCATAGTGAGAGTCGCCCGTCTGTCGTACTCAAGGGGGTATAGATGATCAGAGCACATTAGATCCGTGACAGATAACACAAAACTCCGTACTCCAACAACAAACACCTACACAAAGGCCACACTACCAGCCCCTCTTACACGTGATAAACAGCCGTTGGCGTGCAAGGAATTTAGACGCCGACTTCGGGAACGTGACGCTGTCGTTGTGTTCCGTCGGCGCGCCTGTAGCTCATGGCCGCGCGGTCCATTGGCTCTTCCATGTCGGGAGAATCAGGGTCGTAGCTGTAGCCGGCACCAGCGGGTTGAGGCCTGCTTCCTGCAACCATACGCTCATTCAGGTGGCGCGAGTCGAATGTGCTCGAGAAGGAACGTTTGTTGCTTGACGCAGCAGACATGGGCGGAAGGCCCTGTACCTGAGGGTTGAACTTGGGCAGAGCATAGTTTTGGTTGGAGCCATCAGAGTTGGCAGACATGGTGGCAGACATGGAGCTAGGCGGAGACTGGTACGATGGCGAGACAGGGTCCAGCTTGTCGGCCACAATGGGTCTCAGAGACGGCAACGACTGGTGGCTAGGGGTCTGGATGCTGCTAGGAGCCGAAGATGTGTACGACTGGGGCGAAGTGTGCAGCGGCTGCAAGGGCTGGCTGATGGACTGCGATCGGCCGTATTGGTCCATGGGGTGGTATGGTTGCACTGGGTGACTAGGAGTAGGGTATTGCTGCGGCGACGACTGGGTAATCGAGGTGCGACGGTAGTCTGCGGGGTGAGCGTACTCGGAAGGTACCTGCTCTGGCCTGGTAGGGGGAGCATGGTCGTAAGGCGGTTGCTGCTGCTGTTGCTGCTGCTGCTGGTAGCTGGAGTATGCGTATTGCTGGTTCATTGGCACTGGGGGCTGGGCTTGGTGTGGGCTGGCATAACTGGTGTGCTGTGGGTGCTGCGAATACGATGTCGAATGCTGCGGGGGCTGTGGAGGCTGCATCATGGATGCCGACTGTGGGGGTGGGTACTGCTGTGGGTACTGGTGTTGGCTCGAGCCGTAGGGCGGCATCTGTGAGTATGCAGAGGGCTGTGGAGGGGGCATCTGCTGCTGGTAGCCATTGCCTGGTGGGTAGGCGTGGGCCATTTCCTCGATGCTCGGGCGGCGGGGTGGCGCCATTCCAGGGTTGCTGGCGCTGGACAATGAGCGCGGACGGTCATCAAGAGGTGCATTTGGCGGCTGGCCGTAGTTGTCGGGGGTCGCAGTGCCCCGCGCACGATCGTAGCCTCCGCCCTCCTCGTCGTACTCATCCCACTCCTTGGACGACTTGTTCTCGCGGCGCCTCATCCTCACATCGCGGCGGATACGGACACGGCATCCCTGCTCGGCCACCATGCGGCTCAGGGCGGTGCTCTCGGACAAGCCAGGGAACTTTTTGGCGGAGAAGACGGTGAAGGGCGCCGACTTGACCTCGCAGCGGTGGGTGACAAAGTGGTTTCCATCATAGATGACATCCGGGTCCTCGGGGTCCAGGTCCTTGACCTCGGCAAGATTCTCAAAAAGAGCAAAACTCAAACGGTACTTGCCTTCGTGGCGGACGGACAGGTCGGGGAAAATAAAGTAGCCGGCAGGTGTTGGGCGGTCGAGGTAGGCCATGCCTGCAACAGGGGTACCGGTGAGAACGGGGAAGCTAGGGCCGCCGGTGGAGGGCGCGCGTCCGGGGGCGATGGTGCGGGCATTCTCGAGGCTGGCGTGAAGGAAGAAGTTTGCATTGTAGGCAAACGTGATTTCCTGGTCGTTTTCGAAGACGCGGAGTCCGACAATGGGCGGCGGGTCGACAGGGCGTCTGTCGGCACTCGACTTTGCGCCGCTACCACAGGCGCGGGCGCGCTCGGGCTGCTGGATTACCTGCAGGTTGTAGCGGATTTGCCTGCCATCCTTTGTTGTGCGGACGGACTGGCTCTTTGTCTCGTTGGGGACAACAATGTTGGACATGATGGTGGTGGTGGTGGTGTTGGTGTTGGTTGGGTGGCTGTAGCGAGTCAGCACGGCGCGTGGTTGTGCGTGCGTGCGTGGTCGTGGAGTTGGAACGAGTGGGTTGCAGGGACTGCCACGCTCCAAGCCGCTGGGAAGGGGAACGGAACTTACGCCGGGAACCACACAATGGGGCCTCTGATCGCCTAGGTAAAAACAACAACGACGCGCTTCTCAACCACGGAGACGGCGGCGACGGGGAGCTGGGCTGGTCAGTGGATGCAAGGGCAGAGGGGCGATGGCAATGGCAATGGCAGTGGCCGTGTGCGCAGCGGTGGCGGACCCGAGCCCAAGCAGCCGGGCAGGGCTAACAAAGTAAAAAACGGGGCACAGGCAAGAAGTCTCCCACCCACGCCATGGCTGATATGGCTGCTGGCTGCTGGCTGCTGCATCCTGCCTGAGCCCGTCCCCTCTCATCAGCCCGTCCGTCCCCATTCTTCACCCACCCAACATCCGCCATCCACCCCGTCCGCCATCTCCATCGCCGCCTCTGCGCTCGTCTCCTCCACGACGCGTCCCCCCCCCAGCGGCCCATCGCCACGGCTGCTCCCCCAGCTCGCAGCACCACTGCCACTACCACGACACCCATCCCAGCCCGCCCCAAAACCCACTCTCGCTGATATCCCCGACCTGCCCAGCGCCTGCTTGCCATCAGCCTCGTCTTCGTGTGTTTCTCTTGGCCCCTCGCCCGCGCGCCCGCCCCCTCGGCACCACCGGCACTACCACCACCACCACCACCACCACCACCACCACCGCCCCCCTCACCCAGCGGCCACGCACCTTCGACCGGCGCCCTCTTCAACACACAGCGCCCCCGTCGACCCAGCATTCGCTCTGTTGTCCGGCCGCCCGCCCGTCCAGCACCACGTACGTCGTCGTCGTGTGGCGCTGGGCTGCCGGGGTGCTGGGACGCTGGCCTGGGCCTGGCTGCCTGTGCGTGTGCCAGTGCTTGTGCACTGACAGATTTAGCCGAAGTCGAGCGAACAAAGGCGCGCCGGGAGCATGTAGCCGACGCACGCTCCGCCGCGCCAAGCCGCCAGCCTGAGAGCGATGATGGGGGATGGGGCAGGTGGATGGGCGCACCTCAATGGATGGGCGCGGGCTGGCTGGTCGAGCAGGTGGACGGTGAGTGGAGGGATGATGGATGCAGAATGAATGAATGATGAATGATGAATGATGAATGATGAATGATGAATGATGAATGATGAATGATGAATGATGAATGATGAATGATGAATGATGAATGATGAATGATGAATGATGAATGATGAATGATGAATGATGAATGATGAATGATGAATGATGAATGATGAATGATGAATGATGAATGATGAATGATGAATGATGAATGAATGAATGAATGAATGAATGAATGAATGAATGAATGAATGAATGAAGACGGCGATGGATGGTGGATGGATGGATGGATGATGATGGGCCGATGGGTGGCGGATGGCGGCGTCGTCGTCGTCAGATTGGGCTGCGCCCTGCACTCGCCACACCACACACACACCACCCAGCTGCGCATCCACAGCCATATCCACATCCACATCCACCTCTACACTACACTACACCACATACGCCTGCGCATACATGCAACCGCAGCGCCCCAAAGCACCGGACGACCAGGGCCGCTGCAACGGACTCGTGCCCTACGCGTCGAGGCGAGGGTGCCGGGCGGGAATGCAAACACTTTGGCACGGGTCTTGTCAAAGTTCACCTAGGCCCCGGCCAGCCCTCCGATGACACGGTTCCATGCAACCCTGGGGTTCATGCATCACCCAACTACGCCTATAGCAGTAGGCCATTTGCACGGCGCCTGCCCGCTGTCAGCCATGGGCATGTCGTCGCGACTCGTCGACTGCCTCTCTCGCCCTCTCTCCCCACATGCATCCATCCATCCACTGCTCCATCCAGCCACCCATCCATCCATCGCGCTCTCTCTCCCTCTGGCCCGCCCCGTCCTCCCGCCTCTTCGCCAGCGGCTAGCCACGCCTGCGACAGCGTCATCGTATATGTCCACACAGTACAGTGCGACGCCTGGCCGTCATGCACGCCGTGGGCCCGCAGGCGTTGGCTGGCCGGCCAAGTTCGCTCTGTGCCGTGCAACCACGGTCGGGCTAGTGGCGCACACAGCAGGAGGAATGGCCTGATGTCCATGGATGCAGGGCACACTCTCACAGGCTCCATGTAACTATTGCCAGGCCTGCTTCTGGTGTCGTCTGCCCGCGCATCCCACGCACACATGCCCATGCCCGCCGCCCTGCTTGCTTCTGCCGCGCCCTCTTCACGTTCGCGACAACGGTGCTCGACGCGCTGCATAGTGCTTCTTCCTCTTCTGCCGCGCCGGGCCCAGTGCTGACAGAGGCGTCTGTCGCGGAAACCAATGGCCAGCGAGGCGGATTTCCAGCACCAAGCAGAGGGCGAGAAACGGCCCACTCGCAAAGGATCAGCGTGGCCGAGGATCCCTGCCTGTCCTGTGCTGCATGCGCCAAGCTGCATTCCTACCCGCCATCCCACCTCCCGTGATTCGCTCTCCCATCCACCCCCTCCCCCTCCTCATCCCAGGTGGGCCCCCCCCCCCCTCAACGGTCACGAAGCGCAATCTCCCTTCCTCCCGTTGGAGCCTCCCACCACCAAGCCTGGGGGGGTGACGACGATCAGATCGACTCCACCACCAACCAAGTAGGTGTAGGTATACTGCCCTCGCCCCCCCCCTCTGTACCAACTCTACACGGGGTTTTGGCGCCATCGCAGGGCAGAGCCAACGGAGCTACACACTCTTCTTTTTTTTTCTTCTCTAACCTCCCCGCCACCACTGTGGCGACATGCCATGGGCACCACGCCCAGCCGCACCCGTCCACCAATGTGATGCCAAGAAATAACTTAATAGAGTTTGCAAGTACCGGAGGTTTCACGCTTCATTCATTGGGGACACGCCAAACCCACCAGCTGGGCGCATGTCAAACCCTTCGCTCGACCTGCGTGGGAGCGGCATTGTCGCACTGCGCCTTGGACAAATCCTCCGAAAGCTACTAGTCGCTTTTCCCTACCTGCGGCACTGGCATCGTCTCGAGAGCCTCAGACGTCTGCCGTCTGCCGGCACATCGACACAGGCACCCATTATCAAATCGCTTGGTCATTGCCGCAAGTCTGCATCTGTCATATTTGTTTCATCTTTGGGCCCTGAGAACCGTGCGGACTATCCACACCACCCTGCTGATACCATAGCGCTGACAATGGCCTCGCCGCCTGCCACAAACTGGCATGCGTCAACATGTTAGCATGCGAGTTGCAGCTATAGTGCAAGGCACGCTGCCTCACCTGCCGACGCCATGTCACGCTCATATGGAGCACATGCCGACATGCCTCGCGTGCGCTCTGTTCTGAGCTCCCACGGCAGGCCTTGATCAGACCACCGACTCCACAATGCAGCGCCTCTAGAAACACCACAGAGCCACGTTTCCCCCGACACCCGACTGGACCATTGTGCACACAGATAGCCGCAACCACCCGGCCAAGGCGTCGCCAGCTCACCTCTCCCAGCGCCTCTTGAGCACCAAGGTCGCACCGCAAGCCCGCCACACAAGCCCTGGCTCAGCTTGAGCAATGTATCCCAGCCTCAGCCTTGTCATTCAGCGCCTGACGGCAGACGTCACCTCTCTTTGCTAACAGCCACATTGCAACTGCAACCCCACGGGGCTCACTCGACACCATGAACATGCACGTTGCTCTTCACTCGACCCCACGAGATAACAGGCGAGGCTGAAAATAGATCCGCAAACGCACATGCATGGCCTACGGGCCATCTTCCCGCACCTCGAGATATCCTGCATCTTTTGGGAGGTAAAGATCTCCATGATTTGATCGGCAAACGGTACATGACGCATCATGCTTCTTACCGCGGGCTGTTGCTAGTCAGTGTTGGTTCTCAATCGATGCGCGACTTTGGACCCCACTACTATTTTTCTACATCTGCACAGATACGGTGCTGGAAATAGTAATCACCAATGCATACTGACGTGTTCGCTCAATCTTCACAGCCATAACAGGAAGGAAGCAAACTGTTAGGGCCAAGTCTACTGAGTGCCTGGGGTATCGTCTTTGCCATCACCTACCTACCTGCATGGAGGGATTAATGCCGCTATGCAGCATTCAGATTTAGATGTCTTTGCAAGCCCATACAGAGGAACGGGTTATGCCGTGTCTGCTTGAAACTATGTACATGCAATCCTCCCATCCATGGCACTAACACTGTCCTTGACTCGACTTTTCTAAGAATACCGGTGTACGAGTCAGTCTCTCGCAACTGGATACAGCAAACAAGGGATTGTCGCGATCAGCGTTACTTTTTTTTTGGATCTGTAGGAACCGGTAGTTGCCGCTTAGCGATACTAGATGTTGATCTATTTTGTTCCCTCTTTGCTATTCTTTGCATTTGTGATGTTCTGCTTTGTGTGTCTTACTCGACATTTCGCGTATGTACCCCTGTCCTAAGTATATCCTACCTGTAACTCTACACACGCACATATGGATGCGCAACCGATGTTATCTGTTCAAATTTCTGCTAGGCTCTTGTTATTGTCTTGGATTTCTCACTGCTTATTATTACTTTTTTGCCTTTGCATCTCCGACACATAGTGTAGACTAATGCAGAGAGCCCTATGCCACACCCCCTGCACTTGTGCCGCATACATGCATGTATAGTAAACTCGTATTATACCCTTATTTTGGACGTTCAATAGTCAACCTAGCACATTTAAGATGCTTGTCTACGCGACCAGCTTGCAATATGTAGGGGAGAGTGGTTTTGCAAGATTAGCAGGACTGAGCATGTGGAATTTGGATGCAAAGAGGGTGAAGACGAGGTTAGTTTGTATACTTGGTTAGAGTGTAGAGGTGAGATTCAAGTTTTGAAAAAAAAGATGAAAAAAAAATTGGGAAGAGACAAAAAAGGGTACGTAGAAGGGTATTTTAAATGCTTACTTGTTTACTTGTCTATACGGGAGTGTGCAGGAAAGTAACTCGTGTATTGAGAAGTATAGGCACATTTATATCCGCTTCTCTCTCTCTCTCTCTCTCTCTCTCTCTCTCTCTCTCTCTTTCTTTCTTTCTTTCTTTCTTTCTTTCTTTCTTTCTTTCTCTCTCTCACGCCATAAATCTAGAATATATCTATCACCCCTCTTCCTCCACCCACTTCTTACCTCCAACAACCACCTCCCTTCCATGAACACCTCCTCCTCCTCCATTTTACACCTTACCTCGCCATTCCCAGCTCCATACTAAAAATCCCATAGTATGACATATCCCTTCCTGTCATACCTGACTTACCCCCTGTCCTCCTCTCACCCTGCCCTACCCTACCCCTCGCTCCACCCCCTCTAACGAATTTACAATCCCCAATCTAGTCCGCTTGCAGAACTCCTTATTGACTCCAGCTACCCCTCACTTTAGCCGTCTTAACTACCACCATCATATTCCTCGCTAGTACATAGTTTGTCTTTTTTTTTCTTTCTTTCTTCGGGGGGTTTTGCTAGTCAGGGCCATGGTCACGGTCATGGTCACGGTCATGGTCATGGTCATGGTCATGGTCATGGTCATGGTCATGGTCATGGTCATGGTCATGGTCATGGTTTACCCCGCATCCATGGGATACATAAGTAGTGCGGAATTGCGTGATCGGGGCGCAGGGCCAGGGCAGTGGATTGACAAAGCTACCAGCTACGAGCTACAAGATTACAGTTACAGTCTATGCCGTATGTAGGTACAAGACAGGAAGACATGATGGGATGGGATAGGATGGGATGGGATATTGCTAGCTCAAGATTCTATCTTTCTTTCTTTCTTTCTTTTTTTTTCTTCTGCTTTTCTTTTCCTTTTGCTTTGCTTGGTCTTGCTTTAAGAAGGCTTGTTTGTGTAGTGCGACCTGTGTATATCATGTGTTGCTTCATTTTCCTTTTTTTTTCTTTTTTTTTCAAACAAAATCACCACAAGGATATATGTGTGTGTGTGTGTGTGTGTGTGTGTGTGTGTGTGTGCGTGGGGGCCCAGCACGGGACGCGGGCTGAGAGGTGGGGGAGGGGCAAGGATATACTTCTCCTTTTGGGCAGCATGCGAGGGGCAACACGCGCGCTTTAGGAAAAGCATCAGCGTGTACGTTGGGGTAGCATTCACGCGAGATGGGGTACAAATGACGTGATGACTGGTAGTGCTATGTAACTGGACTTGGGACGGAATGGGACTGGAGTGGTACGGGAGTGTGGGTGGGAGGCCTTTCTTTTATCTATCTGCAGGGCTTGACTATCATTTCTTTCCTTCTTCCCTTTTTTTTGCTCTCGTTTGCTTTTGCTTTTGCTGTTCCCTGCTCCCTTTGCTACAGTCTCTTGCTCAAGTCTACTACCATAACGCTTGTGCGGTGGAAGAAAAGATCCAATTGAGATATCGCTTGACGCAACGTCAAGTCCCTCCCCCCGCTTTCTTCCCAATCCCACATACAAGATAGACGTGGAAAGCGAGCAATATGGCGGAACAGCTTTCCAAAAACTTTGAGACGCTGCAATTGCATGCTGGTAAGGCCTTGTATTTCTAGAAAAGCAAGAAGAGAAAATTCAAGATTGTTAATGCAATCGTCATAGGTCACACACCGGATTCGACAACGAATTCGCGTGCCGTGCCCATTTACGCCACCACGGTATGTCATTCTAGTCACTCACCTTTGTAAGCCAAAAGCTCACCATGACAGTCGTACGTCTTCAACAACAGCGAGCACGGCGCAAATCTGTTCGGTCTCAGAGAAGCCGGCAATATCTACAGCCGCATTGGGAACCCAACAGTCGGCGTGTTTGAGAATCGCGTTGCCGCGCTCGAAGGCGGTGCTGCTGCGTTGGCGACGGCGTCAGGCCAGGCCGCGCAGTTCATTGCTATATGTGCGCTGGCGCATGCGGGCGACAATATCGTCTCTACGTCGAATCTGTATGGCGGAACGTACAACCAGCTCAAGGTGCTTCTGCCGCGCTTTGGCATAACGACAAAGTTCATCAATGGCGACAAGCCCGAGGACTTCAAGGCTGCGATTGATGACAAGACAAAGGCTATTTATGTGAGTTACTGCATTACCCTGCCTTGTATGCAAAGGATTCGCGGATAAGTGCCGACTGACGACGTGTAGCTTGAGAGTATCGGTAACCCAAGGTACAACGTTCCTGATTTTGAAAAGATTGTCGCCATTGCGCATGAAGCGGGCGTGCCCGTGGTCGTGGATAACACGTTTGGCGCGGGTGGATACTTTGTCAGGCCAATTGACCACGGAGCTGATATCGTGGTGCACTCTGCCACCAAGTGGATTGGAGGTACGCAGCCTTGCTTGTATATCTGTGCCACAACTAACGGATCCAGGCCATGGAACAACCATCGGCGGGGTCATTGTCGACAGCGGCAAGTTCGACTGGGGCAAGCATGCCAAGCGCTTCCCGCAAATGATTGAGCCTTCGCCGGGATACCATGGCCTCAAGTTCTGGGAAACCTTTGGCGCAGTCACATTCATTGTTCGAGCGCGTGTGGAAATCATGCGCGATCTCGGCGCCGCGCTGAACCCGTTTGCAGCACAGCAGCTCCTCCTTGGTATCGAGACGCTCTCGCTGCGCGCCGAGCGCCATGCATTCAACGCGCTCAAGCTCGCCAAGTGGCTCGAGAGCAACCCAAATGTCAGCTGGGTGTCGTACCCAGGCCTTGAAAGCCACCCGTCTCATGAGCTGGCGAAGAAGTATCTGCAGCGTGGGTTCGGAGGCGTCTTGTCGTTTGGCGTGACGGGGGGTGGTAAGGCGGGGTCGCAGGTCGTGGACAACTTCAAGCTCATTTCCAACTTGGCCAACGTAGGCGACTCAAAGACGCTGGCTATTCACCCGTGGACGACGACACACGAGCAGCTGAGCGACGAGGAGAAGCTGAGCTCTGGTGTTACCGAGGTGAGTGTCTGAGTGAGCACTATTCGTGTTGCGGCTTGCTCATGCGCATGCAGGACCTTATCCGGATCTCCGTCGGAACCGAGCACATTGACGACATCATTGCGGATTTCGAGCAGTCGTTCCAGAAGTCGGCGACGAAGCCGCAGGAAACGGGCGCGCCTGAGAAGGCGGCCAAGACGGGCGAGGGCGAGACTCCGGCGTCGCTGCCTGGCGCGACGTAGATTGGGGGGGACCGAGGGGGGCAGCTAGGTAGATAGTGCATGTACATATAGTGATCGGCCGGGGGCCAGGCAGGCCAGAGGGGAAGTAAGACGTGTTGCGCAGCCCCTATTCATGAAGCAGTGCAGCGTCGTGTCATGGTGCGAGGGGCGTGGTGGCGGTGGTGAGGCTACAGTAGAGCCTCGGCAGGTTGGGCCCATCGGTGTTTTTCGGGCCCGAGCCAGCCATGTGCATGTCCGCGCAGTACCCCGGATTGCGGACCGCCGGCGGCATGTGAAAGAAAGGAAAGCCGCCGTCGCACATGACGCAGGGAGTCGGTGGCACATGCAATGCTCACGCCCACGCCCACGCCCACGCCCACGCCCATGCTCTGTATCCCACCCGGCGCAGTACAGGGAGCGGCTTTTGCGCCTGCCGCCCTCGAAAAGAAAAGAGCCACCATTTCCACAGCAGAATCCGGGGTAGCGAACACAAGGGGGGGGGGAGGGGGAGGCGCCGGAGCCGAAAAGGAACAAGAGTCGCTAGGTCGCGGGGCTGAAGACTGCTTCCAGATGTTGCGACCGCTGGTGCAGCACGCGCTGGACAATGCCCTTGGCCCCGAACATGTAGGCAATAGGATAGCGGATCCCCCCCCCCCAGGAGTTGCCGAGGCTCGTTGCGCAAAAGGGAAATGTGGGTTTGCCTTGCTTGGGGGCAAGTGGGAGGCTGTCTGTCCGAATGATCCGCCTTTTACACGCGCACTGCTCCCGTCTCTTCCTCTCTCTGCACCTGCTGGCACCGTCGCGGATCCCCTTTGTCTGTCCATCCTTTGACCTTCTGCCTTGGCCTGTTCGGCCTATTGCTGTCGTCGACAGGGCGCTCGTGTTGCTGCTCGATTCTTACCGCCGAGGTGGTGGCGCGCTAGGACCACGGTAAGTATGTTGTCATTTGCAGCCTCGACGCTGAGCCAGTACGGACACACCGACGTCGCCTCGATCGGGTAAAAGCGCTAGAGAGAGAGAGAGCTATTGCTGACACCAGCCATGGAGCACACTCATATTTCCTCCGCCGTCGGTTTCGCGTCGCACCTGTTTCCCTCGGACCAACCGTAAGACCGTCCTTGTTGTAGGCTGCGCCACGTCTGTTTGTACCACATCCATCTGCGAACGAAAAACTCCCTGCCATCTCGACCCCTCGCCTCCGTAGCCGCTCGCAACCATGTTTGGAGAAGCGGATGCCCAGATCGAGCGCGCAAAGCAGCTGCATCCGTCGCCCCCCAAGGGACAGCCCTACAGCATTCCGCTGCCCGGCACCGCGACAGAGGGAAGGACTGCCATTTACAGGCATTGGAGGTTCGCCGATAAGCCACTCTTGGAGAGACTGGTTCCCGAGGTACTTGTCCAGAGGATCCACAGAGACGTGCAAGTAACACTGACGCCGGGCGACAGATCAGCACACCACACGAGGCATTCGAGAACGCGGTTGCGAAGTGGCCAAAGAGCAATTGCCTCGGCCACCGCCCATACGACGCCGCCACCAAGACATTTGGCCCGTATGTCTGGGAAGACTACGAGACGGTTGCAAAGAGGAGAACCAGCTTTGGCGCCGGTCTCGTCCACTTGCACAGACAGGCCGGCGTGACTGCGCAAAATTACGGTGTTGGGCTGTGGTGCCAGAACAGGCCTGAGTGGCAGATTACCGATTTGGCCTGCATGTCCCAAAGCCTCTTCACCGTCTCCATCTACGACACGCTGGGCCCGGACACGACCGAATACATCATCAACCATGCAGAGTTGACGTGCGTTGTTGCTGGAATGAACCACGTCGCAGCCCTCTTGAAGCTGAAGCCGCGGCTCCCAACCCTGAAGCTCATTGTCGTGCTCGACCCCTTGTCGGCTGGCGAGCTTCCCGGAGAGTCAAAGGGCGACCTTTTGAACTCGCTCGCCAGCGAGCAAGGCGTGTCGATCCACTATATCCGAGATGTCGAGGCTTTGGGCGAGAGGCAGCCGCTCCCAGTGAACCCACCCTCACCCGACGACATCGTCACCATCAACTACACTTCTGGAACAACTGGAAACCCCAAGGGCGTTGTCTTGACCCACCGCAACGCGCACTCTGCAACATGCGCGAGCTTTGTGCTCACGGGTACCAAGCCCAATGAGATCATCTGTTCCTTCCTGCCTCTTGCGCACATCTACCAGCGCCTAGGAGAGCATTCGGCGCTGGCGTCTGGTTCGGCAATTGGCTACTTCCACGGAAACATTGTCGAGCTTGTCGACGACCTCAAGATGCTGCGACCGACCATCTTCACCGGTGTCCCGAGGCTCTACAACAGATTTGGAGCAAAGATCAAGGAGGCGACGGTTGACGCGACCGGCATCAAGGGAGCATTGTCGCGCCATGTCGTGTCTACAAAGCTCGCGGCGGTCAACGACAAGCACAACCCGACTGACAAGCACATGCTGTATGATCGCATCTGGGGCAAGAAGGTATCGGCTGGTATTGGTCTAGATCGCTGCAAGGTTTTGCTCACGGGTTCTGCGCCCATCGACCCTAGTCTGCAACAGTTCTTGCGTATCGTATTTGGAAGCAGCTTCAAGCAGGGATACGGCCTGACGGAGACGTACGCTGTTTCATTGGTTCAGCAGGATGACGACTATACCGCCGGCAACTGCGGTGGTGTTGCAGCAAACGCCGAGTTGGCTCTCGTTGACGTGCCGGACATGGAGTATTTCTCGACCGACAAGCCGTACCCCCGCGGTGAATTGGTTGTCCGCTCCGGATCGCAGTTCCGGGAATATTTCCGCAACGAGGAAGAGACGGCAAAGGCAATCGATGCTGATGGATGGTTCCACACTGGCGACATCTGCTCCGTGGACGAACTGGGCCGTTTCAAGGTCATCGACCGCAAGAAGAACGTTCTCAAGCTCGCACAGGGCGAGTACATTTCGCCTGAGCGCATTGAAAACGCCTACCTCGCAAACTGCAACTACATTGCGTCTGCCTACGTGCACGGCGACTCGCACCAAGCTTTCCTTGTTGCCATTTTTGGCGTTGCGCCGGACCTGTTCCCGCAGTTTGCGTCAAAGGTTCTTGGCGAGACGATTGCCGTAGGCGACATGGAGAAGCTCAAGGAGGTTTGTCGGAACAAGAAGCTGGAGAAGGCCGTGTTGAAGGAGCTGGACAAGGTGGGACGCAAGAACAAGTTCAACAGCTACGAGCGTGTGAGGGCTGTGAGGCTGTTTGTGGACCCCTTTACCATTGACAACCAGCTCTTGACCCCAACGTAAGTAATTTCTGAGACCATGACATGGACGAGATGCTAACCAAGTGCAGATTGAAGCTGAAGCGTCCCCAAACGGCAAAGGCGTTTAGGCAGCACCTTGACGACTGCTACGAAGAAGCGCTGGCGGAGGAATCTGGACCCAAGGCGAAGCTATAGAGGGCGCACTTGCATTTGTGGCGTATTGGAGCCGTTCCATATTTTCTTTCTCAGCTCGGGGATGGTAGAGTTCACCGTGCACCACGTGTGCCGTGGTACTGCATGTAGATGGCTTTGAATGTACGAGTATTTGGATCATTACCACCACCGCACATGACCACCATGCAGCATGGACAATGCAATGTCACTCTGTAAAACGGGCAAAAGAACAGGCCGTCACACTCCCAGCCATGAAGGAACAAGGCGTGCAGAGCGGTGAAAGGCTGGCGACCACGTGGCACAGGCCATTGTGGAGTGTAGCGTGATGGCACGAGCAATCAATGGGCGCCAAGTCATGGATGACGCAGGGTCCTCTTTTCGGGCCATGGGTCGTTTTTGGCGATGTCCGTTCGGCAATCCTTCGACTCGAGCCAACAACAACAACAACAACAGTCGTTCGCCTCGCCGCATCTCTGCCCTGAGCGCCTCCCCCCCCCTCTTGCGAGCTCTTCGCTGCCGCCTGCCACGAGGTACTCGGCCTTGGCGCATTCATCTGACCGGACCAGGCGACGAGCAACGAGCAACGAGCGCCCATGCCAATCACACGCGCAGCCACGCTGGCCATGAGCGAGGACATGGAGGATGGCACTCCACGGCGCGCATCGCGCTTCAAGGAGCATACCAACACCACCAGCAGCATCCGCCCGCCGCCCGAGGAGCTCTGGAAAGACATTGGCATCGAGGACCTGATTGAGCAGTTCAACGAGGAGAATGCGCAGCCCGTCTCGCGGAAGAGCTCTACAAATCAACCGTCGCGGACGTCTTCCAATGCTTCCTCCGGGACTGCGACATCGAATGGCACGGGCGCTTCGTCAGCCGCAGGTCAGGGCAGTGAAGGCACTTATGCACGTTTGCAGCGCGCCTTTGCGACCATGTTCGGCAGCGTGCTGGGGAAGCGCAAAGCCGGCAGTACCGAGGCTGAGCGGGAAAAGGAGTTGCATCAGCAGATCATGGACGAGCGCAAGAGGGCGGCCGAAATCGCCTACTACGAAGCCAAGGAGCGCGGCCTCCTTCCCAAGCCACAGGTCTTTGTGAGGCCGAGCATGGCCGCCAGAGCCGCTGCTCGTGGTACTCCCTCGCAGGCTGATGCCATGCCGCCAGCGCGCACACCACGCACGCCGGGCACGCCGGGTCTTTACCACACGCCCAGCAAGAAAGACCTGAATAAGCAAAAGAAGCTTAGCAAGCGCGTCTCTGATCTCGAATTCAAACTCGCTTCGGCCCGCAAAGAGCTCCACACCGTCCTCTACAACGATCTGCCACCCGTACCCCCCGTGCCCAAGTTCGGCCCGCCCACGCCCGACGTAACGCAGAGCGAGAACGACGATGACGCCCGCACCTCGGCATCGGAAACCACGCCAAAGGCCGCCGCCAAAGCCGTCAAGAAGCGCAAGACAACGGCCGCCCACGACTCGGACCCTGAATACAAGCCCATGCCCACCGATTCCGAAGGCGACCTGGACCTCATCTCGGGCGCCTCGGCCTCGGAACACGAAGACGCAGCTGCCTCCGCCAAGCGCTCGACCAGACGTGCAAAAGGCTCCAGCATCAGGAAAAACACAAAGAGGCAGAGTTCGCGGCTGCGACGCAAGTTTTCGAGAAACAGCTTGAAGCGCGACGACGAGCCGTTGCGAGTTGTCCCTGATGGCGTGCATGTCCCAGCTGTGCCTAGCATACCCAGTGAGATTGAGGGTGCTGCATCAGCGGTACAGCCCCGTGCCGCCGACGATGGCTATGGCGGGTGTGGCGATGAGATTTTTTAAGAAAAAGAGTCCGCGGACATGCAGATATTGGACGATGCATGGTTCCGCTTGAAAATAAGTGGAATCCCTGGTTGTGTGGTGCTACAAGTTGAATTGGAAAGAGAACAAGAAAGAAGAAGAAACAAAGTTGGCAGAGAGGATGAGCATGGGTGGACTATGACGTCCACGTTTTTTCTTTATTTTTCCAGCGTTTTTTCTGCATATTAGCGCTGAGAGAATACCCTTGTTTGTTTTTTCCTTTTTTTTTATATAGTCATTCCCTTTGTTGAGTCGTTGTACCGGCTTTCTACCTCCCCCTTCTTCTTCTTGTATAGAAGGACGTACAGCAGGGGAGTTGATTAGCACGCGTCCGACCACTTTTCTTGTTTCCTTTTTTTTTTCTCTTTCCTCCGTCATTCATTTGTTTATTCATTCTCACGCGACCTTATAGCGCTTCTGCTGTATATATTTTTCTCTGCTCTTCTTTCTTTCCTTTCCCTCTGCTGGGATATCTATCAGAATCATGCCCATTTTCTGAATGATCAGGCCTGGAGTGAGGCTTTGTTACGAGATGCAACGAAGGTTATGAAGTTGGTTTATCGTCATGCTGGTTTTAGCTCCATTTATAAGTTGTGTATCTGCCCGAATGTGTGTGTGTGCATGTGCGCGTACGTGCCACGGTGAAGAGGTGAAGTATACCTTCTTCTTACCCGATGTTTCCCAGAGATAAGGTGCAGGATATACATGCCATTGAGCATTCTACAAGCCATGTTTTATACCCGAACCTGATGATTAGAAATCGGCATATAACCAGCCATTGAGTGGGTTCGTTCATTCCTTGACCCACAGAAGATACTGATAAGTGATTATTAAGTTTAGCAAGACATTATCCGCTTCCCGCTCCCGCATTCTCTGCTATCGTCACACCGCAACAACACACACACGGCATGCATCAGAAACGCGGGAAGAAACGAGCAAAGGCGAAAGTGGCGTGTGTACGTATAAAACGCCTTGTCAAAACTTATCATCAGTCGAGAATGTTGAGGTCAAGAGAAAGCAAAAAATATTGGTGAACGGATCAAGTGATTAAAAAAAAATAAGCACTAGAAAACTAGCTGTCTTGATAATGCCAAGCGAATCTTCCAGGGTGTAACCCGCAAGGAATAATAACTGTCCAACACAGAAAGAAAAAATTGCACAAGCGGACATCTCCGGATTCACTTTTTTTCTCTCTCATACATACTCTTTCTGCAAGGTCCTGACTAGATTGATTACCGAACTTTGGCTTGTTGTGATTGCTAGTCCTCATTTCCAGCAAGCATCCTGCTTTTTTCCCTTGTTCTTATCAAGATTCTATCACCCATGTAAAGCCCCAGTATATAGCTAATATCGCTCACGTCAGCAGTGTTGCGATATGACGGCTAGCCGGCATACTACCCTTCATGGTCTTACTATCGGGGAACCCTCCCACTTTCAGGTCCACCCCGCGGAAGACACGGTTGATTTGCCATTGGGAAGATAGTCGCAATATGCTTCGGGGATATCGCGCAAAAGTCTGGCTCAATTTGCTGGCTTGTACATGGACTACTATGTAAAGGTTCCGGGTAGTCGGATGATGGTTGAACAAGGGCCGTATAGGAACCAGGTAATAACAGAGTTTACTGCTATGTATGCGTGTGTGTGGTGGTCATGGACAAGAACAAGACTCCTAGCGTGAGGTATTTCCAACTTTTTTTCTTCTCCCTCGCTCCCACAGACTACTGACGTACGCGGTGTGGCGATCTCTTATCGCTCTGTCCGGCAACAAAAGAAGGGCTTACGCTGCAATGGATGGCGAGTAGGCGGAGGCTGGTGTCCAAGTTAGTGGTTTTTGGACGTGTAATCCGGAAGGGCGACTTGGTATACGACGCGAGCTAGGCCGGTTGAGGCAGGAGCAACTGATGTGTGCCGCTCGCCCAAACCGCCTTGGGCAACCCAGCGTCGGACGGACCCCGCAAAAGTCGCGATAATGACCTCGGTGGATGCGACGACAAGGACTAACAAGTATTGACAAGCTTTGACAAGCTTTTTGGCTTTTGCTCGGTATGGTTTAAATACGCCCCAGGTACGGTCGGTTCTTCGTTACTTACTCTTCAGTTGCTTTCCAGTGCTTTGGCTGCTCCTTCGCCATGCTTACAAAGTCGATAGCAACGCCTTTGCTGGCGCTCTCGTCGCTCGTCTCACACGCTGCTGCTGTGTCCAAGAAGCAGTGGAGCAAGCGTAGCGACAATATCTACCTGCCCATGGACGTGGATGACTACAAGACGGCTACGGCGCCCAACAATGTCACCATTCGGTACAAGAACCCGGGCATCTGCGAGACAACGCCTGGTGTAGACAGTTACTCTGGATATGTGGATCTCGCTCCAAATGTAGGTACATTTTGCTCTCGTGCTACGGCTTCTCTAACGCTGCATAGGTCCATGTTTTCTTTTGGTTCTTCGAGTCCCGCAGAGACCCGGCATCCGACCCATTCACCCTTTGGTTGAACGGAGGCCCGGGATCCGACTCGCTGATTGGTCTCTTTGAGGAGAATGGACCATGCTCTATCAATGACAACCTCACGGCTGTGTACAACCCCTACAGCTGGAACAACATTTCCAACATGCTGTACATCTCGCAGCCAGTGGGCACGGGCTTCAGCTATCAGAAGGAGGCCGTTGGCAGCACAAACGTGTGGTCAGGGGACTTCCACTACAACTCGACCGAATACCCGGCTACCGGACGATGGTCAATTCTGGATCCACTGAACGAGGGCGATATCGACACGACCGATCTTGCTGCTGTGGCCGTATGGGTGCGTCTCAACAAATCACTATTTATCCGTGTCATTGACTAATTCATCGTGTGCAGCATGTGTTCCAAGCTCTGCTGGCTACCATTCCCAAGTTTGACGCCAAGCTTGGTCCTCTGAGTCCTTCGCGGGAATTCAATCTGTTCACCGAGTCGTACGGAGGCCACTACGGCCCAGCGTTCTTCCGCTACTTTTACGAGCAGAACCTGAAGATCCAAAATGGCAGCATGCCCGGCTACCCAATGAACTTCAACTCGCTGGGTATAATCAACGGCATCATCGACGAATCCGTCCAGGCTGCCCACTACCCCGAGTTCGCCGTCAACAACACATACGGAATCAAGGCGTACAACGACACCGTCTACTCGTATGCCAAGTTTGCAAACGAAATGTTCAACGGCTGTCTCTTCCAGATTGGCAATTGCCGCGGTGCCGCCGAAAACAATGGATCCTACTACCACGTCGACGCGCCCATTACCCAGAAGGAACTCACGCCCGGCGTCAAGGGCATATGCAGCGAGGCCGAGATGATGTGCCGCGACAATGTCGAATCACCATACTACTACTACAGCGGGCGTGGTGTCTACGACATCCGCCACCCATACGACGACCCCACGCCACCGTCCAACTACGGCGACTACCTCAACCTACCCGAGGTGCAGCAAGCACTCGGCGTCACGCTCAACTACTCGGGCAGCAATGCCATTTACTACGCCTTCCAGAACACGGGTGACTTTATCTTTCCCAACTTCCGCCTCGACCTCGAGTACTTGCTCGACCAGGATGTGCGCGTCAGTCTGGCCTACGGTGATGCCGACTACATCTGTGAGATTTCCCAATTCCCATGTATATATATATATAGATAAAGTATGCTAACAAAGGACTCAGGCAACTGGTTCGGTGGCCAGGCCATTAGTCTGGCGGTTGACTACACGCACAGCAAGGAGTTCCGGGCTGCGGGCTACGAGGCCATGATGGTCGATGGAACAGAGTACGGCGAGGTGCGTCAGTACGGCAACTTTAGCTTTGCGCGTATCTACGAGTCTGGGCATGAAGTTCCTTACTACCAGCGTAAGTCTAATCCACCCACTCCATTTCTCCACTTCCCTACTCGCGCTACTATACCGTCTCTCTCCGCATCACCAAGAAAACGAACACTAACTGACTTGTTCAATAGCCGTCGCGGCCCTCGCCTACTTCAACCGCACACTGAACCACTACGACATTGCTACCGGCGACGTCAAACTCACAGCCAACCTAACGACTTGGGGCCCGGCAAACGCCACACACACGAATTCGTTTGTGCCGCTGACTTCGTCGCTGATCCAGCAGTTTATGATTCCCATTTACCCGACGCCCACGCCCACGTCGGCGTAATAGACTAGCTGCTATGATGCTTCGCGTGCGTTTGATGGAAATGCCCGTGTGTTGTTTGCATTGTATGGACATGGAGAAGAAAAAAAAAGATAGCGTCTAATGAGCGCCCTACGTCACGTAACGTTCATGTGAAATGAAATGAAATGAAATGAAGAAAATTCCTGTCGTTAAATCAGCTTGGAAATTGCGTATTATGCATGCATGCATGTATGTATGTATGTATGTATGTATGTATGTATGTATGTATGTATGTATGTATGTATGGTTGATGTACCCAGTCATCCTGTCGACGTGCAAAGAAAACCAACCAAGTACCAATCCCCCATGTCACGCAATGACGTTTGTGGGGCCGTTTTTCAAAGTGTCATTTTAATTGGTCGCTATGCTGCATACCATGTATATCTACATAGGTACTGGTCCAAGAACTACATGCTACATACATACATGCATATATGGATACAGATACATGTTTATGTCTTGGTACTACACAAGCGGCACATGACCTGCCCCCCCCCCTATATGCACTGGTTTTTTTTTTTTGCACGGCCATGCCAAGCTGCATGGGGTGAGACTAGGGATTCACCCTGGTAGCGCGAGAGAATTGGTGGCTGCAACGAGATATAAGTGTAACAGGGCCGTCGCGACTCGAGTGTCATGCTAATTTTATATTTATAGTGCTGACGAGAGCAGCGTGTAGTAGGTTGGTTGCCAAGGCCAGCGGCCAATCAAGAGGTGGGTGAGTCTTGGGGGCCACAGAGTTGGGGAAGGGGGGGGGAAGCAATGGCGCCCCTGGATCAAAGCGATGATCGCCCCGAAAGTTTAAAGAGGGATATTACTAGTATATCGGTTTGATGGGGGAGGGGGGGAAAAGTCTAAACGGGGGTTTGTATGTATTGTTCAGGGTTTCCCTGGTAATGCATAAGAGAGAGATTTTGTGTGTGTGTGTGTGTGTGTGTGTGGGTGTGTGAGAGTTTTTTTTGCGCCAAACGCCATGCTAGTAAATGCAAGCCAAGCCTCATGTTAAATTTTGAACTCATTTCGTAGGAAGGGCGAATAATTGCGGTTGCATGTTGATTTTGCACAAGCGGGCAACGCAGCCGGAAAGTTGCAACAGGGTCTGGACACCGTCGAGGATGCGCATATGAGTGAAGCCAATTTCCTGTTTCGTATTAGTTGATTGCGGGGCACGATAAGTTGGCGATGCTGACCTTGATGAACTCGAGCTTTGCGTGCTCACTAAGAGTGTCAATCGTCTTTGTGACCTTGAACATGGTGCTGATAATGTCGTGGGACGAGTAGCCCAGGTCCCACAGCTCTTTCAATGATGCCAAGGCGTCGTCTATGCGCTGCTCGTGACAGGCCTTGATCATGGATTGCACTTTGATGGGATGCGGGCTGTCCACCACTTTGAAGACATTGTCGCCATTGACGAAGCCAAAACCAGCAAATGTCGACTGCAGGTTGTTGATGGCCTGTCGCATGTCGCCCTCGGCGGAGAAGACGAGTGCTGCAATGCCATCATCGGAGTATTTGACGTCCTCGGCTTCGCAGATTTGCATGATGCGGCGCACAACCTGGGCATCGGTAAGACGAGCGTATCGGAGGATGGCGCATCTCGACTGCAGGGGCTCAATGATCTTGTTGGACTGGTTGCAGGCAAAGGCAAAGCGCGTGGTGGAGCTGTATATTTCCATGGTGCGGCGGAGGGCCTGCTGGGCTCCACTCGTCATGCTGTCGGCTTCGTCGAGGATGACGAGTTTTTGCCTGCCGGGTGGGAGAGTGACCTTTTTCTGGGCAAAGCCCTTGATGCGGTTGCGGACGACATCGATTCCACGCTCGTCGGAGGCGTTGAGCTCGAGAACAGCTTCCTTGTAGGCATCGCCGAGGAGTTGGCGGGCGAGGCAGAGAATCGACGTTGTCTTGCCGATACCGGGCATGCCCGAGATGATCATGTGCGGCATGTTGCCATCTTTGGCAATGATCTTGAGGCGCTCAATGGTTTCGGTATTGCCGACGACATCGTCGAGGTAGACGGGACGGTACTTCTCTACCCTGTCTGAGCGTCAGGCGGGATGGGGTACAAGCGGGCGTGGGGGGGGGCAATTACCAGGGCAGCTCGTAGTTTGCACCGCCGGCCGCATTGGGGTTGGGCTTGACACGGTTGCTGGCGGCAGCTTTGGAGGACTCGGCCTTGGACATGTTTCGGCGGCGTGGACGAGGTGCGTGGAGGCATGACGCGAGAGACGCGATAGAGGGCAGACGCGCCTTGACGGGTCGGCCCGATCGGGGCTAGTGTTCACGTGCGTCGGCGTCGGCGTCGGCGTCGGCATGCAAGGCGCCCCTCAGCCGAAAGATGGTGAGGGGGCGCATGCTCGTACATGGCAAGGCTTCTGCAGTCGTCGTAGGCGGCGTCGTCGTCGTCTTCGCGGGTGTCGTCGTCATTCGCGGCGACAAATTCTGCGCCGTCATGTGGACAGCGACAGCGACAGCGACAGCGACAGCGACAGCGACAAGCTCGGGGTTTCTGAGGGGTCGTGGGCGGTGGAAGCGCCACACACAGAGATTGGGCTGGCGGGCACACGACATGTTTGCGCATAGATGGGGGTTTCAGCCTCAAACGTCTTATGGAAGGCGGCGCAGTCGGTTTGGCCTGGCAGCATCAGCAGCACGCAGCTCGGCCATGGCTGGCTCCGGGCGTCTTCCGCACTGGCACTGGCACTGGTACACATGTCGCGGATGCTACTACGTATACGTATGTATGCATCCATGGCGGCGGCGCTAATTGCGTGCGGCGCCCTCACCCTCGGCCCTGGCAGCGGCTGACGTACCTGGCCTCTCTTCTTGGTGGCCACGCAGACGCAGACGCAGACACAGAGAGAGAGCAGAGGCAGTATTGCAATCCCCCCGGTCTCGCCAGCCAAACTTTGTCGCAGGCCCGTCCGCTGTCAGCTCCTTATTTCCGCCGCACCTGGGCCCGGTGCAGGGTTGTGAGGCGGCTCTCGATTGATCGCCATGCAGCCTCGTCGTCTACTGTACACCACGCACACACGGCTGCACTGGAGGCAACAAGCACCGCCACCACGACCAGCACCAGCACAAGCAACCATGGCTGCGCCTGCTGGCCTCATGGATCCGGATCTGCCGGCGCTTCGAGGAAAGCGCCCTGGTGCGTTACGTGGGCAGCGGCACTAGAGCCACTGGATCCGTAACACTTCTAGACTTGACCTCATCACACACGCGTCGTCATCATCCGGCCTCCAACGCCCCCTTCGGCGTCAAAACCTCGACAGCCCGCGCCTCTGCCTCGCATTGCTGCACTGGTAGCCGCCAGACACCTCTTAATCTGCGCCCCAGACACGCCGCCCCCTGCCTCCTCATCTTTGTCCTGCATCATTACTTACTTTACTTCTCTGCCCATAATCCCTCGTCTTGTCGACTTGGCACTCTCGCACCCCGTCGCCACCGCGTTTCCTTGCTCGTCTTCGCCTGTTGCTATTTGCGCTCCACACCTCTTACTTACTCAGCCACACCCCCCACGCTTCTGCGGCGCCCCCCCTGCGGCATACATAGATAGTTGGGCTGCCCCGACGCCCCGGGTGCTCGACATTCACACAAGCCAAACATGAAGTACTCGCTCTTCTTATCCGCCCAATTGGCGTCAGCAGCAGTGGCACTGGAACTCGTTGCACGCGAGGTAAGTGCATCGCTTGGCTTCCCCCCCAACATCTCGCCTGTGAAGCGAATCCTCTTGCGCACGACACACGCGCCTTGTCCCCCCCGCACGGATGCGTCGCTGCATCGCTGCACCCACCGCGCCGTGTGCTGACGTGAATAGAACCCCAAGGTCGTCCTTCTGGAAACACAGCGCCGCCACGTCACCAACCCCGTCGCCCACGACCAGCTGCGGCGACGCCAAAAGACGGTCCAGGAGACGCTCGACAACCTCGAGACTCTCTACTTTGCAAACGCCTCCCTCGGCACTCCTGCCCAAAACTTCCGGCTGCACATCGACACAGGCAGTAGCGATCTCTGGGTCAACTCGGTCAACTCCAAACTATGCAGCTCGGGCGGTAACCAGTGCGGCGCCTCGGGCACATACAACGCAAACGACTCGTCGACATATACCTACGTCAACAGTGTATTTAACATTTCCTATGTTGACGGCTCGGGCGCATCCGGCGACTATGCCAAGGACACTTTCCGCTTTGGCGGCCAGACGATAAAAGACATGCAGTTTGGCATTGGATACACCTCGAGCTCAACAGAAGGCATCCTCGGCATCGGATACACCATCAACGAGGTCGCCGTCGGCCGCGCTGGACTGCAGCCATATCCCAACCTGCCTGCCAAGCTGTCCGAGCTGGGCACCATCAACTCAAACGCATACTCACTCTGGCTCAACGACCTGGACGCGTCGACGGGAAGCATCTTGTTTGGTGGCGTCGATACCGACAAGTACAAGGGCCAGCTACAGACGCTGCCCATTGTCCCGGAACGCGGCGCCTATGCCGAGTTTATCATTGTCTTGACCGGCATGGGCCAGAACGGCAACGACAGCTCTCTGTTCAAGGACCAAAATGTGCCTGTCCTCCTCGACTCTGGTTCCTCGTTGATGTATCTTCCCGACCAGGTCGCCAACGCGCTGTACCAGACTTTCGATGCCCAGTACGACGCCTCACAGGGTGCCGCCTTTGTCAACTGCGACCTGGCAAATCAGCAAGGCTCGCTCGACTTTAACTTTTCTGGCGTCAAGATTTCTGTCCCCCTCAACGAACTCGTCATTCTTGCTGCCGTTAGCCGCGGACGCCCCGTCTGCATTTTCGGTGTTGGCCCAGCTGGCAATTCTCTCGCCGTTCTCGGCGACACATTTCTGCGATCCGCATACGTCGTTTACGATCTTGACAACAACGAAATCTCACTGGCGCAAACAAACTTCAACGCCACCTCGTCCAACGTTCAGGAAATCAAAAAGGGTACTGATGGTGTTCCAAACGCCTCCCTCGTGGCCAACGCCGTATCAACAGCTGCAGTAGGCACGGGTGGCCCTAGAGTCGAAGGCCCTAGCGTCACTGGTGCTGGCTTTGCCACGTCTCGCAGTGGTGCCGCCCTACCAGGTGCAACCGCCAATCCATGGGTGAGTGGCGCTGCCCTTGCCGGCGCTGGTCTGATGATGGGCTTCAACGGTTTCTAACCTACTCGCGTTTGACCAAGCTTGGTCTGTATAATAAGTTGAACGTTTGCATACGCATGAGTGCATCACGGGCGTTTCCACATTTTGGATTGCAAGAGGGGGCATCTTGGTTTTTTGGTTTTGGGGGTTTATGTTTAAAGTACGGCAAGCGTTGCATATATCCCCCTTTGCGATTCATTCACTGTTTTTTGTTTGTTTGGAAGAGCGGCCTGATTGGTTAGGCACAGGCATAAGAGTTAGACGATTACGAATCTCATGAGCATTCTTTTTTTTTCCTTTCAAGCCTCTGATTTCAACAGCCGTATCTTGAGCCTGCAGTTATTCAAAAAAAAACCCAGTGACGCATTTGTTGCCTAGCGCCATACGTATACCCAAGTCCTGGTCATGCAGCTAGTGTTGGTCACACTAACCTCGTGAGCTAAGGTATACGTATTCCCACCCCCACCCCACCACGTCCCCCTCTTTCTCCCCATCCCCACACTGTCGGGTATTCGGATGCAGCACATGATTATGCATGTGCATGTATATATGCATACACACATGCATACATACGTGCTTAGTACCCTATATGCACACACACACACACACACACATGTGATGGATGCTTTGCTAGGTGATTACTTACTCACTATTTACCCTATCTACTATATATACATACATACATACATACATACATACATACATACATACATACATACATACATACATACATATTGTAAGAGGCTACGCCTACGTATGTACAGCTTAGCTTCTAAGCGAGTATATCTATACGACTACCTGGACTTCAAGAAGCTTGAAGTCTTGTTACTGCCTTTTTGGCTATGGATGGCGTAAGTAGTCGTACGCTCGGCCCGTTGGGCCCGCCCATTACACATATATATATACATATATATAGTCATATATACATACATACATACATATATACATACATATATATAAAAGCATGCCTATATGCATACAAAATACTTTCCTAGAACACTAGCAAAAGAAGAAAATAAACAACCACTGCAATCTCTTATATCGACGACAACATGACTTGAACTATAACTACCTATTTTCTTTTTCAACGCTTTTGTTTGTATATATATACTTATATATATGTATATATATATATGTGTGTGTGTACATGTGTATATATATGTGTGTGTGGCTAGTGTGTGCTTATCTTGTATGCTTGTGTAAAGTACTACTGTATCCACATCTAACGGTGTAGGGAAACATCTATAGTTTTTGTATAGTATAGAGACTAGGGGTTGACGTAGTCAGTTGCCTAAATTGAATGGCCTAGTGGGCTGGTAGGAGGTTACGTGGATGGCACAAATCACTTTCGACATGGTTGTGGAGATAGCTACATACTTTAGCACTGCTGGCCTGGATACTCGGCTGCGAGCCTGAGTACTCGGAGTAAATCATAAGCACGCTCTGCTTATGCTATCAACTGCATAATGCTAGAAAAGAGACCTCGTCATGCTTTCCGCAAAGGTAACGGAAACCCTTCTACGTAGTGTTATAGTGGTCGGCGCGTGAATTTCCTCATCTCGAAGAGGAAAAAAACCTACTTCTCTAACCTGCTCGGCTCGGCTAGAGACCATGCTGTGACAGCTTGTAATATAAGCTTACGCTACATACTATGTAGGAGCGCCTAGCAATTATCATGCCAGCCATCGGTGTGAAAAAAAGGACAATGATTCCATAGTCTTGTTGTTCGGCGTTCTAGCTATCACCGCAAGCAACAGCTAGTAAAACACTTTCTACAAAGAAACCGTAGAAAAGATCAAGTGAACGACACAAGAGGAACGAATATATATCATCTCCCTCCCTACACTCTAGCACATCGAATCCAGAATGAGAATGAAGAAACAAGATTTATTTCTGCATGAGAAAGAATATCTCTATGAATTCCATCTCTACTAATTATGAGAGCTACCGCAAAGTGTTAGCAAAATAATAAAAATACTCCACCAAATACCACATTCCAGCGCAGCAAGGCCCATGGCAGAAAACTCACCTTCCATGACCTACGCAAGTACTAATCTTGCAAGCGGTGTCGGTGCACGACGCAAGGTAATTGCCGTCGCAATCGAACAGCGTACCGTATTGAACGCCTCTGATCCTATCATATGCTATTCTGCAGCGCGCCGAACAGTCTCTGGGCAAGACAATGGCATCTGGTGCAGCTACAGCAGCAGCGGCGACACAAGTCGCTGTGGCAGCGATAACGGCGGCAACGGCAGTGCAGAATCTCATTGCAAGTATCGCTATTTGCAAAGGAGATGTATGTCCAAGGACAGCAATGTGTGTGTGTGTGTGTGTGTGCGTATGTGCCTCTATTTGCTGCGATACATGTACGGCTTGTGGTGTTGCTACATACATAGTATACATTAAGCTTCTATATTTAATCAAGACCCGCTTTGCTGACTCAGTCTCAACACGTCAAGTATAAAAATTTTATCTCATTTAGGTTTCTAACGCCTGTGCAATTTTTTTTTGTGCATGTTGTTGGGACTGCAGGCTGTTATGTGTGTATTGCATCTGAACGCACCGAGCTAGCTCAGAGATGCGATATGACTACTTAGTACACTTGAGGTTCTCAAGGTAGACGAACTACAGTAAGTCTACCAAGTGCCAAAGTTACACAAAGAGAAATCTACATTATAGGCTATATACAGGATATGCAGGAAGTGTAAAACTGCCAATGTAAACAATACGCCAGGAGATAGAACACACACAACTGAGTAAAACATAATCGGCAGCGAGCAACGGCTGTGAGCCCTTGGCTTCGCCCGTCCTTGTACTACCTAGGAAGGTTTAAGCCGGGACGTTCAATGCGATACTTGAAACTATCCCCACTCAACAAATTCAGCGTTACCCGACAGCTTTGAATTCTCACCCTCAGTCCGTAGACCAACCTGGCGACGAAGATGGGATACATTCGTACAATGAATTATCATAATCTATATACAAGACGGCTACCAAAATCGACAACCAGCCTAATTCACAGTACCGCAAAAGCCCACTCTCAGGGTGGAATCGCATGTGATCCAGCGAGGCAGAAAAGAAAAATACACTAATGTATTGCTGAACAGCTTACATGAAGTAAGCGATGGCACCAAGGAGAGCAGCAAAAGAGCTAGCACCCATGTGGGCGGCAGTGTTTCCAGTCTGTTGGGGCGTTGGGCTGCCAGATGGGCTGCGAGCTGAGGTGACGGTGGCAGTGCCAGAGACAGCTATAGCAGGGGGAGGAGTAGTGGGCTCCGCGACACCAGCAGGGCAGTGCCAGTGGTCGCCGTGGGGCTCGCAAGTGCTGGCAGTAGCCTTGTGGTCGTGGTCATGGTCGTCATCATCGTGGTCGTGAGCCGAAGGCGAGGGAGTAATGAGAGCCGTTCCGGAAGAAATGACCGTGGCGGTAGTAGCATCCTCGGCGGCTTCCTCAGCAGAGTGGCTGGCGAGCTGCTGGGGAGTAGGGGGGGTGGTGGGTTCAGCGACACCAGGAGCACAGTGCCTTTTCCACTTAGTTTTCTCGTCATAAATTGCGTGCTGGGAATCTGCTTACCAGTGGTCGCCGTGAGGCTCACAGTCGCCACCAGCAGTCACGGAGACAGTGTCTTGGGCCATAACAGCTGCAGCTACAGCAAAGAGAAGGGTTACTGAGACCTTCATGTTGGATAGATGGTAGTGACAGGATGTGTCTTGTCGAGATGAAGTTTCCGCCGGTAACGAACGATTATCTTGAACAACTCAAATAGAATCGTCTTATACAAGGCAGTAAGGAACGAAGAAACAATGCAATTAGTATGGATTGAAAGTTTTATAGCCTCGCCGCCAGGTAGTATACACTTACATGTCTGGGCGCAGAGCCAAGGCGGCGGATTGCCTTGGCGAAGGACATTGCGGTACTCAAGTCCCGGTAAAACTGTAGAAAACTTGCTCCATGGCGCTCGTGACTGGCGGAAGACTACGCTGGATAGGCGGGCTTTGCCCGATTGTGACGTGGGAGCCCCGTGGCAGAGCCGGTTGGGGGCGGCGTCGATGCTTGGCGGGGGGATGTGGTGGAGTAGGTCTGGATGAAAGTGGAAAACGCACCGTATTTTCGAAAGGATCTGGTCGAGTAATGAGGCGGGATTAGCTCACCAAGAACGCTGCTGCGTATTTCGCAGTGCTGATGTTTAAAGGTGTGGCAGGGCGAATGCAGTCAGAGCACATCCGACGTAGATAGATATGGCACTGATAACACCAGTAAGTAGGTAAATGCCGAGTGAAGCGTCAGCGCGGAGGCGCCGAAGATATTTCCAAAACTAACGCAGGTACCACCGATAGACCATCATTGTGCCCGCCTCCTGAGCGAACCAGCAGTCTGCCCTAGTCAATTTTGCATCGACCGTTACCGCAATCAGCAAGTTTTATTTTTTTGTTTGACATCGGCCCTTGAAGTTAGCAAATGATCCAGACGGTGCATTGTGATAGTTGCATACACGCGTAAAAAACGCCCAGCCTTTGCCACCATGCACCAATAGCTCCGGATTGGGACCCCACTCAATTTCCTGGGCATCTTGGACGCTCTGTATATGGTGTAATAGATCGGACTATGTGCTCTTCCAGACTGATTTCCTATTGTGTATTCTGTGTGTGTGTGTCGAGTAGAGTAGAGTGAGATGACTGTTGTAGAGGTCAAATGCTGCTGTAGTAAACTTCAGATTTTACAAGTCAGCGTCAGCGCTTCGCTGTAAGGTGTAACTGAAGCCATGATTTTAAATACCGATATCATAGAGAGGCGGTCAATTGAGTAGAAGTGTTTAGTGGAAATACAAGTTCTGAAAGATGCTTTTCTATTCCTGAAATGGCAGTGGTAGTCTTGTCAAACATGCGTCCGGGCTGGGTGAGTGAGGAATTGACCAATGCTCAATGATTGACACGTGGATGTATAGCGAATGAGAAGTACGCCAAGTTCTACCATGCGACATGCAACTCCCCAAACACTGACAAGGTAAAAGACGCAAGTATGGCGTATAATCTTCATAGCATAGTGGATATCTCCAAATCTACGCTTCATGCAATTACAAAAAAACAGGCACTGGATGCAAAGAACCCACCCCCCCCATCCTTTTGAGAAATTGCCGCTCGAATGTGAAAAAAAATGAATGAGATGAAACAGCTTTTTTGCTCGCAAATGCGAGATCTTGATCAATGCAATCCGCTCTCGCCCGTCTCAGCCATGTGGTTCTGGCAATCAATCATGATCTTGACCATCTGCGAGATCTGCTCCAAGCGGCTAATGACGACCTTGTTGCCCTCGACGAAGCCATAGCAATGATACTTGACACCTGTTTTTGACGAAAACTCGCGAACCAGTTCCTGGCCTCTGCGGAGGTTGTGGCGCGGAACACGGGGGAAAAGGTGGTGCACAGCCTGGAACTGCAGACCGCCGTGGAACCAGTCGAGCCACGGCGGGCAGTCGACGTCCATGGTGGTGCGCATCTGGCGCTGGGGAAACGACTCGGTAGGCCCGAGATCAGACGTCGGCATGCCCCAGTGGGACAGGGTAATTTGCACGTGCAGCACCATGGTGACGAGGTGCGAAATCAGGACAAAGCCAATGCGAATCGGCCAGGTGGGCAGCGTCACCCACACAAGGAGGTAACCGAAGAGATACCAGTAGCAGCACATGAAGACGATCTCGACGGGGCGCGTCCACCAGGCGGCGCCTAGCTGCGCGGCGCGAGGCGAGCACAGGTGCAGCCAGCTCAGGAAGTACAGGTTGAATCTCGCCAGGGCCATGACGGGGTAGTAGAGGTACTTTTGGTAGGGAACGATGACGTCGCACGCGGCATCCCAGACAAACTGGAAGTTGTAAAAGGACGAAAGGATCGACTTCATGTAGGTGGGCGATGTGGAGAACAAGGGAATGTTCTGGATATCTGGGTCGTGCTCGGGCATGTTGGTGATGAGGTGGTGCACGTTGTGGCTGGATTTCCACCAGCCGATGCTGAGGCCGCAGCAAAAGTCTGCGATGAAGGCGCCGATGAGCGTGTCGGTGATGAAATTTCCTGTTATGCCGCGGTGTCCGGCGTCGTGCGCTGTGAACATGATTTGTTGCTGCGGTAGATTAGCGTTTGTACGATGGAATCACTATGAGACATACCCAGAACAAGCCGAGGAAGATGGCTGATGTGAGGTACCACTTGATGTACAGGAGGGTGGCAAAGGCGGCAAAGAGACATGCATATCGTATCGACTCTTTGGCGTATTCGGAGTAGCGACATTGGTAGAGGCCCTCATCCTTGATCTGTTGATGCAGCGCGCGGTAGTCTTGTATTATGGCCTTTTGCGTCTCGACGTCGAGCGAAGGGTTCTCGCGAATGCCCTGCTGTATCTCGTGCGTTTCTTGCTCGATGGCGTATTGCTCGCGGTGTCTCCTCTTCTCCTCTGCCGCAGTGATGGTGAAGGCCTGGGCATCCTCGTCGACGAGCGGGAGCTTCTCCGAATCGATTGCGGGTCTGCTGCTGGATCGGTATACACACGAGTCTGGTTTCCCGATCAACTTTTTGCTGATGATAGCGGCGGCCTTTGTTCCAAGTCAGCCATGCCCGATATGGCAGCATGCAGCCATGCTGGCGGCAACAAGAGGTTGTGTGGGGCAGACGCACAGATCCCAGGTCGACGCTTTTGCCGCGTCGCTGCTTCACGATTTCACTCGCGGCGCCCAATCGCTTCTTCTCGTCGAGGTTCTTGTAGTAGTCGGGCGACCTGATTGGCGGCTCGAGGTTGGCCCATGGTAACTGCACGCGGCCGACGCGGTGCTTTGTCATCATGAGCAGGGCCTTGGTGGAATGGTAACTGGCATAGGGTCAGTCTGGGTTGCTTACACACACACCACCGTTCCGCTGTCTTCCGGTAGCCTGGTACAACCGGATCGCCGGACTTTGCCCTAACCGGCAGAGCCACAAAGGTTATATAGACGTCCCCCGGGCTGCATACATGTTGATTTCGTCGGTCGCGTCTCGGCCCACCATGTGCAGGATGGCGAGACGGCCGCCCGGATGCCTGTCGATCCATTCTGCGAGGTTCAAGGCGTAGCCCTCATGGATGACAATGGGCTCGCCCTGGGCGATCTGGCGCTTGATTTGCGCAGGGTCCATGGTCCTGTGGCGAGACATGTGGTCGATATGGCTGGGTGAGAAGGGTAAGTGGGAGTCGGCGTGTGCTAATTCGCGGGACAGCAGCATATATACCAGGACGGCAACTTATCGTCGACGGGCGTGCCAGGAGAAAGCGAGCAGGTTTAGGGAGCGCTGCCGTCGCCCCCGCCGTGTGCACGGATCGCGGCCCTGCCAGCTTCTGGAGCCTTTCCACCCATAGGGGGCGCAGTCTCGGTACGTCACGCTCGAGGCAGGCATACGTACGCGGGCGCGCGCCATGTGCCGGCTACTGAAACAGCAGCAAAGGAGACGTCCAACGTGCCGCCGTGTGGGCCGGGCCAAGCGTGTCAAGGCGTGTGGGCGACGGGCCCATTGGACTGTGTCGGGGGCCAGTTGGCCGCAATGTTGGCGGCACACGATAGAGAAAGCCACGGCGGGCACGACAAGGCACAGCGTGCATGTGCACACCCTCTTTCCGCGCAACGAACGGGCCTCTTCTAGGCAGGTGCAAGCAACAAGATTGGCTGCCAAGTGCCTGGGCGGCGTGCCGGCGCGCGCCCACCCGGCCTAGGTGAATTCACTGCCAAGCGCGCGCGCGCCGCATCGGGGCTAGCGCCAGCGAGGCTCCACAGCGTGCACCACTGCCAGTGCCTTGGACCCTTTTTTCGCTGGACCCTGAGACGGGACAATCGCGTCACCCCGCAACAAACGACTGTTGTGGTTGGCGTCTCAGGGTCTGGATCGCGCGCGCCGGAGCCGGCGAGGGCAGTCGGCCCTCCTCTCCTCTCCTCTCCACACAGACACGCCCGCATCAGACCCAACACCCGCAGAGCCATCACCACAACGCGACTCAAACCGCCCGCGCCAGAACGCCCGCCACGCTGCCTGCCCAACGCCACCACTAGCGACGCTGCCCACCCCTCGCCACCTCCTGCCATGCGAATGCGACGGAGCCCCATGCCGCTTATCTGTCCTCTCGCCCGCGTATTCGCAAACGAGCTGCACCTAGGTCGTATTGCGTAGCAATCCCCATGCGGCTAATCAACCTCTCCACATGGGTGCGCCACGCGTATTCGCCTCTGGCATTATCTATTATCGGCCTGCACATCAAACAGCTGTCTCGGAATAACCCAAGCTTTCAACGGCGGGTCCGCATGCGCAGATCAAGTGCCCCCCCTTGGAAGACTTCCCGAAGACTTTCCGGCGCAACCCCTAGACCCACCGGCTTTGGTTCTTGCATGGCCATTTTGTTATCGACCAGCAGCCAGGGGGCTGAGTGTAGGCAGTATGTCGGCGCAAAGGTGTTAGTATAAGTACCGATTGCACCGTGACGCCAGCACAGTCGTCATCTTTGGCCGAAACCTACTTGCACAATCACGCGAGCTCGGGGGCTGTGCGACTCGAGCGCACCGCGCATGGGGAGCTTGCGCGTCGAGAAGGGGGCAATGTCTGGAGCAAACGTTTCTGTTGTATAGGCTTTTGGTAAGTAGTACAAGGACCCACAAACAACGAGTGTAGCTCCAGTGTGAAGCCGGCGCTGGACAGGAAGACCAAGGCCGTCCGGCTTATGCCCTACTCGGAAAAGGTCGCACCAATGCGGAAATGCGCATCCAGTCGTCCGTTCCGCAATCAGGGATACCGCCTGTCGGTGGAGGCTGTGACATGGCTAGTCATCTGCCAGAACAGACGCGGGCCGGACCTGGTGTTGCCAAGGATCCCGTACGCCCACAGGGGACGTTTCCAATCAAACCATATTGTTATTCTGGTACCAACGTTCTGGCCTGGCAAGTAGTTTGATCTGACACCAATGCGCCCTTAGAGTGGCCGTCGTGCCGCCAGGCCAACCTTGACGTTGGAGAAGAAGCAGAAGAATGCCCACGTTGCCTGGTTCATGCTGAGCGCGCCGTCATGGACTGACACCGCAGCTGCCGCATATCCAAGTGACGCCATATCCGCACAACCAGATGACCATGGTACAGACAATCTCGGCAAAACCATCATGGGCATGGCCCTCCCTGTGCAGTAAGAATAGCATAGCAGATGGTTGGGAACGGATGCGCTAAATCTGACCATAAGCTTACCCGCTCACCCGCTTGCTCATGCCACATTCGGCACGGCAGCGACTGCAAGGTAAGTGAGTAGACTATGGCTATGCCTAGGTGGGCTAGCTCGGTACCAGTCAGAGCGGCCTCGAAGCGTGCATGACCTGAGTCCGTCTTGATGAATTTACCTAAACACACAGACGCCCATCTCACTCGTTTCGACACCACCTCACAAATCATCACTGCAAGAGACAAAGCTTAAACACATCGCCTTGCATAATCAGACAGTACAACAGTGTATCAGCGCATTCCAGTATTATCCTCAAAATCCTCTCTCCCACGATATCCGACCCCAACTCCCTTTACAGCTCCTCCTTCTCTTCCTCCTCCTCAAGCTCAACGTCCTTGATAGGATCGCGCTCGGCATCGCGAATCGCCTTTTCGAATTCCGCCGCCTCCTTGGGGCTGCTCTCAAACAAGTGCTCGCGGACGAGTCGCTGGGGGGTTTCGCCCAGCCACTGGAACAAGCTAAAGTCCTGGAACTTGTCGGCGCGGAAGATTTCCAGCACCTCGACGTCTTCCTCGTCAGACAGATTCTCAATGAAGTGGCCCATGTTGCGCGGGATGACGCCCACATCGCCAGCCTGGAAGTCAAAGGTACGGGCTGTGCCTTTGGCAGCGAAGATGGTGACACGCGCGCGGCCAGCGATGAAGAAGGACCACTCGTCTGCGTTGGCTGGTACATGAGTTAGTTGGGGTTGCACTATTAGTGAATCTTGTGGAATTGACTTACGATGCCAGTGCATTTCGCGAATCGCACCCGGTTGGATCCTCAGATGGGCTGCAGCCACCGTCTTGGATATGGGAAAGTTGGTCGAGTCTGTGATGCGGACTTGGCCACCGGTTGTGTTGAGAGGCTCCTGCGCAAGCATCTTGTGGGTGAACTGGAGCTTCGACTTCTTGTAGCCCTTGCTGTCGCTCGGCACCTCCTTGTCGATGGACTTTGGCTCGGAGCCCTGGAAAATGTACTTTTCCTTGTCGGGAATCGCCTTGAAGACTTCGGGAGCGACGCGGAAGTTCTCGCCAAGCACCGACTTGGGCGTCAGCCTCATCCAGTCGGTGAGCAGGAAGGTCGAGTCTTCGGAGAAGTTGCCGTCGTCAAAGACAAGCAGAAACTCGGTGCCGTTTGGACTTAGGCCCTGCAGCGAGTGGGGGTGGCCCGAGGGGAAGTACCATAGATCGCCCTTTTCGAGGTCGTCGACAAAGCTGCCGCCCTCGGTGTCGAGCGCGGTGATGCGGACTTTGCCTTCGAGCACATAGGCCCACTCGGCTTCCTTGTGCCAGTGGAGTTCGCGGATGACGCCCTCTTCGAGGCGCATGTTGACGCCGGCTAGCTCCTTGCTGGTGCCCAGCTCGCGGACAGTCGTCTCACGTGTCCAGCCGCCCTCCTCGATGCGCATGTGCGAGTCGGCAAAGGACCAGCGCATGTTGGGGATGGCGCCATGGTCGGTGCTAGGCGGGCGCACGAGATCTGGGTTCTGGCGTTCGCGGGCGCGATTGCGAGGACCCAGGACGCTGGCGCCGTCGCCGTTTCGCTGCACAGGTTGTCAGTGTTGCTTGATGCCATGGGCAGAACAGGAACACGCACGTAGGGCAATGGCTGCAGCTTGTCGCCCTGAGAGTCAACCTTCCTGTCGTAGGGGTCGTCTGCACCGGGCCTGTACGGGTTGGCGACCTTGTGCGGCCCAGCGTGGTGCTGTGCACTGGCGACGAGTGGTGCTTGTTGTTCCAGTGGCGCGGCAACAGCACCGCCACAGACGCTAAGCGCAACTAGCAATGATGAAAGATGCATCATGTACAATGCCTCTCGCGTAACGGTTCCCAGTCGCCCAGGCTGGAGAAAGGATGGCCGAGTCGCCAGCTTTTGCAGGCGGGCAAGGCCGTCCTTTTCATACTGGCGGCCGGCTTGCGCGTCGCCCAATGCCGATTTCCGATGACGGCATGCACAGCTCACCACGGTTGAGGCTTGCTCTGCGACTAACCATCACTCATCACCATGCCGCAGCCTTGGCGCCCCAGTCTCGTCGTTTTTCCACGTCTCCAAGCCCGCCCACCACGCATCCCCCGCACCCAGCATCCTGTACCTGCACCGCTCCGCCATGGCCAGAACCATCCGCGCCTCGCAACAGGAAGGTCGCTACCCTCAGCCACAGCCCACCGCCTAGGCTATCCTGCAATTGCCGGCCTCTGCGCCTGAAGCTTGACCGAAGCTTGAGTCGTGGGGATCTGCATCGCTGCAACCCGCCGCATCATCCGGCTTGACGCTGCCGCCAGCAAGGCCTGCAACCTGCAAAACCTGTTGAGCCCGCGTCACTCGAAACACAATAACTACCAGCCCCCCCCCGAAGGCAACCTGTCAAGGGGGTGCATCGATCCACTTCCCCCTCTCCTGTCCCCCTCGCCCGCGCCCCGTTGACCATGAGTGCAGACGCCACACGCAGCGCCCCAGACGAGGAAACGCCTCTTCTCGGCCGAGATGGGCCCGCCGGCGGAAAGTCGGCCGTGGGCTCTGTGCATCGAGCAAGGCGCTACCTGCAGAGCAATGTCAACAGGAACTGGGCCGACGTCGTCTTGATCCTGTGTTATGCCATTACAGGCCTGCTCGACAGCTCTGCTGTCTTCATCTGGGGCTCCTTTGTGAGCATGCAGACGGGTGAGTAATTGTCGTCGTCGCCCATTCCTCACCTCGTTCGACCCGGAAAAGCTCATCCAGAACGACAGGCAACACCGTCTATCTCGGCCTGGGCCTCGTCGCGCCGTCAGAGGGCGTCCGCTGGATCAAAGCAGGCACCTCAATTGCTGCTTTTTGTCTGGGCTCCTTCTGCTTCGCACGCTTCCATCGCTACTTTTCGCCGGCCAAGCGATGGGTCCTGATTGCGTCATATACGTTCCAAATGATGCTCATTGTTGTCGCAGCAACCATTGCAACCTTTGGCGAGAATGCAAACGACGGCCTGCACTGGCAGGTTCTTGTGCCTCTTGCCTCGGTCGCCTTCCAGTCCAGCGGCCAGGCCGTCACGTCGCGCGCCTTGAAGTACAATGGCCTAACTAGCGTCGTCCTGACCAGCAATTACTGCGACTTGTTTTCCGACCCGGACCTCTTCAACATGTCCAACGTCGAGCGCAATCGCAGACTGGGTGCGCCGCTCGCCCTGCTCATCGGCGCATGTGCCGGCGGATTGTTTGCGCATAGCAGCGTAGGCCTCGCTGGCTCTCTGTGGACTGCAGCTGCACTCAAGCTCATGGCTGTTTTTGCATGGATGCTGTGGAAATCGGAGAAGGTTCAAGAGTAGGATGGGCAGGGAAACTGGGACGTGTCGGAGTATTGAACATGTTGGCCTGTCCATTTCCTCGATAGCCACTACTGTATTTGGGCGAGTCCTTTTGACTACATCTACAAGGCTACAATATTTGCATAGAGCGGACCGTTATACTTAGACGTACGCTAGTTGGTTAGACTTGTGTCTAGAAGAAGAAGAAGAAGAAGAAGAAGAAGTTAGATAGCAATTCCACCAAGCAGTTGTTAGAACCCTCACAAACATGATTAAATTTACACATGATTCAAGCACAAAGTAAAATCTCACATACAGCCTCCAAACCCAAATTTACATGTGAATCATTCTCCTACCTCTTCAAGCTACCTACATATCTTGCCAACATGCTCAATATATATATCCAATCTATCGCTCCATCTTGCATCACGCCAGTCACCCCCCCCCCTGTTTTTTTCTTCTTACCTTTCTAGAACACTAGAATACTCTGGTAAATTATGTAATTTGAAACGTTTACACATGGTTGAATACGAAGAAAGCATTTACACTTTATTTCGCTTCACGCATACCAGATATGACGACGTACTAAAAAAAGACGCATGAAAACTACCTCGTTGGTTCTCGACATGACGTCCAACCTCCAAACCCCAAACTCCAAGCGAAAAAAAAGAGAGAGGGGGAGAAAGAGAGAAAGAGGGAGAAAGAGAGAAAGAGAGAGAAAAAAGGGCAAAGATCTACACTACCAAATCCCCCAAACCAGGTGCTTCGCTTCCCCTCGTTGGTTTCGACAACTCAAAGCTCAGCACGCTATGGTCCATGTAGTACATGAGTAGGCGCCATCGTCGAGGCTGCCGGATACCATTGTGTTCGGGGTCTGGGCCTTGGATATCACTCCATGTATCGAGCATGCCTATTTCCACAGGCCGTTAGCGCAAACATATCCAAGCGCAATGAGTAAGTATCGCGAGACGGTGAAAAGGCATGTCAAAGAAACTGACAACAACAGCAACAACAACAACAACAACAACGTACCCTGGACCGGTGAAACAGCCACACCAAGCATGCGGCCAAACGGCACGCCCGCAATCTGATTTTCGTTGTCGGGGCAAAACGGCAACAGGTACTCGAGCTTGACGCCGTATCGTCTGCGCGGACTACCACGGTCCTGCGTCCAGTACAGCGAAAAGACGGCTGCACGGCCAATAGGCGAGGCGACGATGAAGACGCCCAGCTCGGGGATCTGCGCGTAGAAGCAATGCCGGTTTTGTGAGGGGAGCGAGGGAACCCACGTGCCGGGGTGCAGGGGTCGCTGCATCGATACAATGCGGTTGCTGGGGTTTTGCATGTTTGTGGCGAGGGGCCGCTGGACGAGGAATATGTCTTCTTTTGTCATGATGACAAAGGGCGAGTCGAGGTCTTCTTCTGTCTGTGGCGTTGCGAATTAGCGGGAGTGTGGTTGAGGGATGGTAAGTAAGTGGGAAGACTGGTCCTCTTACAAGTTTGTCATTCATAGACTGTCGGTCTTTGATGATTGCGCAATACGGTTTCAGTGCCAAGCTGGGTTCAAGCCTTGGCCTCGAGGGAGGCATCATATTGCTCATAAAGTCTGGTAGGCCTGGGATGTTTTGGTGGCCCTGGAGCATGTTCTGGATGATTTGTTGCGAAAACTCGTCTGCGTCAGTATCCATCATATCACTCAACAGAACTCGGTCATTCGCGCTGATGGTATTTCTCACGAAACCAAAGCATTCCCGAAATATATCACTGCGGGTGGAATGTTGCAGGAGCTGCACTTACCACCTGAGAGAACCCATCGTCTCCCTGTGTGGAATCAGATGGCTGTGCCTCTTGCATCTGCCCATCTACAGAATCTTCCTCGTCTTCAAAATCACTCAGCTCATCCTCGCTTTCACTAAGCTCCATGTATGGAATACGGGTACTGCGGTTCTCCACCGTGAAGCGCTTCTTTTGAGCACTAACATCTCGAAAGACATCTGACACGTCTCTGGAGCCCAGGCTTTGTTCTGCTTCGGGCGGTAGGTAATAGGCAGATCGTGTATCCAGTACCATTGTACCCCAGGCTCCGTGGAGCACGTTGGAAGCAGCCGGACAAGCGCATGTGAAACCTCGTGATCCATAACTGGGCGGACTCGAAAGGTCTTTTGCACTGATACACCATCCCAGTTGGCAGGTGACTGCGGCTCGTCTCGTATGAAGATCCCAGAGTGTAGTCTTGCCATCGATGCAGCTGCTCAGGAGCCAGCGTCCTGAGTTGTGATAGAAAGACAATGCTGGTAGATTGTTTGTCGCCGAGAGGGTAAAAACGGTCTCAGTCTGTCTCCAGAAAGGAAATTGTGGAATGCATCTCGACGACTCGCAGTTGTCTTTTAAGGTGTCCAATTCATCGGTGTCCTGTGCAAGCGCATATGCGATGACGGTAATCCGATATGTGTTCGCGCTGATGGCAATAATGCGAGCCTCTCGGTGTACAGCCAAGCCCCATGCACTTGCGCCGACGTTCCGATGGAGGAAGACATGAACGTCATCTTCACTAGCGGCTCCGTCTTGGCTGGCGCGTTCTATAGCTCGATGAATAACTTCGGTGCGATATCCGATTACATCGCCATCGTCGCAAGCGACAAGAAGTATCTCCTCGTTGCCCAGATATTCGACCAGAATGCGATTGATCGAGTGGGACTCCCAAGGGGCGATGCCCAAGCCGCGATGGCCAGTTTCAGGCGGATGAAGGATAAGATCAGGGTCGGTACCCAAATTCTGGTCAGGAAATCCCGGCCTGTATATGTGTATATTCCTAGTTGAAGCAAGAAAATAAAGATTGTGCCGCTGCGAGAACGCGGTCAGGTCGCAACGCCATGTACACAAGCTTGGAGACAAGTCGTGCGCGGGGAACTAGTCAAAGTTAGCACGACATTGGTTCTCCTCGCTTGAGCACGCTTCATGTAGCCATGAGCTCTGCGAATTTTATGAGAAGAGGTGATTTCTTGTCAGTCGCCTTATTCGTTCCATAAACACCCGTTCGTTGTACTCCGCAACGGAAACAGGTGCAGAATAACCGGACTCACCCGGTTCTTTCCTTTTTGCTCGCCTGTTGGGATACAAACGACGTGCTTCTCCATGGTACATGCAGCATACTTGAATTCGATGTTCCAGCGTAAAGTGTGTAGTTGGAGTCAAGTTGGAGAGTTTGGTTTGGTCGTCTGCTGTGTGACGTGAGCTAGCGCTGAGGGCTACTTTCTGATTGGTCACTGCACATCAATCCGGTCGACCCTCCAAGCGTAATGCAGGGCGTAATAGTATGACAGTCAAGAGAGGCAATCCACAGGCTTTCCGGAGCACAGTTTTGGCCACAAACGGCATTAAAATTTTATCATGCTAATGACTTCATAACCGTATAAAGCCAGAACAATACTCTATCATCTGATTTCGAAAGCTCAAGTGCCCAGCGGTATCATCGAAACATCTCTCGCATCGTAGATTGAACATGCCGCCCTCTAGATCAAGTGCCCGAACGCCGTCTAGTGCTTTGCAGTAACCTTGTCGCCCGTGAGCTTCTCGACAGCCTCCTTGGCACTATGCAATGGTTAGTAAATACGCGCAAGGCGGACGAGGGAATGACACATACACGTCACCCAGAGCTACCATGCAAACCGTCTGCCAAACGCCAAGTCCAATTCTAGGAGTAACGCCACGGTAAAGACCCTTGATACCATTGTTTGAGTAGATGTACTTGAACGCCGAGGCGACGTTCAGGTTCTTGGGACGGTTGGGGTCGACCGTCTTGGACTGGAGCTCCACGCGGATAACCTCAATGGGCTGGTTCCACGCACTCAAACCACCACCGAGAGCTGAAGCCGTGATCTTCTCAACCACACTCAGCTTCTCGCCGTGCTCCTTGTTGGTCACCTTTCGGATACCAGTCTCGGCGACACGGGAAAGACCAAAGCGGGAACCCCAGTTGGTCACCTGGCGCACCGCGACGGCGTTGACACCACGGTTGATACCGCGGAGACCCTCGGTGCGCCAGATCTGCATGAAGGTCTCGAGAGTGCCTGGGGGCTTGGCACCAGTGGCCGCGACCTTGTGCTTGGTAATCTCAACCGTCTTCATGCACGTGCAGAAGCCCATGGTGGCATAGGCCTGGGCAAGACCACCCGTCATTCCACCAGATATACCGGCGACGAAGTCTGGGGCGCCGAACGACTTGGCGTAGTATTCGGCCTCGGAGGCGACGAAGAGAAGGACGGCTCCTTTGGTGGAGGCTTCGATCCAGGCCCAGGGAATGAGGCCCTGGTAGACTGCAAATGTTGGTGGTTAGACAGCGGGCTGAAAAGCAGATTTGTGCATACTGACAGCCCAGAACACCTCCACGGGCCCAGATGCGGCCAATGGCTCCCGCGAAGCCTTCAGACCTGTTGGCAGCCATGGTGGTCTTGACGACCTCCAGCGGCTAAGCGCAATGGTTAGTCTGTCTTGGGTAGAAGCGTGTCGGCGGGGCTGCATACCTGTCCCAGAGATGTTACTCTGTGCTTGGGTCAGCCGTGATTCTGCCATGGCGGGCTGTCTACTTACTCGAACAGGTTGAGACCAGCACCGACTGCGCGCTACCGTCAGCATCCCATTGCAGACACGGCGGTGTTTGTCAATGACCTACGCAACAAATTGCTGAATTTGACCGGCTTCTTCTCCAGCTTGGGCACGGCCGTGGCCACGCCGGGCACGCCGGTGACGGGTGTGGAAGTCATTCTCTGGGGATTTCTTGTCGAAGATTCGGGGCCTGACCAAGGCAAAAGGGTGCTCCGTCGCAAGTGTGAAGGAAGTCAAGTATGCAGGACGGGCGAGGGAACGAGGGCATGAAAAGACGGCCGCAGTAGGAACTTGCAAGGTGGTCTGTGTTGCTGATAGAACGCCGACGCCGGCGCTATAACGGGCGTCGTTCCTGAAGCTATTATCGGGCAACCCTTCAGCTTGGCGCACCATGTTCCCGTCCGCATCTGGCGCTCCGTCTCCGCTGCCGCGCCCGGAAGACAGCAATGTCCCGCGGTGCCCGTCTTGCGCCATTACGGGCCCCTGCCAGAGGCACCAGTGCCAGTGCCAGTGCCAGTGCCAGCAGCCTTTCCAGGTGGAGTCGGGGTAATACATATTACATGTATCGGGCTTCGGGACTCGGTTGGCGCAGCGCGAGCCTGAGCCCAATACTCCGAGTCGGTTCCCCAATCGCTCGACGGCCCCTAACAGCCGCGGGCGTGCCCCCCCTTGTTCCGGTTCGTTTTCTTCTTGGGTAGCCTGTGGCCATGCCCCTATTGGCCACTTCCGCTGCCTGCACCGTTTCCTCCGCGGCCTGCGCACCATACCACCGCATACCAAGACGATGCTCGTAGTAAGTAGGAAGCACTCGAGCCTAGCCGTGGCTGGGCCAGCTCGTCGCCTCTGCATACATCACTCACGCAGCAGACACGCCAGTGCCACAAGAGCGGGGACGCTCCTTTTCCCTATTTTACATTTCATAATCTACAGGGGACTAGGTATCGTTGAATCTCAAGTAAACTCCACCACATTCTCCAGATCGTCAGACACGTAGCAATTACCCATTTTACAACTTGGCGCCGACAAGCTTGGCATAAGCCTCGGTGCTGAACGACTTGGGCCTCTCAATGGGCGCGCCCACGGCACGGTCGATGATGAGCTGAGGAAGCACGCCGAGCGCGCGCGACACGCCGAAGAGGACCGTGTAGTAGTTCTGCTCCGTGAGGCCGTAGTACTGGAGGAGCACACCCGAGTGCGCGTCGACGTTGGGGTACGGGTTCTTGGTCTTGCCGTGCTCCGTGAGCACACCAGGAGCAATCTTGTACACCTGGCTGACCAGCTTGAACATGGGGTCGTCGGGCAGGTGCTTCTGGGCGAACTCGCGCTGCGACACGTAGCGGGGGTCCGTCTTGCGGAGGACGGCGTGGCCGTATCCGGGAACCACCTGGCCGGCCTTGAGCGTAGACCAGAGGTAGTCCTTGATGGCCTCGTCGCTCAGGTCGTTGCCAATGGCCTTCTTCATCTTCTGGAGCCAGACAAGCACCTCCTGGTTGGCCAGTCCGTGGAGGGGACCGGCGAGACCGTTCAGGCCGGCAGCCAGGGACAGGTAGGGCGAGCTGAGGGCGGATCCAACCAAATGCGTCGTGTGGGCGCTGACGTTGCCACCCTCGTGGTCCGTGTGGATGGTGAGGTACAGGCGCATCAGCTCAACAAAGTCCTTGTTCTCGGAGAAGCCGAGCTGGTGGGCCAGGTTGAACGAGTAGTCCTTGTCCTTTTGGATGGCGGCGACCTTGCCGTCCTTGTAGATGTTGCGGTAGATCTTTGCGGCGATTGTGGGCAGCTTGGCAATGAGGTCCATGGCGTCCTCGAATGTGTGCTCCCAGTATTGCGACTTGTGCATGCCCTTGGCGTACGCCTTGGCGAAGTTGGACTCGTGCTCGAGAGCAGTGACGGCGAGGGAGAACTGGGCCATGGGGTGGAGGTCGCTGGGGCAGCGGTCGATGAGCTCCTCGACGAACTTGGGCACGTCGGAGCGGGCAGCCCACTCGGCAGAGAGGTCGCGGACCTGCTGCTCAGAGGGCACCTCGCCCGTCAGCAGCAGCCAGAAGAGACCCTCGGGGAGCGGCTCCTGGCCGCCGGGGGCCTTGGGAAGGAGTTCCTGGCATTCGGGGATCTGTCGTGCGTTAGCGCCGTGTGTGCGGGCACCATGGTGAAAATGCCACTACGTACAGTCTTGCCACGGAAACGGATGCCCTCCTCCGAGTCGAGGACGGAGCCCTCCCAGACGAGCGACTTGATGCCACGGGCGCCGCCGTAGACTTGGTCGAGCGTGACCTCGCCAATGACCGTGTTACCGTGCTCCCTGGGTTGTGATGTCAGCCTTGCACGGCAGCGTGGGCGCTGCAGTGGCACCACCTACTTGCGGAGCTTCTTGATCTTCTCGATCTCGCCGGGCAGCTTGTTGGCAAACGTCTCCTTCAGCGACTGCAATTGGCGTGGTTAGCGGGTGCAATGGCACAGGCAGGGCGGGCGAGTGGGCGCACAGTGGTCTTGCTGGAGTAGCAGCGGAGGCCATTGAAGGCCGTGGTGCGCAGGGGGGCGGCAGCGCGGAAGGCGCTGGTCAGTCGTAGAGCAGAAGCCATTGTGATGGAGGGTGAAGGAGGACAGAGAGGCGAGTGGGTGGGAGCGAGTTAAAAAGGATGGGTCGGGATGCTGGGAGAAAATATTGGTGGAGCTCAGCACGGATGTCATCATGGGCGCAAATCCATGCAGCCACCACAATACTACCCGCGCGGGCAGCGTTCGGAGGCCCCTCTTTTCCCGTGTTCAGCAATGTGCCATGACGGTACACAGTCGAGTCGCTCTGCAAGGCACGGCTGCGGGACACCTTGTACAAAGTCTGACAGGTCATGCACATGATGCAGGGCGCTCGAATGTGCGTGGGTGCGTGGGTGCGTGGGCGGGTGCAGGCACATGAGAGGGATTTGGCCCGAGGTTCGTGTGCGGCATTACCGTGTACATAATATATATAGATGGATGGACTGAGGCAGGCCGTCGGTCCGTCAGTCAGCGGCATCGAAGCCGTCGCTCTCGACGGACGGCGTCACGTGCCCTCCCCATTCGCGCTAGCGCCGAGAGCAGCAGCAGGCCCGCCAGTCCAGCCAGCCCAGCCAGCCATTCCTCTCGCATCGTCGTCACCGGTGCTCTGCTGGTCTGCCCATCCAACCAACTGCACCTGCAACTGCGCCCTGGACGTAGACCGCCTGCCTTCCTTTGACGTTTTTCACGCTTGCTGCCGCCGCTGTTGCGCTTCGTGGTGAAATCGCTTGCTCTTGCGCCGTCGCCTCTCTCGCCACGCGCTCGCATCCCAGCTTGACTTTTCCTAGCACCTCGTTTCCTCTACCTCAGCACACTGCGCAGCGCAACCACCTCCGGCTGAGCACTGCATCTCCCGCTTCCACCGCTCCTCTCTTCCACTACTACAGACACACTCACTCTTTGTACTGCCTAGATCGCCGCCCTGACGCTGCTCGTCTTGCGGGTCCGAGTAAAGCCTGCTGCGTGTTTTGCCATTTCGGTTCTGTCACCGCGCGCTTGACCCCCTATAATAGCCGTCTGCCAACGACTTCCTTTCCCCTAGCATCACTCCTCTGACCCGCCACGTTGAACTGAGCCATGGCTGCCATGGACGAACTAGGCACACAATTGCAGTCGCTGCAGGCGCTCAAGCCCCCAGGAGTCACGCCCACCAAGATCAAGCTCATCACGCAGCTCTGCGTCGACAACATTCAGGTATGCCACTCGCCAGGACCTCCTGCTCTTCCTCCTCCTCCTCCACAGCCTCTGCGCGCTTGGTCATCATGCTAAGGTCTCCAACTCGCTTGTAGTCGCACGCCGTCATCGCCCAGAAGATCGTCCAGCAGCTTCAGAACAGCGCCGCCACACATAAGCTAGGAGTGCTATACGTCGTAGATGCAGTCGCCCGTCAATGGGTCGAAAAGGCTAAGCAAGCGGGTCAGACCGTGTACAAGAACGCTACACCAGGAACATATGCTTCAGGCGTGCAGATGATGCGAGACGTGCTTCCAGCCATGATGATGAACCTCATCCAGTCTGCGCCAGAGACTCAAAAGGAGAAAATCTCAAAGCTTCTAGACATTTGGGAGCGCGGCCAGACGTTCCCACTTGACATGCTGGCCAGCTTCAAGCAGCAGCTGAATGGCGCTCAGAACAGTAGGTAACGCCTTGCTCCTCGCCTTTCGTCTAGCTAATGCATGCCAAACCCAGATGCCCAAGCACCTGTAGAACCACCAAAGAGCAACAACGGCATAGTCCCACTCTTCAATGGCCACACTACTAACCCACAGCCCCCGGCCCTGACGGCTCACGCACAGCCACCACCACCACCACCACCACCACCACCACAAGACACTAATGCTTTCTTTGCCGCCCTCGCTGGCGTTGCCCAGCAGAATCAGCCCACTAACGCTCCTCCTGCAGCACCTCCCGCATTCCCTTTCCAACAGAATATGGTGCCACCTCCACCTCCAGGTTTTGTGCCTCCTCCGCCGCCTGCTGCCGCAACGCCACAGCCTGGGTTGCCCGCTGGTATGAATGAACTCGCAGGTCAGATTCTGCAGGCTATGAGTGCTGGTTCAATCCAACCCGACCAGGCGATCCAGGTACTAAACGCAATAGCTACAGCTCAGACTGGCGGCATCTCTTTGCTACCTCTGCAACCACCTGTTTCACAGACGCCTCCACAAGTTCACCCAACTGTAATCAATGGTAGCCAAGCAGATCGCTATGAACAGCCCGACAGTAGAATGCGAGACCGCAGCCGATCACCCGACTATCAACGTCGACGATCGCCTGCGCCCAGGTCTCCGCCAAACCCTAATCGTCGGGAGAGCCCCACGTATGGTGTTTACGACCCAAATGCGGGCCCTGAAGGCAATGCACAGCGCGTGAAGCGAGGTGAGCGCGGCCGTGGCCGTAATAAACAAAAAGGAGGCCGTAATGATCGTAATGACTATCGCCAACGCTCGCCACCGCGACGACAGCCAAGTCCTCCCAGGACGGCTTATGGCCAGTCCAAGTATATTGAATGGGATGAAACGCTTCCGCGTGACCATATCAGAGTACTGAGTCGTACACTATTCGTAGGTGGCGCTGGCGGGACAGAAGGTGAGATTCGGAGCATCTTTTCTCGTTTCGGTAGAGTCCAAACGTGCATTGTCAACCAGGATAAGCGACATGCTTTTGTCAAAATGTTGACCCGCCCTGATGCCGTTGCCGCCAAACAGGGCATGGATAACCTCAATGATCCTGCTGCGCAGTCCAAGGCGCGCCAGGTAAGGATGCCGATTCCTCGAGCGGCGTGCCGTACTAACAATCGCAGACAAGATGGGGTGTTGGCTTTGGCCCTCGTGACTGCAGTGACTACCAGACGGGCATCAGCGTAGTTCCCATTTCTCGGCTTACCGAGGCTGATCGTAAATGGGCATTGACTGCTGAATATGGCGGCACTGGTGGTCGTCCTCTAGAGGGGGGTATGGTGATAGAGGAGCCGGATATTGAGATTGGTGCCGGAGTTTCTTCCAAAGGTATGGTGAGAATGTCTTTACTCCAGGCAATACTAACAATGCGTAGCTATTAGTCGACGTGTCCCTACCGACGCCCCTCGCGGCGGACGTGCAGGCCATGGTGGGCGTGGAGATCTCAATGCCCGTGCCGACCATGCCGGACGTGGCAACGCCAACAGCCGTGAAAACTTGAACGAGCGCCCAGAAGTTGCAGCCAACAACTTTAGCGGCGGACGCAGCGCACCCGAAAACGTTGCCCAGCACAAATTTCGCAAGCACGATCACCGTCCCGCCAACGACCCTCGCCATGTCTCTCCTCGACCAGATCAAGGCGTTGCAGTTCCACCAGCCGTGCCGGGATTCGGCTTCCAGCTTCCAGGCTTTTCATGACTTCGGCCTCGATAACCTCTTCTTAGCACAATCACTATACCCCCCCCCCCCAATCCCCCCTCCTTTTTTACCTGGGAGAGCGGCAGAGGCCTAGAAGAATCTCCATGCTCTGCCATGTTCTTTCTTTTATTTATTTTTTCCAACCTGGAGTTTGGTAGGCTTCCTGAAGTGGGTGGATTCCATGTGGCTTGCTTTCTATTCACATATACATATGTTTTCTGCGAATCCTTCCTTTCTTTCTTCCTTCCTTCCCTTCCTACTACTCCTTTCCCAACGGCGGTATCTCATTTTAAGGGGCGCGTATCTCTGATGGGCAAAGGCATTTATTGGTTTGCTCTGGGCATCTGAAACAGCATTGCAAGGCGTTGTGGCAGCGACTGTGGATTTTCTTTTTTTTCTTTTGGGTTTCCCTTCCTCTTCCTCCATCTGAAATTTAGATAGGTAGCATGGCATTGTGCTGGCGAGTCTCTGGATGGCTGTATTCGTGTGTGCGTGGAGGCTTCGATAGCTGTGCATGCATATGCGTCTATTGCTAGTGGGAAAACGCGCGGATGCCCAAATCAAATCATCATCAACTTTGCTGGTCTGTTCTTCTTCTTCTTCTTCTTCTTCTTCTTCTTCTCCCTGACACGCTCATGTCACTTATCATGTATTCATTCACAATTTCATCATGTGCAAGAAACACGGTGGGTACGATTGACTCTATTCATTCGGTCGACGTACTAAGCTACTAGTATCATTACATATCTCCGCTTCCTCACCCTCAAGAGACCAAGCAAGTACCCTACGTACACAAGTTCGGTTTCCCCCATTTCCAAGGCAATTAAAAAAGAGAAGAAAAGAGCTTCCACACAATTCTACTTTCTCTTCGTCGCAGACCCCTTCGTCTGGGCGCCCGTAGCCTGAGCCTCCTCCTTTTCCTGTTGCACCTTTTTCACTTTATCTGCGTCCGGCGCCTTTGCGCTCTTGTTGCCATCAGGATGCGCAGCCAGCGGCTTATTTGCGTCCTTTTCTTCCACCTCCTCGTCGTCGCCGCCCTGGCCAAACTCATTGACACGGTTGTAATCGACCTTGTACTTCCACGTCTGGAAGAGGTAGACGAAGAAGATGACGTCGTCGCGGAGGGTAGCCAGGCGGTGCAGGGTGGGCATTTTGATGGTAAAGGCAAAGAGGTCGTCGATGAAGGTGTTGAGGAACTTGTATGTCATGGCGCGGCCGGGCATGTGGGCCACGGATTGCAGACGGTAGTTGATGTACAGAGCGGGGACCATCATGAGGAAGCCGTATGCGTAGACGGAGCCGACGAGCGTGGTGATGATGAACGAGTACCACGACTTGTGCGTCTCGTACATGAGCGAGTAGATGGCGTAGGCAATGAGCAGTGGGACGGCAACCATGTAGAGGTATTTGAAGGCAATGGCGTCGTACTCTTCGGTCTTCTTCTCCGTTTCAGACAAGACGTGCTTGTCCTCGAAGACAACGGTGTAGGGGATGAGAGAGCCAGGTGCTGTGGGGCGCACGCGAACATTGACCGTCTTGGTAATCTTCCAGGCCTCAATCGCAATGCCCATACCCTGACCGAACAAGATCATGTATGACGTATTCTCGTTGTTGTCGATAAGGTAGAGGAAGATGATACCCTGCATGAAGACATTTGCAAGGATGGTGCGGACCGAGGTACCGACGTTGTCCTTCTTCTTGCGCCAATGCTGCACGTCGTTCTTGAAGGCAAGCATCTCGAAAATCATGTGGAGGACAGACACGACAGCCGTCACAGCCAACAGGTATGAGTTGCTGTCAATGATGATTTCCTTGAACATTTCCATTTCCGAGCCGTCGCCACCTCCAGGTGTAGATTGGCCTGCAGCTGCAGCCCGGGCATTCGCTTGGATGTTTTCGTCCATGGCGGCGAAGACATTATATTTCCAGTGCGCAACGTTGTTGAGCTTGACGTGAAGCGGGAGGGTCGAGACGGTGTCGTTGAGCTCAATCATGTCCTTCTTGAGCTGCCAAAAGGTGTTGGTGAAGACGATGGGGTAGTACCAACCATACTGGCCAGTCGCGTCGCGTGCACCAGTGGCCTCAAGAGTAATGTACTTTCGAGGGCCGGGATGCATGGTGGCGTACGGTACGGTGCCCGCGTCTGGGATTAGGGAGACGGTAAAGTTAGGGTGGTAGTAGTTGGCGACAATCTTGGGCGCCTTCTTCTCCTCTTCGGTTTCCACGGCGTCTTTCTCGGGCATGTCGCTCAGCAAGTTCCTTGTCTTGGCAATCTTCTTCTTGGGCTGGTATTGCGACAATGGGCGAATGAAGTGATAGGCCTTGGCGGTGTCATAGCCTGGTTGCGTAGGGTCGAGCACGCTGCCGCTCTGCGCCACGTAGAAGTGAGCGAGTAGCGTTGCATTTTGCTGCACCTCCTTGGGCACCTTGAACTCGGTATGAACCTCCCTGTTCTCGCTAAAGTCACCAAACTTGAAGTTCTTCTCTTCGATCAACAACGACTCTTTCGGCATAGACGTGAGCGGCGGCATAGCGACCGACGCCGAGATGTACATGGAAATATCCATCTCTGTACCAGTAGGCCACATGGGTGCAGCAGCCTGGGGGACATAGCTCCACTGGGCACCCGGTTCAAGGGCCTGGGGACGCTGCTCCCAGGCAGGCATAACGACATTACCGGATGGTTTTGCGACAGTTCCGGGCTGCGCGGGGTCGGTGGAAGGCGCCGTCTTGGGTGCCTGTGGCATAAAATACTTCATGCCACCCTGGATGAGCAGGAAAAGGCCCACACTCTGGATAATGGAGGTGACGGCCTACGGGCTATGTTAGCATGTGGTGGCGCAGAGGGGCGTTGGTGCAACGTACACTCTTGCCCTGCTCCGGCGGCGCGGCAGCAGCTGCCTGTGGCTCTGACATGGTGGAAACTTGCGAAATGCGAGCTCCGTGCTGAGCAGCTTGCTAGAACGAGGCCAAGGGTGAAATGGCAAATGTTGTCTGAACAGATGGCCTGGCACGGCTTGTGGAGGAATTGGGGTTCGCCAAGGCCCACTTGCCGCTAGCGTCAGGGTCTAGCTACATGGGCCAGCGTGACGCCATGCGCTTTACCGACCTGCATGCTTTTTCCCATCTTGCAGCTCCACTGCGGCCAGGCTGCCATAAGTCGACGGAGTCATGGACCCTCTGTGCTGGTTCCGTGACTTGGCCCTGACGACATCGCGAAAGCCATCCTCGCCTCAACTTGATTGAGCTATTTGCATCAGCCTGGTGTCGCTGCCCTCCTCCGTCCACTATCTATCGCCCAGACAAGCGCCGTTCCGATCCTAGTCCTCTCGTTCCGAACACCCAAGTACCGCATCTGCACCAGACGGCAAACATGGACGCAACAACCGACAATGGCACGGCCAACCAGCCCGTCGTCTGCGTATTGTATGTATAGGTCTTATGCCTCCTCTACTCCATTCTCACACTGACGGCAATAGCTGCGGGGCCTCGAGTGGCACATCGCCCGTGCACATGGAGGCTGCCCGCGCGCTCGCACATGCCCTGCACAAATCCAACACCAAGCTCGTATACGGCGGTGGCACTGTAGGCCTTATGGGAGAAGTAGCGCGTACCCTTGTTTCTCTCTCTGGTCCAGACAGCGTCCACGGCATCATTCCCGCTGCTCTCGCCCGCCTGGAGCAAAACTACGACCCCACCAATCCTGCTAGCCATGCTGTGAGCGAAACCATATATGGCCGCACAACGGTCGTGAAAGACATGCACACAAGAAAGCAGATGATGGCTCAGGAAGTCACCAAAGGAGGCCCTGGAGGCGGCTTTGTTGCCTTGTCTGGCGGTTATGGAACGTTTGAGGAGCTCATGGAGATCACAACATGGAACCAGTTGGGTATTCACAGCATGCCTGTCGTTGTGTTTAACGTGGATGGATACTGGACTGGGCTCATTGAATGGGTCAAGAATGCTGTCAGGAGCGGCTTCGTTGCACCTACCAACGCCGGCATTCTCTCCGAGGCGCTCACTGCGGATGAGGTCATGACGTGCTTGAAGGAGTACGAGAACGCGCCTGGACGTTTCAATCTGACTTGGGAGGAACAATAGCATGTTCTCCTTGGTTTACTCCGGGATATGTAATCGATGTTTTGCAAACACCTAGGTAACGCCTGTGCTTGGGAACCAATTACACTGCTTCTCACTGAAATTTGGGTTCAGATATAGAAATGTAAAGATTGTCGAAAAAACAGATCCAAAAAACAACACATTTTGCAAACAGGAAATATGAGCAAGAAGCGCTGAAATTAATGCTCTTCAGCCCACAGTCAGCGTCGCCGCGTCCAGGTAGTGCACCAATCCGACAAGGCGGGGTCGCAACACGAATGAATCCCATCCAACGACTCGACAAATGATCAATTCCACCTCCTACGCACCGTACCACGCACCGTACCCTCCCGCCATCGCAGCGCCTCCAGATGTTCTGGGTCCCCAAGTGCAAGTGTGATTAACCCCGCAGACAGCCACCCGGGTCCTGCCGGGCGTGCATCCCCAAGCTAAACATGCATCGATGCAGCTAACTAGCTACACCAGCCAATCAACTGGTTCAGGACATGCTTCCGCTCACTGGCATACCGCATCCGCTCGCTCTGGATGCACAAGTCAGTGCTGTGGAGCCTTTGACAGCGAAACGTCATCGAATAGGCGCGTAGTGGAGTAGTCTGACAGACAATCGGGCGTTGCTTTTGTTTTAGCTATAAATTAGAGCCGTTCCCGGGAATTTCGGTTCGGTAAATTGGCACGCACTGCTGCTTTGATACAGGAACTTTTGGGGCTCTCTCTCTCTCTCTCTTGCTTAACCGTACAAATCCTAGGATTCGAGTAACAAGAACACCAAGACGGAAACATGGCAGACAAGAAAGGGCAGGCAAAGGAAGCGGCTCCTGAGAATGGAATGTTCGTGCTTCCCGTTCCAATTGCTGACTTGTTCGGCGTCCTTTGACAAGAGGACGGGTGCATGGGTAGGACCCATAGGATGTACAGCTGTAACTGATATCCGCATCTAGCCTTAATCCCTCTGGCGCAGCGGTCATGGCTGTCACACCCATGTATCTTGCTCTCGTGCCCGCCACGTACGTATTGCCCCAATTCCATGTCGTTTCTCCCTCTCTTTCCTGGATTCCGTACCTGTCCCCATAGGACCATACAAGCAAGATATCTCGACGCCAAAACCACACATTCAAAACAAAAACTCTAACAACCCAAATAGATCGTACCTCACAAAGCCAGAAAGCATATGCCAATCCCTCGTCCACGCGCTCGTAAAGCTCATCCCAGGCATAAATGTACGTCTCATCTACCCAGATCCACGCCAATCTAACATGAGTATTCCAAGGCCCCCGCCATAACCTCGGGCCGCGCAATCCCCGCCCTTGCCACGCTGTATCTCTTCTGGACCTTTGGCCCATCCGGCGCCCTTTCCGCTGCCGGCCAAGCCATGGGCCGCCGCGGCGGCTTCGACAATAATCACCCGCGGAAACACATCCACGCGCTGAACGGCTTGCCGCTGAGACTGTACAGTGCGCATAATGCATTGGTGGAGATGTTTCCGGGTAAGATGTTCTTTCTGTTCTGTGCCTCTCTTTCCCAAATTTTGAGGGGGGGTTTTTTTTTCTTAAATGAAATCAAGTACTGATAATGGCATGCACAGCATTCGCTCTCGCCGCAGCGCTATCTCAGATCATCGCTCCAAACGACGCGCAAATTGTCAATTTGCTGGGCCTCCACGTCATGTCGAAGCTCCTGATATTTTACCCGGCTTATCTGAGCAATGTGGCTATGGTAAGGAGCTTGTCGCATGTAGGTGCTACGGCAGCGCTCATCAATGTGTGTTGGAGATTGGCGGGCGCGAGTTCCTAGAGAAACTTTGTGTCTTTTGAGGGCTTTGCCGTGGTTGGTGAGGAGCAGAGTAACGCGGGAGAATGAAATATGTTAGCGACTACTGCCGAAAGAAGTCATCGAGGAGGAGCAAAAGGCTATTTTCGTGCATTATCATTGGATACCATGTGTCCCCTCACTTCCATCAGATTTACAAAGTAGTTAACAAATATAGTACCAGGTGTACTCTCCTTGTCAAGCGGTCTCTCGTTATTATTATTATGATTATGATTATGATTATTATTATTGTTCTGCCAGTTTCTCTCCCACGCAGGACTTGTTGTATATCGATATTACATCAACATGCGAGCACGCCACTGAAGCAGAACGCATGCCAAAAGCAGCAATAGCTACATTCTACGTAACGCCCATATCTGCTGCGCCCCAAGACTGCTGGGTATGCGGCGTCAGTCTTGCTGCTACACAGCACAAACAACACATCAGTCTCTGCTTACATGCATCCCATTCCTCCAGCACACCGGCACACTGATACAAACATCTGCCTCTTCCGCAAAGCGCATCGAGCCATACTCTGTAGTTAGATACCGCGATATAAATATTACCGATTGATCGCATGGGCATGCTTTATATTTCCTTCTGAAGCAAATCCAGTGACCAGAACCCTTTTTCTAAACGATTGTATGTTGTTGTTGTTGTTGTTGTTTTTTATTGAGAGCGTAGCATAGCGTAGCATAGTATAAACAAGCAATGTCTATGTAAAGTACCAGAATAGGATAAAACAAGATAAAATGTCGATTGAAATTATGCAATCGCACAGACTAGATAGGTCGAGAGAAAAAAAAAGAAGAAGAAAAAAGTGATATTAGAAAATCTCATACTAGATCAACAGGATGTAAAGTACATGCATATTTTTCAGGTTGAATTCTTGTATTTGTATTTGTATTTGTATTTGTATGTATGTAAATCATCATCTTCTCTCTCTCTCTCTCTCTCTTACTATTATTATTCCAGTCCATCCTAATGTTAAACTCCAAGATGTACATGTCGATGTAAGTAGCTCCCCTATTTTCTTCTTCTTCTTCTCTGCATACACGTACACACACACACACAACCTTTATATTATCAAAAAGCATCATTCCACTATACACTATTATCTTGATCCGCAATTTTGAGTCACGTCGTGTAAAGAGTACAGGTTACAAACATGAAATTAGTGTAGAAGGAAGTGTCATTCAGTTCATGCAGCATTACAAAGGTACTATTAATATAAATTAAACGTAACGTGTTTCACCAGTGTGCGCCCCACCCCAGTGTGCGCCCCATCAAATCCTACTAACTCACTTTCACATTAGTATTACGCAACACCACCACAATTATTCTAATTAAGTAGAATAGAATCTTATTCTATAGACTCTTCACTATCATCTTTATCCTCTAATTCTACTTAGCAGGTGCGAGAGTTGTGTCTAATTTAGCTACAACGTCCACAGCGCCGTTTACTACGCACCCTCTTTGCAGGTGTTACACTATTATTACAGCCACCACCCTCTACCTTAGTAATCTAATTAGCTATCTAGCTAACTGTCTGTGACTCCTCTGCCTGTACGTAGCGCCGCTTACGAGTTTTTCGCTTTGTTGACGTTTCAATAGTCTCTTGTAGGCGACCTATTTCCTCCTGCATTAACACTATTTAATAAGCAATCTGCTAGGCTCCTTTACTTATTTGCCGCATCTACTTCTTAAGAGATGCTATAGGAGACCCTTGCTAGATTTGCATACAGTTTTCAACAAGCGTACTATGCGCCTCTATTTCGCGCGCGTTGCGCGGCGTTTTTAGCTCCTAGGTAGTAGTCTCTTGGACTAGTGGAGTTGGTGTACGTAGTACGACGTTAAGCTGTGATAAAACAGCGTGAGAATTGTGTGGCACAAGTCCCGCACCTCGAAAGCCTGCACAGATATTATCCGCTGTAATTGTCTTATTATAGGCCTCTTTAAACGTTAGTAGGAAGGTTTCTTTACTAATATAGTAGATGCGATTGCGTGCCAAGACTAAGATAGCATCACCATACGCGCGCTTCAATGGCGAGAAGCAGCCCACATCAAGCGGCTGTAAGAGGTGCGACGAATGCGGAGGCATACAGAGGAGGATGATCTTCTTCTCTTCGCAGAGATCTCGGAATTCCACTGAGCAGTGGCTCTCATGGCCGTCAATAAGGAGCAGCCTATGGGTCCCTACAGGACGCGCATGGGAATCGAAGTGATGGAGCCAGTCAAGCGCTAGCTTGTTGTTCGTCCAGCCGTTAGGACTAACTTGGATTACCTAGTCGCGTGGCAGATCCTCTATAAACCAGGTGGAGATTAGAACCTTGCCTGCAAAGATAAGAAAGGCTAGGATGCGCTTTCCTGTCGCGCCAACACCTTATATCAGTGTAACCTACTCACAATTACCTAGCTAAATCTTCTTTAACCTTCCTAGTTTATCTAAGCCTGTAATAACTAATTGTAATAAAATCTTACCTATAATAAAGCCTGTCTCATTAAAGTTGTAGATATCTTCGTCTATAATACCATACTTCGCCTTTGTATTCTAAACTAGCTCAAACTAGCCCTTAATAAGAGCTAGATCTTCGTAGGCAGCTCGCTAACGATCATATAGACGGCTCCAGCGTGTACGCAGCTTAGAATTGCGCTAGATAAACCTATCCACCTAGTTCTTGCCAACCTCTTCTCCACCACGCTCTTAAAGCAGTCTATTAGCCATATCTCGCACGTCGTCTCTCCCATAGGGTAGTCCTCGCTCAGCCTCAACTAGTATACGCCTAGTAATCACCTCCTCTTCTAGTTTTATTAGGCGCTTAGTTAGTGGTTCGTAGTCGCGTCGACAGGGCTTTCTAGCGCGTCGCCGCTGTATTGTCCGTCTTAGCACGCTATAGATTAATTCAGCGCGTCTTAGACTTAAGTTATCGTATTTTTAGAGATAAAAGATAGCAATAGTAATATCAGCTTTAGTATAGGTTTTTTAAGATTAGGGTTGTTAAGACATCACGCGTTGTTGTTACGAACGTGAGGTGTTAGGATTTGATGGGGCGCACACTGGGGTGGGGCGTACACTGGTGAAACACGTTAATCAAGAAGAAAAAAAAATCTGAAATTTGGTCATCCCATGCATTCTGTCATTTATTCATTAAATAACTGACTAAGCGGGCAAAAACCCAAAAGAACCAGATTTTCAACAACGAAAAAAAAAAGATAAAACGCCTTAAACTCCTTGCTCATGATTAACCATGCCCATACATCTCACTCACTCACTCACTCACTCACTCACTTGATCAAGACTGAAACACCTTCTCCAGCCTCTCCAGCAACAAATCCGCATGATGCTTCTGGAAAATAAGCATTGGGCGTAACCGCACGGCGCTCTCACCGGAGCCTCCGATATTCACACCCTGGCCCTTTGCCTTCTTGAGCACCTCATCGCGGCGCGCACTATCAAATGCGATAAACGTGCCCTGGCCCTGGCCTCTTAGGTTCTGGATCTCGCGGGGGTACTGCGCGGCGAGGCGCTGGAGACCGGCGAACAGATAGTCGCCTGTGGCAGCGGTGTTTGTGACCAAGTCCATGCGCTGGATCTCGTGGATGATGGCGCGGAACAAGAGGGCGCGGGCTGGGTCGCCCATCCACGTGTTGAACTGGCGGTACGGCTTGTTGGGGCGGAGGGCATCGTTGCCAAAGTAGTAGCCTGCTGTCTGGGCTTTCTTTGAAAACGTCACCATGTCTGGGGGAGTGTCGAGGCCCCAGTGTTCGTGGGCCCAGAATTTGCCTGTGGCGCCGACGCCGGTTTGGACTTCGTCGACAATAAGCAGGACGTCGTGTTTCTTGGTGATGGCGCGGAGGCCGCGGAAGAAGAAGGGGGTGGCGTGGTTGTCGCCGCCCTCGGATTGGACGGGCTCGACGACGACGGCTACAGGGGGGTTGTGGTATTCCTTGATGAGACGCTCTGTTTCGTCAAGGCAGCGCTGTTCCTCTTGTCGGTTTTCAGCTTCGTGCTCAGCGAGTGGGTATTTGAGGGTGGGGAAGGGTGCTTGCGGCCAGTCGAAGGCAGGGATGTCGAGCTTGTGGATGGGCTTGGAGCGTGTGGTGGAGAGACTGCCAAAGAGGCGGCCGTGGAAGCCCGTCTTGAAGGACATGATGGACATGTTGGGGGCACCGGGCGACTGGTTGATCATGGACGAGGCAATGTCTTCGGCGGAAAAGTCGGCATCTGCTCCTCCACGCTGCTGTTGGCGCTTCCACATAAAGGCTGCCTTGTAGGCGAGTTCATTGGCGTCGGAGCCAGCCTGGGCGGTGAAGACCTGGTTGAGACCTTTGGGTGCAACCGAGAGGATTCCACTTTCGAGGATATCCGCCCAGTCGTGCTGAGGAAAGTTGCCGAGAGCGGGACGGTTGATAATGGCCGAGGCCATTTCGGGTGAAGAGGCTGCAAGAAGAAGAGAGGGGTTGTTGTAGCCAACTGGGATCGAAGCAATCTGAGCATACACATCGAGAAGGACGTTGCCGTCGAGGTCTGCAATGCTACCAAAAGTCAGTCATGTGCCGTAGCGTAGGAGCATGCGTGCAGCTTACTAGTTGCCGTAGCTTCGTGAATAATCGGCCATCATGTTCAAACTCCGGGTGTCAAACACCTTGCTCAGCCTCTCGATGGCCTCTGTGCTTTTTGGGCCCGGAATCTGTGTCTTTACGATTGGAGCTTTGGGCTCATCGGGGAAGAAGGATTGCTCCCCACTGTCTGCGACGGCCGCTGCGGCGGTAGCATATTGTCTCGTAAGCGCAATTGGCGCCTTCGAGGTAGTCTGGGTGATTAGGCGAGGAAGAAGCGCGCGAGAACGGCGGGCGGTACGGAGGAGGGACGCCATTGTGTATGTAGTTGTCGTGGGTGTGCAATTCCACTTGGTAGAGAAGTCAGGAAGTGCGGGGAGACGCAACGTCAGAGCTAGCGGTGTATCGACGACGACGCAATGCAGCGGGGGGAATTCCAAATTACACTCGGGCCCTGGATGAGGAGCTAGAATTTAAGCAAGCCTCGCCGTAAGAGCGTCACAGGCCTTTTATATCCTGCTCTACGTGTACTGCTGATAGAGAGCTACTTGGTGAACCGGCTCTAACCCGTAGCTATCCCCACCGGAGGTCGTCGAAGCGAAAGCCGGCGCATTAGTGTACCCTTGGGCCCTCGACTAAACCCTTGCCGGCAATGCAAAAATGGCAATATGATCCCGCACACGCCGCACACGCCTCACACGCTGTCGTCTTGGAATGCGTGACCGGTGCAGGCCAGGCACCTATGGTACTGTCAGCACATCCTCGTTGGATGGGTGCATCGCAAACATGCTATCTTGGTCTCCATGTGTCATCCAGCTGCTTCTAGACTCGATACAAAACTAATCTCGGCGGATGCATCCATGGCTATTACCTGAAGTGCCCAGAAAAGTAGGCCAGGGACGCCGATAGTCTACAATGACTTAGTCATCATAGTCAACGTGGTGCTTGATTTCGATTGGGTGCAGCGCCAGTGCCATATCTTGGCGTGCCAGTTGTGGTCTCTATAGTACATACAACAGGAGCCAGTCTCGGATATGCCAGAACCTGCTGTCCTTTGGCTCTCATCCTCCCTCCAAAAACCATATGTAGCCTGCAATCGCAGAATGTCCATGCTCTATTTCAGATGCCAACGTCCCAACAACCCCCGTGCTTTGGTTCTCAGCAACACGAAAAGCCACTCCCACTGCATGGACACACAAGAGCGCACAGAAACGTAAACAGATAATTCGACGGCTCTCATCAGAAAAAAAAAACTCCGTACCCGTCCACTTTCCATGCAATCGCGAGCCAGCCGGGAAACAGGCCGACTCACACAGCTCCTGTCGTCTTTTTTATTGCCAACGCCAGTATATGCAAACCTATGCAGCCAGACCATTCAACTGAATGTGCCTTGATCTCGGATTGATTACAAAAACATAAAAGTGTAACACAGAAATTGAAAAGAGAAAAGAACCAGCCCACTTTCGAAAGGGTACTATGGGTGGGGGCCGTTGCTGCCATTTACAAGAGGCTGTTTTTGGTCGCTGGAGCCGTTTGTTGGGGGCGTTGCAAGCTGCATTGGACTGCCATAGCCATCAAGCTGCATGGTCGGCTTGCCACTTGCAGGCCCTCGATCAGCGACCTCTGGAAAAGACGCTGTACAAGCCTCATCCATGGGCGTAAGGCTAGACTCTCCGTTCTCCATCGATGCAGGCGGTGGCGGTGGTGGCGGGGGCGCAGGTTGCAGAACCTCGGAGCTTGTCCGCGTTCTCTTCGGAGAGCCGAACCGACCTTCTCCTTCTCTCTTGCGCTTCAATTCAGAGGCCGAGTCGGAAAGAGAGGCATCATCGGCCATGACTGCAGCACTCTCTCCTTCTTTGGCTGCGTCTTGTGGAGTGCTTGGTGTATCGTTCTTCGTGTCTGAATTCGTGCCACTTTGTGACGGCTTCATCCTTTGTCGCTCTTCCTTTTTCCGGACGGCCTTGTCCATGAACTCTTTCACGTACTTCCGCACTGTTTTCTCGTGACTCGAGCTAATCTTAGCTGTGGGATCCTTGACGCGCCCAGACTTGTAGTCGCCGCGCACAAGCTTCTTTGCTACCTACGGCCATGATGAGCAAATCAATCCAATCCATGACTGGCTTGTCTTACCTCTTTACTAAGCCGCTTCACTTCTTCCTTCTCAAGCTTCTTCCGGTACGTTGACGTTACAGCCATGACATGCGTTGAGAGCTACCAAGGTCAGACATGCACCGTGCATTTATTCACAATACTCACGGTCGCCTCGTAGATCTTTTCTTGCTTCTCCACCGGTAGACTGCGCCACTTTTCATCGCGCAACACTGTTTCTTTTTGCTCCTCTGGCATCGGCTGTGGCGTTGTAGACGCAGAATGTCTGGTAGGCGTGTCTGTTGAGGTAATGCGCGAAATGATGTCTTGTAGCATTTGCGTATCGCTCTTGGCCTTGTTCTGTTGGGCGGGAGCATTGACAGCCTGTGTGGGACGCTGCCATTGAGTGACACCAGATGAATTGTAAAAGTAGGTTGAGCCGTTCTCAGCAGTAGCCTGGAACCAGCCCGGAGGCAGACTGTTGGCTTGTCGAGGCCGGTTCGCTGGCCGAGCAGGGCCGAAGAAGCTCGCTGGGCCACGGGGTGCATTCAATGCACGAGGACCTGAGGGTATGTTTGCCGCAGATGGGCCTTTTGGTGCAATCGCAGACGGAGACTTGGATCGAGACCGCGACCGCTCTCGGCCTCGTTCGCGCCGCTCAAAATGATTCTCCGTACGAAGGGGCGTGCCGGCATTCGGGTCTCGCTTGATACGAGGTATCCTGTACGCAACCTCCAACTTGCTCCAAGCACTTAGAAGTTCTTCAGCGAGAGCCTCAACTCGCTCATCCCCGTAGTCGTTGAGTTCGCTCACAGCCTCTTCAATGCCAGACTCTTGAATCTTGTTTCGGGTAATTCGCGGCAGTCTCTTGAGGATGTCGAGCACTTGCAGAATCACATTAGCATCTTGCTGCCATATTTTCAGCGTCTTCTTCAATGTCTGGTAGCCATGAAACTGAACAATGCGATGGCCAACCCTCTCATTGCTGGTCTGCATACGACTGAGTAGCTTGACGGCAATCCATTTCTCGGTGCACTGGCGCAGGGCGGGCACAATCTTCTTGACGCCGTCCTCCTCGAGCTCTCTTGGCTGCAGGTCGTTGACATATTCCTCGTCGTCCTCGCTGGCCTTCTTCCTGCGCGGTTTCTTGGTGATGGCCGTGTCCCAGCCAGCACCATCATCAATACCCAGCGCCTGGATCATGTCGGTAGATAGTTTGGTCGCATTGTCAGACTGTGTCTTGCCGCCAATGAAGCCACTGCAGTTGGGCTCGCCGCAGTAGCAAGGCTGTGGGTCTGCGCCGTAGCGGTCGACATTGTAGTTGAAGACGAGCTCCTCGCCGGCCTTGACGTGACGCTCGACGAAGATGCCCATGCGCAGCTTGTCCCCCACGACCCATTTGTCGACGAAGCAGTTGGGGTTGCACGAGTGGTTGCAGAAGCGGCCCAGGTTGCCCTTTTTGGTCGCATCGACAAACTCGCCCTTTGTCAGAGACATGAAGTAGAAATGCTTGATGCCCTCCTCGTCGTACTGGCCCATGCGGCGGCGAAAGGTGCGCTCATCAATGACCTCGCCAATGTACTCGAAGACAAACTCGCCGGGGGCCATGTCCTTGTTGGCGCGCAGTCCGAAGCCCTTCTTTTCCGTCTTGATGACGGTGACGTCGGCGTATTGTTTGCGCTGGAAGCGTTGGTTCTGGCAGCGCCTCCCGCAGCCACAGTCGCCCACACACTCCATCTTTGTGGCGCGGTTGATGCAGTCGGAGTCCTCGCCGCAGGCATGGTTCTTCGTCGTGGCCGAGTCGTATTCCTCCTGGCAGTCGCATTCGAGGGCCGGGTCGGTGGTGCCGATGGTCTTGTTCGCGTAGGTGCATTCCGGGAGGACGACAAACGTCTCCTTGGCGGCTTCGGTCGAGTCTGGCAGGTCGAGGTACAGGGGCGGCGGGCGTGTGACGACTTTTTGCGCCGCCGTGCGCGACAGCTTGGGGGCTTTGCCGGGCTCCATCTTGAGCGTGATGTCTCCACCCAGGGTTTCTTCGTGGGCGCTGGCGGGCGACGGGGCGTCGGCGTCGTGCCTGGCCATAGGCGACTGCGACTTGGAGCGCGACTTGAGCCTGGGGGGAATGGCGAGAGGCGTGGGCGCGCGCTCGGCAGAGTCTACGTCGTCGACCTTTACCTGGCTGTCGGCGGCGCCGTCGGCTGCTCCTTCCGAGGCGGCGGCTTCCAGCTTCATGTCGCGCAGCTCCGGCTCTAATTGGGCGTGGCTCTTGTCCGAACCCGCGTCGGACATGTTGGCGACCGGTGTGGGGGTTGTAGGAAGATGCTGGGGGCGGAGGGTCGAGGATGGCGAGGTTCTGAACAAAAGGGACGCTAACGTCCGATGCCTCTAATCACGTATACAGAGTCGGCGGCCTTTTACCTCATGGTCTACGCGACGCACACGCAAGCGACAGTATCAGCACGGCTTCGCGCACACGGGAGAGAGGGCACGAGGAAGCGGGTGCGAGGGCAAGAAACGACGACCGCCTGCGGCACCTGGGCAACGGCTGGGGGGGGGGCAAATCTTTTGCCTTCCCCTGGGCACCGGGCGAGACACAGCGGCCCAGGAGGTGTTATGGGCGCATGCAACGGGCGGGAAGCGCAGAGCGACAGGGCTTTCTGGCAGTATTTTACTGGATTTGCCGCTGCTGGCACGGGGGAGGAGGGGGGGGGGAGAGGCTGCGCAGAGTTGAGGGGTCGGCGCAGGCAGGCTACGGTATCGCGGATTCGAGCGCGCTTGGCTCAGCCAGGCGGTTTGGCAGTCCTTTTTTGTCTTTGCGCCTGTGTCTTCGCATGCAGTGTATAAGCGAGCATGAAGCGGTGGAGCCGGGAGGGAGGACGAGGTGGTGGAGGGGCGGCGTGCGCGACGCGGAGTTGCTTAATGGGTACCTTTTGGAGATGGGAACAAAAACTAGACGTGTCCCACCTGGCCCAACCTCAGCCTCGGCCTCGTCCTCGCCTTGGACGATGCAGGGCCCTCGGGCAGACGGGGTGGCCATCTGGGGGGCGCACGCAGACCACTTTAGCGACACAAGGAAATGGGGTCTAGCAGAGGGGGGAAACGGGCAGCATGAATTCTCGTGGGTAGAAGTCTTGAGCCATGGCGGTTGGGGAGGGCCACCGAGGGTCGCGATAGCAACGTCTTGGCAGCTCGTGGGAACCTAGACGAGCCGGTCAGAAGGTGGCAGTGGCATGGCCGGCACCCAGCGACCAGGCTTTGCTGCCGACACTAAACTGGCTGGGACGGACGAGGAGAAGGGCTGCCCACTTACTCAGGCCCCGTCGGCGCTCTGCACAGCGAGCGGGCATCAGGTGCTACGGAATCATGGCGGCAGCAGCAGCAGCAGCACGACGACGAGGGCCATGTCGACGTCGTGCAAGGAGTGGCTAAACGAGCATGGCATGGGCGTGGGAATGGGAATGGGGGGCTGCAGCCATGGAAACAGGCCCGTGGCCACATGGAATGTGTTTTATTTTTTGTTGCATTGCATTCAACGAGGGCCCAGAGCCAGAGCAGAGGGACGACTCATGAGCATGTGGCGTGTCGGCCATGCACCGGCCCAAAGCGGGCTAGCGCGCGTCAGGAAGGCCCGGCGCCCACGGGAGCGTCGGCCGCCATGCAAAATCCCGAATCAAGGCCTTGCACCTGTCCTTGTCGTGCGAGGCCGGAGAAATTGGGACTTGGGCCTGCGCCTGGGCACGAGGCGAGGCGGCGGAAAAGCGCCTCTCTTTGCCGGCGCCGGCGGCGAGTTTTTTTTTAATTATTCTTTGCTTCCTTTTTTGTTCTCTCTTTCTCTCCAGCGACGCGTGGAGGGCGGAGCTGGCGTCTCGGACGAGGCAGGCTGTGGCAAGGGGGTGGAGGACAGGCCGGCCTAGCGTGGATGGATGGTTGTCGGGCGGGCATGATGGGGGATGGGTTTTGGGAATGGGAGTAGGTAGCCGTTGGGGCAGAGTTTGCGCTAGCATGCTTGGGGGAGGGATGCAGCAGCGCCTCGCTTAGCTAAGCCAACCACGGGCGGCTGCCAAGCCACAAAGCTCCGTAATGAGCTCTCGACCGTGCAGACGACTGGGACCGCTCCCCTACGCCATCCACGTCTGCCTGTCCGGGCGCGCCGCCCGCCGTCGGCTGTGAGGGTTCGAGCATCGGAGCTGCCACTGGACGCGCGCGGGCTGCACGGCGCTGGATGCAGCCGCCAGAGCAGGCGACATGTACAGACAAGTACATGTACATACAGCGTATGCAGCCAGCCCGCCAGCCCGCCAGCCCGCCAGCCAGCCCCCGAGACGTCATGAGACGCTGGCCGCCGTTGATCGCAGCCCAAGCGTGCTCGCCGGCGGGCAGAGGCGGTTTCTTTTTTGCCTGGCCATGTCTATATTGAGTTGGCGCTAGCCGTGCCCGGCCGCTGCCTGTGTGCAGCCGGCGTGACAGCTGGCGGTGCTGTCTGGCTGCCTGTCAATATCGCTCAGAAGCCCATGCCAAGTCGCGGGCCGCTCCCGGTCGTCGTCGCCGTCAACTGTGAGAGTGGGAGAGAGTAGTGGTAGGCTGGCTGAAAACATGCCCCAGACGGCGCCGCCAACGTGTCGATGCGCCAGTCGCCCATGTCGAGGGGGGCAACGCTCGCCACATAAAAGGCAGCGCAGCGCAGAAGAGCCCAAAGCCGTCAGCTTCCTTCAGCCACGCCGCCGCCATGTTTGTGTGTTTCTTGGACTCTCGTCTCGCTATTAGTACCGGTCCTGGGGCAGATTACACATTACACATCGCACCGTTGCCGACAGGGATTACAGCGCCGTCTGCCGTCGCCCCATTAGGCGCGACGCACTCTGGACGATCCGCGCTGAGACGATGCCGCGCTTGACAGATTGCGCGCCACACGAACCACTGTTGCTGTGCACCGCACCACGCCTTGCGCCGCCTTGCCGGCCTCATTTTCACCGCCATGTCGACAAACTCCGGTACTGGCAGGCCATGGCAACCGAGGCGAAAAATAAAAATAAAAAAAAAAGTCAGCAATAAGCACAATGACAGGCAGGGACGGTTTGGTGCAAGGGAAGAAAGGCCCTTTAGTCTCAGCCTAAACCCGCCTCGGATGGTGCGACACGGCTCAGCCCAGGCTCGTAGCGATTGGCTCATCGGTTTGCGCAATCGTTTCTGAACATCCGCTGGCGGCTTTCGAGATGGGGTAAAGCGCCGCCAGATCTCTGTTACATACATAGGCTTTGTTATCGATTTGCGACAAGCACTGATTTAGACGGTCCCCGTGCGGGAAGCCTTGGGAGCTGCATTCTGGAAGTGGGGACGAGCCGCCTCCCATTCGCCTCTGGCCAAATCCGCTAATGTATAACATACCGGGTGGCTCTTCCCAGTAATCTCTGACAGGAAGCAGTCTCTCCTAATTATCTCATCCCAGCCTCATGTGGTCCCTTTGACACGACCCTTCTGGCCTGCTGGCATGAAACCGACAACCAGAGCCCGCCGCAGGTTTCTTTGATTTTAGTGCTCTTCTTGTGCCGCTCGTTACCCTTTCGTTTCAGCACTCTCGTTTGTTCTGTTGGTAGACGCAGCAGCTAGCTAGCTATACAACCGCGCGCGAGGGCGCGTTGCTCTTCGCGCCGGTCCACTGACTTTACGGCCGTGTCATTGATGCTCGATTTGTCTGGTTGCATACAGCGATATTTTGCCGTAGCTGCTTTTTAGTCTCCTACCCTCCCTCGCCTATTTTGATCGTGTCGAGGATCACGACATGGAGCCCTCGACCTCACGCGAACCACCATGGGCAGAGCACGAAAAGGTACGTACCCTCAAACCCCCCTTCCCCGCACTCCCGCCTGTTGCACTCGCTCTGCTACCATACACCGGATTAACATGGCTTGTTTTTTTCCAGGTCTATCTTCTGGCCGAAGTGCTCAAGGCCGCTCAAGTACCCTCTCATGTTCTTTTTGGATTCATCCGCGACGCCAACATCCAGCCACGATGGAATGACATGGCCCTGCCTCCTGGTCCGTTGATAACATCTCTCTTTCTCAACCCATCACTCTCCATTCCAACATTTCAGTCATGCCTATAAGAAGCTTCATACTAATGCAACACTCGCACTTCTAGGCCGGTCCGTCCGCTCTAGCCAGATGGCGTTTGAGAGCCTCGTAGCAACATACTCGGTCCCTGGCCAAGACTATAGACGACCTCACTTACCAGCTCCTATGATGTACACGGGGCCCGATGTTGTCAAAAAGCGACCTCACCAGCAAGAGGCGGCTCCTCCGGTTGGCCGACTGCTGCAACCTCGCCCACCTCAATCCTATCCAGGAGAGTACATGCCCGCGGGCCCTGCGTATACCTCGTCTGTGCACACAGTAGGCGAGCCGGCACACAAGAAAAAACGCGGACGACCAACAAAGGCAGAGGCACAACAGAGAGCACAGGAGGCGGCAGCGCGGGGCGAAGTATATCCACCCCCAAGAAGAGGCAGACAATCCATTACGGCGCCACCTGAACCATCGCCACTTGGCCCAGATTCACGATCGCATGAGCGTACAACGCCCCCTACAGCATCTTCTCAAGCCGCTCCTGTGCGGACACCACAGCAGCAAGTTGGAGTCGAACAAGAGGAAGAATCGTCATCCGGGAAAAGAAAGCGTGCAAGACCACAGGCCCTAGAACTGGAGAAGCACCGTACACCCACCGGACTGGAATCTCCCCTTGCATATGGACCAAGCGATGCCAACCGCGCCCCACCATATTCAACATTCACCCCCGTATCTGCACCCTTGCCATCATCTACAGAATCCAGAGACCGAGACCGAGACATACGCATGGAAGGAGTCGAGGAGACTCAAGCACGAACCACAACACCGCACTCGTTTAAAGACACAGTTGGCATCTAACAGCGTTTTCCTTGGTCATAAAAGCAACACACGGCGGTAATCTCTTTTTTTTTTGAAAGCGTTCTGTCAACGACTCTACTTATGCACTCACGATGACCTTTACGGCCATGATATCATGAAAGGTATGTCTTGCCAAGTTAGCCTCGCTGCCATCATTACTGAAGCACGGTTCGCGCGCATTGCATCACCTTTCATGCTCATGCTGCTAACTGCCGCTTTGGGGGGCTGTTTGTCTCGCAACCACATCATCGGTTTTTTTTTCTCCTTCATGCACATTTCCTTGTCTAGGCTTGTTAGTTCATTTCCTTATCAACTGCATGTCGACACTCTATGAAGGTTGAGATAGGATGTGGCCCCTTCGCCTAATGTTTTACATTTGCTGTCTTAACGAGTCAAGAGTTTGGTTTCCTTTTTTTCGGCACCGGGAAACTCTACCCAGCCACCTCCCTTTCTCGCAACGTGTACGATAGATGGATTGTCGATCAGTTCCATATCACGGCCTTTGTACAAAAGCACGTATTAGCAACTATATCAATACTAGAACGGGTCGTGGCCAATCAGCACGCGATTTTTTCCGGCGTCTGGGTAGAGCATGCCTCGTACTATGTCGTACTCTACTGCCGCACGTCAGTCTAGATATATCGTGTCCATTCAAGCAACAAGGAAGCGCCTTTCACGACATCAAGTTCCTGCAGGCTGACAAGGAAAGCAGCATGACGAGGTTGGTTGGAAGACGAATCGGGTGGAGCAAGGCGGTATCAACTTGGACGGGCGACACAAGCAACGGGTCTTGTTTCACCCCAGAGTTATCTTACAAGCTCTGGTACCACTATCACCCACTCTTGTCTTTGATACACATGACCGCAGGCGCAGGGGTGTCTTTTTCGCTACTCCGCGTAAAGGTTCGGCGATCTGCACGTAGGCGCCCTCCTTCCGAATACCGTCCCAAACCTACTAGCAGCACCTCGATTGCACGCCTAGGAGAGTCGTAACTCTCTCTTCATCAATCCTGTTGCCGAAAAAAGAAGGTGGTTGGGCCCAACCCGGAAGAGTCGCTGCAGAGTATTGGTTGGGGCGGCTGGCGGGCGAATGACTTTTAGTTCGCAAGTTGCGGCTACGGGATTTTAGGCCTGCATCCCCCCCCCCTCGCCCCTCGCCCCCATGACGAGCTGCAGCGAAAAGGGATTTGTATGCAACAAGACGCCAATGCATGCATGCATGTACGCATCGACCAGCCATCCCAACATTGAATGTGCCAAAACTGACGCTTCTCAGCCAACCAACTTAGCCTGCCCGAAGACAATTACGGTTGAACGCGTAGGTCGAAATTGGCCTGTCAGTATGTTTTGCAAAGATTGCCAGTCTGCCAACCGCTGTTTTTCTTTCCCCCCGTCCCCTCCAACTCGGCTTGGCGCTTGCAAAAGGGAGGGGGGAGAGGGGGGCGGGGCTAAGTAGAACAGGCGTTGCGTGTTTCACGATTAACCATGATGGTGGTTTTTTTACTTTTAAAGTTCCTGGTCCTGGTCCAAACCAACAACCAACATCCACCCCCCAACCCAACCCCACATGGTCCCTGGCCAGCAAATCTATCTGACGGGACAGAAGGAAGCAAGTACATATATATGTAATTATATAAATTCCGGGTATTTTTTTTTACCAACGCTCCGGGTGCCGTAAAATTAGTAATTGGGCTTTCTTTTTTTTCTGTTATTACTTGCTGCTTTGCATCCAAACAATATCGAAAATGGGCAACACGGCGCGCCATGGCAATGTTTTTAGTATCATTGTTGCTTGCTTGTTTGTTTGTTTGTTTGTTGAACGGGTCCGCGGAAGTAGCAAGAGAAAAAAGTAAAAGAAACGGGACTACAAAATAAGTAAGTACGTAAGTAATGACTAGCTAACTTAAAAATACATAAAACAAATAAATCCCATAATGTGATTTTTCTTTTCCCCGTTCAATGGAATAATTTTCCGTTGGACTGGAACACCCAGTGTTTGTTTCTTTACTAGTTAGTTACATACATAGCGTTGCCGGGAATGGGAGGGGGAGGGGGGTGGGAAAGTAAGTAGACTGGGATGTGTGGGCTAACGAATCAAGCTCGTCGGAAAAGGCCTTGGTCTTAGGGCCGAGTTAAAATAAAATTGCCAATATTTGGAAGGGTGGGTGCATTTGATGTTATTTTTGCAATGGCCCACATGGAGCCCCCCCAATGTGTCCGTGTGTAAGTAGGTGCTACTACGTATGTTCTAGTATGTATTTTTCTCCATGCCGGAGAGAAAACACCCTCTTCTTTTCTAATATTTTCCTTTTTTCTCTCTCTCTCTCTCTCTCTCTCTGTGTGTGTGTGTGGATGTGGATGTGGATGTGTCTTGTTTTTTTCTTCTTTTTGGCTCCGTGGAGAAGAAGAAGAAGTAACAAAGAAAATATGGAAAAGGCCGGGATAGGAAAGAGATACACATGGGAGTATGGAGAGATAGATAGATAGATAGAAATGCAGATGGAACGAAAAAGAAAAAAAGGAAAAGAAAAAAGTCAAAGGAGAATTATCGATTGAATCAGCGGATCAATCGAGGAAGGCATGGAATGGAAGGGAATGGAATGGAAAAAGAAGTAATGGATGGATGGATGGATGGAAAGGAATTCCCTCATGGAAAACAGAAACGCACGTACCATAGGTTCTCTCGGGCGATCCGGGGGGGGGGGGAGGAAGGAGGAAGGGAGGGATGAGCGGCTCGCGAGTGTGAGGGTGTGCTTGGATTGGATTGGATTGGAAATTGGTAATAGGAAATTGCCTTGGATGTCTGAATTCGACATACGTACGTAACGTAACGTAACGTAACGTACTTAGCTGCTACTATGTATGTCCCTTGTACCATTATGCCCCCACGACGACAAATGGATTGGCTAGCTAACTGACTGACTGACTGACTGGCTGGCTAGCTATCTACTAGCTACGTAGCTCAGCTAGCTTACTCGCTTTTTTTTCTTCTTTCTTTGCCCTTTTCCATTTCCCTTGACAAGTGAAATCGGGCCGCGGGCGGAGTCTGCACTGTCTGGCGCGCCCCTCCTCTCCCCAGCCCAATCCAACCAACGAATGAAGGGCGGGAGGGGGATGCCTGTCTCCTGCAAGTCTTGAACGCGGGCGCGCGGGCGCGCGCGCCAGGTAAGTAGTATGTCAAATAAAAATAAATGGCCGGCTTGGTATTTTCAAGGGCACTATTACTATTATAATTATGGTTATTATGATTACGATTATTATTATTATTATTATTGTGGATTCGTATTAGTAGTCGTTTTTTTCTTTCTTTCGGGGCGGAGGGGGGTCGTTAAAGTTAAATGTTCGGGACGGACGGATGGGATGGGATGGGATGGATGGATGGACGGACTGATTGATTGATTGATTGATGGATGGATGGATGGATTGAATGGATTGAATGGATGGATGGATGACAGCCACACACCCCCTTCCCCCCTTCCCCCCTCCCTCCGGCTGCACCCGCGCACGCATGCATGTATGCATGCACGCTATCATTAAATGCTGTTCCATCTCCCCGTGTGCTATGTACATACTAGTACTTACAGGAAGACAAGCAAGAAACAAATAAGTAAACAAACAAACAGACAGGAAAAATTCTGCATCATCTCACTCTCTCTCCCACTCTCTTGTCATGTGCTCATCATCTCTTGGTCACCTCTCCCACAGCGGCCATTGTTCCGGTTTAGGTTATGCAGCCGGTTGCTACGCTACTTAGTTATTATGGTACGATTGGGGGTTCGGTCGCGTCGGGGCGATGTTCGGTCGGGGCTTTTGCTCGGTCGGACTGCTGGGTTAGCTGGGTTAGCTGGGTCGCTGGTTGCTGGTTGCTGGGTCCTGTCAGTCCTGTCATGTCCTGTCATGTCCATCCATCCGTCGGTCGGTCGTTGGCCATGAGCAGCCGTGCGGGACTTTATTTGATTGGATTTTAGCGGCGTGGCGTGGCGTGGCGTGGCGTTGCTACGTGTGTATACATGTACAGTCCGTATAGCAGGTAGCATTGATATTAGTAAACTGAAACAAACCTTAACACACGCGACATATAGACGGGCTTTTCCATCCTTTCCGCGTCTGTGTCGTTCCCGCCCTTTTTGTGTGTGTTTCACCCTTTGCGCTGGGTCGGGAGCGCGGAAACTCGGAAGGGTCCCTTTTTTTTTTAATTTTGGATTACGTGTGTTACGTACATGGGTAAAGGGAAAAATTGAGCTTTGGCTTATTCAGTGGTGCTGACCATGGATGAGGGGAAATGGCATGCTATGTAAGATGCTGCCGTGGCTGTCGATCCAATGATCATCACGGTAATACTATGTGTAACACACAAACTCACAAGTGATGAATGACGTCTTCATTATCGACATCCTGGGACATGACACTATGTAAACGTTGATTACGTGGTGGTTGGGTTTGAATCTAACCACCCAAGGGAAGCAAGAATACTACATCTACGTATTTGATTCCCCCCAACAAACAAACTCATGTACATGGATTTCTAACTCGTATACTAAAAACAAACGATACAGGTAACTATGCTACAGGTATCACAATAGTGAACTGTCAAAACACTACTGATCCACCCAAAAAAACGACAAACAAACGTCAAGGTAGCAACTACTCAAACTACTTCTCTACTAAAACGCTAAACACGGTAAAGACAAAAGCCAACATAATCAACATGCTATTTTGGATAAACACTAGTTTCGACGGAAAGGAGCTAACTCGCTCTCCTGGATTGGTCTCTGCAGTCGTTGCAAGTCCATGTCTGTGGCTTGTGGAGGGCTCGTGCAGAATATTGAACGTGATTTCGTAAACAGGAAACGTGGAAATAACGTCGTACGCAGTCCTAGTCATGTATTAGCTTCTGTTGCATGTTTTCTGGGCCCAGATACTCACGATATCGCTACAGGCAATCATGTCTGACGCGCCAGGACCCAATGACGCATCCACACCACAATAGCACTCGTCATATGGCGGGTCCACATCTCCACCCTCGAGTGCACCCGATAGAGCATCCCCATCCGAGGCTGCAGTATAGGGAGTAAGGTTGCCAGTGTCTGTGACTATGGCTTTGCCTTTCCCCTTTGGATCGTGCCATGGCATGGCGGCCTTGTTTGTCCCGCCTCCTGTAAGCCTGTGTTGAACATCGAGTTCAGCTAGTCGTCGAGAAAGTTCATTGCTTCCTGCACCACTCAATGTCTTTTGGCTATTGACAATCTCCATGGCTCTTGTGTATATCTCCTGCAAAATCACTTTGTCCTCCAACAGTTCGTCCATCTTTTTTGTGAATTCATCCATGATATTTTCCTGCCATATGCGACTACCGTGGGCTCTTGCGAAGCGAATAATTGCGTCTCCAGCGTGAATGTCTGCATGGAGATGTTCGTCGTGTATAAAGGTATCAAATGCCTTTAGAAATCGACGTGCATCTGCAGATAAATTTGCCTTGTCAATTTCTGCATACCTGCGGATTCGCATCCAGCCTTCGTCAATTTCGTCGTCGCTTTCGCTAATCTCTTCGCCTGGCTCAAGAGGTCGCTTACTCCACGATCTAAAAAACGTGACGCCCTGTGCGGGTTCCGGTACCACAAATGTCTTTCTTTGTTTCCTTGGGACTTCTTGAATTTCCTCTGGGGGTTTACGTTGCTGAGTTACAGCCGTTGAGTGCTCCGAAACCTGCTTTCTTTTCTGATATTTCAGATGCTTCTCAATTCTGGCAGCACGTTGATACCCATCATCACCTTCCAAATACCGCCGTCTGTCGAATGGTAGGTCTGGGGCGAGTACACGTACATCGCAGGGCTCGTATGTGTGACCACTCGCCCGTTGACGGTGATCGGCTCTAGGATCCGTAACTTCGCTTGCAAATTGATAGTGCTCAACCCCGTTGGCATCAATTCCTCTCGGGGTAAGCTGATAGGAAAAGTATTCGTGCCACGTGTTCAAATGCATTTCGAGTTCGTGCACGTCTTTGAGTTTCTTTCCTCTGGAACAATGCAAGCAGACAGGCTCTGACCGCTCGAGGATTTCGTTTCCGTAGACATAGGTCAGCTTGTAGCGTGGTGTTGCATCCCGAGGGGGAGTGGGGTATGAGCTAGGCGGCTCCATTGTGTTTTTGAGATGTTGGTTGTAGCTGGCGAGGATTGAATCTCCTGTGGTACTGTTCCAGTACATGCTGACCTCGAGACCAATTCCGACTAGCTTGCCCGCTGCTCTCAGTGGCAGAATGATCCTGTCCTCTGGACACTCGAGGATATTCTTATAGGAAGTCGACAGGTGTGTAGCTGTGTCTGTGTCTCTGAGGCCCAGATAGTTGTACATCTCTTGGGCGTCTGCGTGGCTTGTAAAATTCATGCTTATTAGCAATCTGTAAGAGTCATCAACAGTGATTCCCCCTGGATCGGAGGAGATATCCCTGGGGTGCAAAAGAAGTGGACTCATTTCGACAGCAGCTCCTCGAGTCAAGCCTCTATCAGCTCCTCGTAGCATGGCTTCGCGCGCAAAAGAGCCTGTAGCTGGCATGTCAGAAGATGGCGGAATGACAGATACCCTGACGGTACTCGATATCCGCATCAAATTCCGGATTTTGGTGACTGGGCCACGCTCATACTCGTTCTGCGCGACTGTCTGGTCATCCTGCGGGGCAATGGCGTGCACTTCAAGCACGAATGACCCTTTGGCGTTGTCCCGGTCAATCATCTTGTTCAGCCGGTCGTCAGATGGGGGTTTCCACCGAGAACGAAAGTCAAAGTCAGACCTTGTGCGGCTGCTTGTGTTACGTCCGCTCAACAGATCCTCGTGTGCTTGGAGGATTTGGGTTAGATTCCGATCTAGGAAGATTGGTGCTCTTTTTCTCGATAAGTAGTCGTATAATAATATGTTTCCAGAAAACCAGTCTTGCCGTCCTCGCATGCTCTACGACACGGAAACATCAGAGGTGAGATGGACCAACAGCAGGTATCTGAAGGACTTACATGGCGCGTAGTCGCTCAGTTGCATCCTAGGGCAACTGAGAGTCCGAAGTCGAGGCGTGCATTTAGTGGACTAGAAGCACTGCATCGGACCGGGGATGGAGGCCACGCGCGCCACCTACAGTGATTGGCGATGATGGGTATGTGGAGGTCGAGCGGAAGGGCGAGGATGCGGATGAAACAAGGTTGTTGTGGTTCTGGCAACCCCCGTCGCATACCCTTGTACGCGTACGACCCGTCTCGCGATACCGTTCGCGCGCCAGGGGAAAGACACGGCTGGTTGATCCTCTTGGGGTTTAAGCAGACCGAGAGAGTTTTTCTGTCGCGTGTTTTTGGTGCTGATGTTTGTTGGTTTGAAGGGGTTTGCCGGGCGCGACGGCAGCGAGAGAGGACGCGAGGCCGCACGCGCGAGATGACGCTTATGTCGTGGGGACACGCTAAGTAATCGCATGCAACTCGCAGGCTGCAGGCTGCAGACTGAAGCCTTGCCAGATGCTTCGCTCCCACCACACATGCAGCGTCCATGTTGTTGTGTTTAGGGGTCGCGGTGCGAGGTCACGTGCGGGCGGGCACCAAACTGCTTTGGGCCGGTGATCTGGAATGATCTCATGCGCCGCTCTCGGGGTCCGCATGTCTCCCGATTCACTTTCGCAACTCCCACCACCATTCGCTGCATGCCCGCACCATGCTCTGAACGACCCGATGCACTCTAGCTGCTCCATTCCAAGGCCGAAATGCCTTTGTAGGCTCCAATCCTAGCTAACCCATCCCCGGAAGCAGATTCGCAGCGTTACTCGACCCGGACTTGTGCGACATGGCCGCAGCGCTAAAGCGCAAACGATGCGCTGTCTCTTATAAAGAGCCGAGCAGTGACGACGGCCTCTCTGATAGCTCTGGCCACGAGCGAGTCCCTCGAAAACGCACCGTCCCAACTCGCCGATCCACTCGACATGCCCAAGCAGTCGACCAAGTCTCCAGCGGAAGCGAGCATGCTGCACCAGAACCCGCCGCTTCTGCCCAGCGCCAGCCGTCTTCTCGGCATCCGCGTAGACGAGGAAGGCGCAAGGTTTCATACAAGGACATCAGTTCGGACGAAGACGACCGGGCCCCGGATGCCGACTTTGTTGAGGAAGAGCAGGTCATGGCAGTACGCACCAGGTCACGGCCAAGTGCGCCGCCCTCTTCTCTCTCACACAAGACGCGGGGGGCAAAAGGCAGCAAGACTCGGCGTAAAGCTGTCCTGGGCGCACCGCTTGCGCCGAACAAAGAAGCGCATACTGAGCACCAGGTGACAGACATTCCCACGGATGGACACATACCAGTATGTTCATCCACAATGCCCTGAGACGAGTTGCGGAATACTGTGACCAAGCTGGAGATGTCCATCATGCCTCGATACACACGATGAGCGATGCTAATACCTGAGGCTGTAGGCATGGACTTCTCTACCATACCACGTACTTCTCCAGATTTTCGTCTACGCCTCACATCCACTCCACGATGAAAACATGAAACCCACTTCTTCGATAATATGGCTTGTGCAAATGGCGAGAATGTGCTCTGCATTTGCCAAACCCGCGCTAACAGCTCTCTACCGCAATCCGCCCATATTCGCCACTAGGCAGGCGCGGAAAGATCTTGTCCACCACCTCATTGCGCCTCCGCCAGCAGCGTATGATGACTATCGGGTCATGGTAAAGCGACTAGAGCTGGATGCTACGCAGATGACTGCCCTCACGGATCTTGCCAACAGTGTGGCAGACCTTGCTGCTCTCATCCAGTCCCTGACAACACTGCGTGAGATTGACATTTTTGATCCCATGGACAGGCCTCCGTTTCGACCACGGCTTCGGCCACTCCGCCGCTGGGTGTACCCAAGCGAGCTTTTCGACGCCTTACGGCGGACGAGCCTGCGCCTGAGAAGCTGGCGATGGAACAGCACTTTTTGTAGTCAGGGCCCTCTGTGGATGAAGAGTATTCACACAGATGGCGCGTTTCAGAGCCTTCGCGATGTGACGCTCACCAAATTTCACCCTGAAGCTAGCCGAGGCGATAGCGATGGAGTCGAAGACGAACCCACAGCAGAAGAGTTATTAGCATCTGCACTGGCTGTTCTGCCTAATTTGAGGAGCCTGTCATTTGAGACGTGTGGAGTTGTCAGCGGACGCCTGCTACCCCTATTGCCGAGCAACCTCATCAGCCTGAGCATTATCAATTGTGGGGAACTACTCTCGGATGCTCTCCAAGCCTTTTTGGCTGCACATGGCGCGCACCTGGAAGAGTTGGTGCTCAATCACAACCAAGCTCTCGATATGTCCTTTCTGGTCGATCTCAAGCGCTCGTGCCCTAAGCTCGAGGTCTTGAGAATGGACACTACTTACTATAGCTCACTCGCCATGTCGTCTGATAATGAGCCTCTGTACGAAACGCTTCTGGGCGAAAACGAGATTCCATCCTGGCCATGTACGCTTCGAGTGCTGGATCTGCAATACCTACGAAACTGGAACTCGACGTCTGCGGCCAATCTGTTCAGCTCGCTGATCGACTCTGCCGAGGATCTGCCGTGGCTTCAAGAGATTACAATCATAGCAATGGTGGATACCGACTGGCGTCAGCGGGCAGAGTTTAGGCAGACATGGAGCACCAAGTTCAAAAAGGTATTTGCAAGGAGATGGGAGGCGCCAGATGCTCACCTGGTCTCACTACGGGCATTCCGCGAGTGGAAGACACAGCTTGGCGACGAAGAGAGGGTCGATTCTTTCATCGAGGGCGTGTCGGAGCAGCCATCCAGGGAAGGCCAAGCCGACACGGCCAACGACGAGCGTGATAGGAATATCGATGTGGCTTTGGCAGCTTCACGTGCACGCGAGCAGGACGAGGGCTGGGGCTCGAAGCGTCTCCGGTCTCGCTCAAGAGCAGGCATGAGCTACGATGAGGAGTCGGATGAGCAGTCTGGGGCTGAAGAGGGTGCAGCGCCGGCGGACGAGGCGAATGTGTTCGTGCAAGGGCGGTGCCACACGGTGATATTCCGCATCGACAACTTCCGCCCGCGCGAGGAGATCTTCAACGAGGCGGACTTCCTCGACGCGGAGCCCAGCGGAGACGAAGAGTGGAACGGCAACGAGGATCACGAGCATGACGATGGTGGCGGCTATGCGTGGTAGTGGCGGGCGGTCTGGGGGGTCCATGGCGAGATTTCGGCAGGCATGGGCAGACAGCAGCCATGGTGGGAATTGGGCAGGCGTTTGGATGGGCAGTGTGCTGACAGTAGAGATGCGTGTATTAGTAGCGGGCCCTGGTTGGGCCGCGGTTGGGCCGCGGCTTGGGGGAGCGTGGGAATGACGGCGGGGCGCTGTCCCAGCCACGGGCGGACGAGGCATTTTCACTGTGCGCTGGGCCGTGGGTAGCTGTATAGGGAATGCAGCCGCGATGCAAGTCAGCTGGAGGAGGCCGGCGGCGCACATGTGCATGCGTCAGTTGCCGGACTGCGCGTACATGTCCTGGGACTTATGTCGTGCACAGCCTCGCATAGCATGCTAGCCAATCCCCACTACCACCGCTAACCAGGACCACTCCGCCAATGGCGGGCTGCTCTCGTCTCATATAGCCGCTGCTCTGCGAGGCCGTGACGACCTCTCCTTGCCTCTCTCTCCGCCCCCCGCGTCTCCTGGCTCTCTCCACGCCCGCTGCCCTTCGCATTGCATCCCCTCGCTCCACCCCGCATCCCGTCTCGGCCGCGCCGCCATGGCCGTCCCAACGCCCCCAATCCCGCCCGTCTCGCCAGACTCGGGCCCAACCGACCCTACGCTACCTAAGCTCCCTGCAGGCTGGATAGCGCAGTGGGATAACACGTACGTCTTCGTCTTTGCCGCCTGCGCAGACACGAGCTGACGCTGCCCCGCCTCCGCACCATGTGCCCCGCGACAGTGCTAACAGACACGCCAGATCCCGAAAGTACTACTGTATGTTGTCTTGGCCCGCTCACCGTACTTTGTCCTCTAGCTCTAGCGCATGCCCTGACCGGAACGACAGATGTCCAGATCAGCACTGGCGTCTCGCAATGGGAACTGCCTACCAGCGAAGCCCCCATAGGCGCCAGCTCCAACCACAGCACACCCGCGCAACACACGAATCCATACCACACTCCAGACGGCTCCCGAGGCCCAAACGCAGCTGACGGAACACGAGGCATGGGCGACGGTCAGACAGGCGACAGGGGCGGCGGCTTGGGCGTATGAGGCACACTTGGGCATCAATGAGGCTGCGCTGACACCGGGAACAGGGCTTCGCCATGAACGCGCTCATGGGCGGCAACAAGCAAAACAATGGTGGTGGTGGTGGCGGTGCTGGAAACCTCGTTGGCCAGCTCGCAGGTTCATTTCTGGGAGGCGGAAAGCAACATGGAAGTTCTGGTGGCAACTCAGGTGGTGGTGGTAGTGGCGGCGGCGGTGCTGCAGGCCTCGTCGGCCAGCTGGCTAGCGGTTTGCTAGGCGGTGGAAAGCAACATGGAAACTCGTCTGGAGGCCAGCAAGGCGGCAACTCTGGCCATGGATCAAGCGGTGGTGGTGGCGGCGGCGGCCTCGCAGGCATGCTGAGCGGCGCGTTGGGTGGAGGCTCTGTATGTGACTTTGGTTCAAGTATAGTGATGACATGCTGACAAGTTATAGCACAACAAGCCCAACAACGACTACGGCTACAGCAACTCGGGCCCCCCGTCAGGCGGAGCATACACGGGCACCGCGCCGCCATCCTCGTACAACCCTGGCGCTCAGTATGGCAGCGGTGCTCCAAGCCACTCGAGCCACTCATCTACATCTGGACCATCATACGGCCAAGGACATGGCGGCGGCTATGGCTCGCAACAACATACTCCACAGCCGCAGCATGGACACGGCTATGGCTCGCAAGCTGGTTTTGGCGGACAGTCAGGTTATGGTGGACCAGCCCCCAGCTACGGTCAATCACAGTCATCACCAGCCCCCGGTGGTTACGGCCAGCAAGGTACCATCTTTCTTCTCACAGAATGCCACAGTAGAGCTGACAGAATCTAGCTGGTTATGGAGGTCCTGCATACGGCGCACCTGCAGGCCCGTATGGCGGTCCAGGAAACTACGATAACCACCAGCACAACCAGTATGGTGGTGCCCCTACACATCAAAACCAGAACGCATACGGAGGCCAACAGTACCCTCCACCCCCCGGCCATGGGTCCGGCTATGGCGGTCAACAGGGTCACCATGCTCCCCAGCCCGGATGGCAGTAAGCCTCTTGTAACAATGGCGGGACGACAATGTAGGAAATAGCTGGAGGGGTTGTTTGCCATTCTTCATCGCGGGTACGGACTTCGGAAAGGATTCAGCGTGGGACAACTATTCAAGGTATTTTTCTTTCCATGTGTGGATATAGGGGGATACCGTGGCTTTCTCTCTCCCTCTCTCTCTCTCTCTCATTCACTCTCACAAATCATGCGCACTTGTTATTTTTACTCTTCCAAATTGTGTGTAGACTTGAATTACTACTTGTTTTTTGCACTCTTTGAGCAAAAGAAAGAAGCGTTACAGTCTTGTTTTGTGATGTCTGCTCTGGGGTGTTTGCCTCGTGTCTGGTACTCTTCTGTTTGGATACTCTAGATTGCTGATACCTGATGTATCACCTCCCTTGTCTAGCCACATGGATAGGCTGTCTTGTTCATGCTGTCAATATTCATTGACTTGGCCCTCTGCTGCTATGAAGACTTACGAGGCTATCTTTTGCAGTCGTGTGCCTCCCTGCCTTTCTCTTGATGCTTAGCATACCGCGCTCCGCCCGACGCAGAATGCATCACTCAAGCTTACATCCAGTGCAATCTCTACACCAGCGTATCCTCAACCTCTACTTCTCACCCACAAATATGCATTTTTTTTCTTTTCCCCTCATCTCTCACACACATTCCACATCTCCTCACCCAAACATGTCCCTCCCATCTCCACCGCCACCAACAACAACAACCCCCAACACACCACTCCACGCCACAACCCTCCACGCAACACGCACTCTCCCCGCCTCACCCCCACCCAGCACATCCTCTGCATCCGCGCTCCCAACCCAGTTACTCAGCGCAGCGCGCACCCCCCGCGCATCCGGCCCCGGAATCCGGATCCACACGCTGCGGCCCTGCGTCTTCAGAATATCCACTGCAATCGCGCTGCCCATGGTGCCGAGGTAGGTGCGCAGCGCCGCCGTGAGAAGCGGCGAGGCGACCAAGGGCGTCATGTCTTGTTGGGTTGTGGCGCTGGGCGTTTGTAGTTGTGTTTGTGTTTGTGTTTGTGTGCATGTGGATGTGGAAATGCATGTGGAAGTCGAGGCCAAGGCGCTGGGCGTTACGAGAACGAGGTGGAAATATGTCCAGGGGAGGTTGCGCATTGTGCATTGCGAGACGGTGTGGGATTCTTTTTGCTTGCCGGGGTCGTCTGCGTTTTTGCGCTTGCGGTTTTGCCGCGCGGGGCGTGTGGTGGTGGCGTCGGGCATGCATGTGTCTTCTGTGTTGGTGGTTGTGGGAGTGGGAGCGGGAGTGGGAGCAGAGGGGTTTGATGGGGGAGTAGTAGTGTTATTGTTTGTTTTCGACGGCATTGCGGTACATGGTGGCTGTGTATTTTGCGCGGACTGGATCCGGGGAGAGATTGTTGCTGGGTTGTGTTTTGGAGCTTTGTATGCATGCACGCAAGCATCCAAGAGTGCATGGAAGTTGACGCGAAAGTTTTGGCGGGGTTAACTAGCGCGTCTGGGCTTACCTCCGGGATTCTTGCTTGTGCTTGTGACTCAGTCGTGGAGACGCGTTTGTTGGCGAATGACTCGCACGTATATGAGGAATGAATATGTAGAGCACCAGATTATACATGTCAGGCACACAGCGTGGTTTTTGTAACTGTTTATTTTGACTTCATATATACGTCCGCCCAGAATGTCTCTGTCAATTGTACAGAGACATGTACATGTGCTCGTTTCTCCACCCCTCTCTTCGTTTACTACATGCGTGGTGCGGACAAAACTACGACCATTACCACAGCAAATACTTTCGATCCAAGACCAAGAGCGGGATTTTACACCAGAACTACTGAATCTTTCAATTTGATAGTTTTCATGACAAATCAAGCTAGAGGCATGGAGAGTTCCATATCTGAAGCAAGCTAGGATCCACTGATATTCACTAAAAAAAAATGCAAAAAAGCCGCTAGGCCGTGGGTATCATGTATTCCAGATGGAAAACCGAACACCAAACACCATTATAGACCACGTAAAATAGATCCCCAACATTACTGCTTGTCCTTGTCCGCTCCATTCCCGCTACAGGACCCAGCGTTTTCCCCAGGCGGCTCGACAAGTGCCGGAAGATAGTACTGCCAGTCCAGCTTTAGCGGAGCGACAGATAGGTTCTGGTTCATGCCCTCAACAGCTTGTTGAAGTTGTGCCAAGACGGTGAGGATTGTGCCAAATAAACCAAAAAAGTCGCGGTTTGGCTCGATGAGTGTATTCTTGATTGAGTCGAAATCCTGCCGATGCTCATATGCTGCCACCTGAACATCATCCACCTGCTCAGCGATCCGAGACACCTGAGGCACGAGCGAGCTTCTCAACGCCTTGAGCTCGTGGATGTCGTTCTTGATTCGTTGCTCAATCTCGACACGCTTCTCATGGTGTGTGCTCAAAATTGTGCGCAGCTCTTGTACACCCGCTAATCTCTCTGCTTGTATTTCGCGGATATGGCTCTCCAAATCCTTAGTTCTATTTTGCAGCGCGATGAGCGCATCGGCTTTGGCAAAAGAAGACTGATGCAAATTCAGATTTTCGGAGACGGTGTTTTGGAGCGCGTGGAGCACTCTATAGTTTTCGTCCAACTTGCCACTAATGTCCTGAGCCTTGGTCATTGCCATTTTCGCGTTGAGCAAGGCGCACTGAACCTGAACCTGTATTTCCTGGGATGACGATTGGACAACAAGCTGCAGTTTTGTAGAAATTTGGGCGAGCTGCTGCAAGTCCAAGGCGCTGATTGCAAGTGTTTTGAGCTGTTTAGCATGCTGACACAGTTCGTTCAGACTTTCCGTGCGGCTTGGAACCCATGAAATTCGATTGCAGAATTTCTTGAGAGCGGTGATGTCCCGTTGAATTTGTGCTGTGTCTTTCACTAAAGCTTCACTCGTCGGATACGTCTGCGTGAACCAATGGACCATTTTTTGGTGGATCTCGTCGGTACTGATGTTTTGGTAACGGTGTTCTAGATCTCTCAATGCAAACATGATGCTGTCCACTTGCTTTTCCATGGTTTGTGCGTCGGCTGCTTTTTCTGAAATTGCGTGAATTTTTGCTGCGGTCTCTGATTGGAGAGCAGCCATGTTTGCCTTGAGGGTGGCTGCATCTGCAGCGAGCGAATCGAGTTGAGATTGGCCCTTATGGCCGAGGCTGTCCGGTTGTGATTTTGCTTGTAGCTGCTTCGTATGCCATCTTAAAATTGCAATCTCATCTGCATGCGTGTCTAGCTTGTTGTTGATAGTCTGTAACCGCTCTTCGGCCGCTGACTTGAATGGGACAAACTGCTGCCGGAAAAGCTCGGGGACTTGATTTTGTATGACACCGATAACGGTAGAATGTTCGTGAACCTTTTGATCAGTTTCATTAAGATCGTCAGAGAGCGCACCAAGGTTAGTCTGTATATCCTTGATCTGGTCCTCAAGCGCTCTCAAACCGGCGACGGTACGCAGATCCTCTTCTCTGATGGTCGCCGTTGCGCTCTCCATATCCTTGGGCCCGTCCCAAGCGTCGTGGAGAGGCTGCTGTAAAGTCGCAATGCGTTGATCTAGTCGTTCCTCTGCCTCGGTAATCTCTCTGCGTATTACCGCTCTGACATCTTCCGTCTTTCCAATCTCTTCTGTAGCAAATTTTCTTATCATATCCTCAGTGATGGCCTTGGGCTGTGATAATCTCCACTTATTCAACACAGCAATGTCGTTCTCTAATGCTGACATCTTTACTAGAGCTTCGCTTCCCGTCGTAGACTGACTTTGGCCAATTCGATCTATGTCTTGCAGCATGTCAAGTAGCGCTGCTTCTATTGCAGATAGTCGATCTTGCACAGGATTTAGCCTGCTCTTTTCCTGCAATTCCAGCGAGGATTTTTCAAGCGCATTTAGGCGAGAGAGTATCGGTTGGAGGTATTCCGAAAAGTCTTGCTTTGGTTCATTTCCCCTGCGGTTGAGCCGTTCATAGCAATCTTCCATCTTCTTTAACCTGTCGCTGAGTTCATCTCGCTCTTTCTTCAGCTGACATATGTCTAGTTGCTGGGCTTTGAGTTTCGAATCAAGCAAGGTCGTTGTTGCAGCTGGTTTCTCGCTCGGGTTGGACTGTGCCTTATTGGCTATGGCTCTTCGTCTGTCTCTGAGGTGTCGCAGTGATTGCATGCTAGTGCGGGGACCATCGCGGGTGCTTTCAGTTGCATGCTGGCTTGACTCGACCGGACGCGTAGAAGGGGCGGGCGGAGCACTCTGATGTGTAGGCGTCGACCTGCCACTGCCTATACTGGTGGGAGACATGAGGCGAATATTCTGTGCGGGCACTGGGCCGGTGTCATGAGTGGATGGGGTGAGCGATTTGCGCAGCGGGTGGGCATTGTCCTGTCGGGCCGGTCGCGATTCTGGCAGACGGCTTCGTTTGTTGGGAGGGCTGGTGCCGCGAGATCGAGGCTCTGGCGGCCTCTTACCAAGCCGCGCGCTCATCGAGTTGTGTGCAGGTGAGTGAGTTGAGGGTTGGTTGAAAGGTTTCGGCCGCCAACGGATGACTAGGGAGCGTACTTTAAGCACCACGCGTGCATGCACATGAGACGCCAAGACGCAAGGGGTAGCGTGACGGCAGCAAACCTCCTTTGGAGTGAGAGCGGGGAAGGGGCGCGAACCAAAGGCGAAAGAAAGAAGGGGAGAGAGCGAGGGTGAGGGTGTGAGAAAAAGAGAAGGCCAATGGTACTGGAGGTAGGTAAAGTGAGTCTTGGTTGCGGTAACCGAGGGGCTGTCGCGTTGACGCGCCGCATGAAACGGAGTACCAAGTGGCCTGGGCAAAAAGGCGGAACGCAGACGCCTGAACCGTGCGCCGAATGGCTTGGAGCTGCCGTGTGCGCGACGAGCGCGAAATGTTGCTGCTGCCTTCACCCAAGCTCCGAATCACCCACAAGCCACATCACCATGGCCATGGTACGTGCCAGCGACAATGCCCGCGACCGGCAGCGCGCCCACCACTAACACGATGCAGCCCATCACCACCATCGCCGAGAGCAAGGAGCTCCGCGGACTCAACCTCATTGCGGCGCATTCACACATTCGCGGCCTCGGCGTCGACGACGACACGCTCGAGCCCAAGGTCTCGTCGCAGGGGCTGGTGGGCCAGGAAAAGGCACGCAAGGCGGCGGCTGTGATTCTCAAGATGGCGCGCGACGGCAAGATTGCAGGCCGCGCAGTCCTGATCGCGGGCCCGCCGAGCACGGGAAAGACGGCCATTGCCATGGGCATGGCGCAGTCGCTGGGCCCCGACGTGCCCTTCACCATGCTGGCCTCGTCGGAGATCTTCTCGCTGGAGATGTCCAAGACCGAGGCCCTCACACAAGCGTTCCGCAAGTCGATTGGCGTGCGCATCACCGAAGAGAGCGAGGTGATTGAGGGCGAGGTGGTCGAGATACAGATCGACCGCAGCGTCACCGGGGTGAGTGGTGGGCTATGCCGCGCATGGCAGCGGTGCCAACTAACACGGTGTGCAGAGCAACAAGCAGGGCAAGCTTACCATCAAGACAACCGACATGGAAACCGTCTACGACATGGGCACCAAGATGATTGACGGCATGACCAAGGAAAAGGTCATGGCTGGCGACATCATCTCCATCGACAAGGCGTCGGGCAAGATCACCAAGCTCGGCCGCTCGTACACGCGCTCGCGAGACTACGATGCAATGGGAATCGACACAAAGTTTGTACAGTGCCCCGAGGGCGAGCTGCAGCAGCGGCGCGAGGTGGTGCACACGGTCAGCCTGCACGAGATCGACGTCATCAACTCGAGGACACAGGGCTTCCTGGCGCTCTTCTCGGGCGACACGGGCGAGATCCGCAGCGAGGTGCGTGACCAGATCAACACAAAGGTGGCCGAGTGGAAGGAGGAGGGCAAGGCGACCATTGTGCCGGGCGTGCTGTTCATCGACGAAGTTCACATGCTCGACATTGAGTGCTTCTCGTTTATCAACCGCGCGCTCGAGGACGAGCTAGCGCCCATTGTCATCATGGCCAGCAACCGGGGAAACACACAGATACGCGGGACCGACTACAAATCACCACACGGGCTGCCGCTCGACTTTTTGGATCGCGTCGTCATTGTCAGCACGCACGCATACTCGTCGGAAGAGATGCAGCAAATCATCTCGATACGGGCGCAAGAAGAGGAGGTTGATCTGTCTCCGGATGCCCTGGCGTTGCTCACCAAGATTGGCCAGGAGACAGGACTGCGATACGCCAGCAATTTGATCACGACGTCGGACCTGATACGTGGCAAGCGGAACGGCTCTGAAGTGAGCATCGACGACGTACAGCGGAGCTTTGCGCTTTTCTACGACGCCAACCGGAGTGTCAAGGTAGGTGGTGACCAGACCAAGTCGGCTTGGGCTGGACCGTGCTGACACGATCGTAGTTTGTCTCCGAGTCAGAGAAGCGCCTGATTGGCGAGGCGGGCGACGTATCTTTTGCGGTGACGAACGGCGCGGATGCCATGGATGTTTCGTAGACGGCGACGGCGTGGTTTTTGTGCCTTTTATGTGCGGCGTACAAGGGGTCTCGGACGGGGTCTGCATGTAGCGTTTGGGCGCGGGGCTGAGGCGGGCCATGTATAGGTAGAGCCAGAGTAAAAGCACGGGATGCAATACATGGTACAGGCTGCTCGGCCGCTCTAGAACAATGGCCTCGTGCTGGAGTGGGCGTCTTCTGCTGCACACGGCGTGATGAGCTGGGGGGGTAAAGGGGGGGGCGTCGTCATGGCCTCGTTGAGGGTAGCATGCAGCACCCGCAACCTCGGACGGGCTACGCGGCAGATGCGCCACAGTCATGCCCGTGGTGTAGTAGGGCGGAGAGGAAAAGGAAAGGCGGTTGTGTGCGGTGGTGCAAATGAGTGATGACGACGACGCGCTGCTGTTTTGGGTAACGGCTCACGCGAGGCGGGTGATTGTAGACGCACACGGCGCTTCGCACGATAAGGCTCGAGGCAGAGGTCGACCGACACACGACAGTTGGGGGCAGGTGGACAAGTAGAGATTGCAGGGCGACGGGGTGAAGCACTGCAAACACCAGCCACTTCAGCCTCGCGCCGCCGCCTTGGTGTGGAGCCGCATGGGCAATCGGTCGCGTGCCAAAAAGCTTAGCCATGGCAGTGCCTCGCATGAGTGGGCAGCGCTGCTCGTGTGCGCGCTCCACCCGCCTGGATTCGATATCTCGGGGCTTCCAACGGTGCCGATATTCCGGGGTAGCATGCCACAGTCGGGCGTGCGTCATCTTTTCTTTGCACGACAGATCCTCCTGCTGCGCCCCGGCCTGGCTGGCGGCTCTATCTACTGCACCCGGCCCCGTCCCTCCTCCCCGTACTCGTGCTCGTCTTCCCTCGCCCGCCTGCCATTGACGCCCTTTCCCCCCCGTCCGTGTTTGCCACTGCCTGGGCCTGTCCGTTGCTGGTCACAGAGGCACGCGACACCTTTCCTGAATCGTTTGCTGCCCGTCCATCTTCACTCCACCTTCAGCCTTGGGACTCCCCCATTGCCAGTCGAGGCCAGCCTGTTACGCTGTTCTGGCTATCGCCGCCTGCTGCCTTCACCCGTCACACAGTCTCCCGCTTCGCCATGCGTCTGTCAGTGTCGACAGCCGCTGTTGCGGCTGCAGCCCTCTGCGTGTCTTCGCTGGCCGCCCCCACCCCGGACGTGGACTCCTCAGTGAGACATGGATCGGCTTCTCGGATACAAGCGCGCCAGGATACCAAGTACTTCCATGAGCCTGGGTAAGTCATCAACAAGCATGGCCGCCTCGGGACGCAGCTCACAGCCCGCCAGAGGCAGTAGCACGCTCGGCCATTATGACAAACGCTACTTCAAAGGCGTCGTGTCCGACGAAGAGCGGACCGACACGCAGAAGCACATGATCCGTGCCTACTTGAACTTCTTCCGCGAGAATGACATGGACACCTGGATCGCCCACGGAACGTTGCTGGGCTGGTGGTGGAACGGAAAGGTACCCTTCGTGTCCGGCCATTGGGGTCCTGTCTGCTAATGCTTGCACAGCGTCTGCCCTGGGACTTTGATCTCGATACACAAGTCACTGAAGCCACTCTGCAACACCTCGGCAGAGCGTACAACCAAACCAGGTATCCCTACGTCTCTTACGATGGTACAGTGCAGCGAGAATACCTCCTCGATGTCAATCCATGGATCTGGGAGCGCGAGCGTGGCGACGGCGCAAACATCATCGACGCACGGTGGATCGACACGCGTAACGGCCTTTTTATAGATATCACTGGACTGAGCGAGACTCATCCCGAGGACCATCCGGGCGAATGGGTCTGCAAAAACTATCACAGATACCAGACATCGGAACTGTACCCTATGCGGGAGACCATGTTTGAGGGGGTGCCGGCCAAGGTGCCCTACAATTACGACAAGATACTCGTGGACGAGTACAAGGAGAAGGCTTTGATCGTTACCGAGTTTCACGGGTATGTTGCAGTGCTGTCGACACGAGACGAGGGTAGCTAACACGGCTCTAGACACCGATGGGATTCAGAGGTGCGAGAATGGGTTAAATCACAAGAGGTCCTGGACAAGGAAGAAGCAGAGCGGAGGAAGAAACAAGACGAGGCAGCCAAGAAGAAGGCCGAGGAAGCGAAGATGGATTAGTGAGCTAGTCGGCCCTAACATGGGGGAGCTTGTTGCGTACTTTACTTACTACTGGATTACAACTTGAGCATAGCCTGCGCATGGTTACTGGAGCATAGTTTATGATACCCGTTAGGTAGCGGTTGAGCATTGAAAACGAATATATTATCCCTTCAATACGCAGTGTCCTACGGAAAGCCGGGGCAACAGACGGCGAGTGGTGTTGAAGAGGAGTGGCGCCGGAGTTTAGACATGACAAATGCCCGATGGCGACGCAGCACGTCGTGGAAGCCTTGCAGAACGTCACCGAAGCAGCGCATAGTCATGGCTCAGCCACAGGCTGCGGCGTTTGATCTTGATCACTGCTAACCTGGCCACTGACACTAACCATACAGCAGGCCGCATGGAAGCCATATTTAACTCGGCCCGCCTCGTTTCTTCCCCGCTGCATTAACAACTCAACCATGGCAGAAACGGCACCCGCAACCTCCGGCGACGATATCCTAGTCACGCTCACACACCACGGCAAAGCAATCGTCCTACCATTCGCAAAAGATGCCACCATCTCCGCTCTTTCAGAACGCGTCGCGGCGGAGCTCTCTATACCGCCGGAGAATCAAAAGTTCCTCGTTGGCGGCAAAATCGGGCTGCAGAAGCCACCCTTCAAGGATGCTGCGCTGCCGCTCACGGAGCTCGCGACCAAGAAGATAACCCTCATGGGCAGTACCAAGGAAGCGGTATCCTCCCTCAACAACAGCATATCCGCCGCCTCGGCACCCCGCCGACCAGGCCCCATTAAAGCCGCCACCCCAGCGCGAAGTCGAGACTACAAGAAGATACAAGAAGAAGCGCAATACACGTTTCACACACTGCGCCCGCTACCCTACCTCCCCAACCCCGAGCGCTCGCTGCGCTTCCTCGAGCGACTACGTGACGATGCAGGCATCAAAGCCGCGATGCGCACACACAAGTTTAGCGTTCCATTACTCACGGAGATGGATCCTGCCATGCATACAACACAGGAATCGCGCACATTAGGGCTGAACCGGAACAGGGGAGAGGTGATTGAACTGCGCCTGAGAACCGACGCATACGACGGCTACCGCGACTACAAGACGATTCGCAACACCCTATGTCACGAACTCGCGCACAATGTCTGGGGCCCTCACGACCGCAACTTTTGGAATCTGTGCAAGCAAATTGAGCGCGAGGTGGCTCGCGACGACTGGAAGAGCGGGGGCCACAGTGTTGGCAACGAGGAGTTTTATGAACCTACTGGCGCGGAAGAAGTACATGACCATGGAGGCTGGACAGGCGGAGAATTCACCTTGGGCGGTCGAAGTGGGGAGACGGTGGTTAGCAGCGCAAGCGGAGCGAGTGTGAGTGTGGGTGGTATGAGCAGGAGAGAAGTGCTTGCACGGGCGGCGGAAGAGAGACTGAAGAGAACGAAGAAGGCAGAAGAGGAGGCGGATGGGACAGGAAGCTCGTGATCTGGTTAATGCATATACCCTGTGTTTGCGCAACTTACTCGTATATCGACTTGTATGTTCAATTTCTAATACCTTGCGCGCCACGTTTTTGCTGAATAATTCTATACTAGTGTACGCAGTGGCAGTGTTTCCTTGAACCCACCAGTCCCCACTCTTTGTATCTGCGAATACCGAGGTTCCTTTGGTGTCTTTACTGCAGCCAATGATGCAACACGAAGCTAAAAAATTCACTAGTCTCTGCTGTTGTACGATGATCCCATCCCGATCGTAAGACCTTCCTCAGTTCGCCGTCAACTGCATATTAAAAAGTGCAATTTTGAGCACGTAATGCTTGGCCGAAGTGCGGCCGGGCACTTGACTATACCGCTCAGAGGCATTGCTGTGCCCTCCCCTCCCCCACACGCTTTGTGTCGCCAATCTAGATGTATGCTTTCTGTCTATGTATGGACATCTGCCGAGGCATAGCGATGCCAACGGTGCTCTATGACGTGGTCATGGAGGGTCCCTGGGTAACCCTGTATCCATCTGGCAGATCATGGGAGAATTGCTTAGAAATGTAGAGCCTGCGACCTGTTTACTTATATACCGGAGGCATCCGTAGAGCCGGTTCTCTATACACGCCACACCCTGTCCATTTCCCTCAACAAAAGTATCATTTTATTTTTCTTCGTTACCTGGATACCCAGGCACTTGCTTCACGTCTTTTCAACATGGCACCACGACGATACGAAGCAGAGCACAAGGACCCTGCCCCGTTGGGCAAGCCGCTCGACTTTGCCTTTGCCAAGAGAAGTGCGCAAAACCGATTCCTCAAGGGTGCCATGACGGAGCGTCTGTCGTCGTGGGATGCGAAGAAGCTCGAGGCCCGCGGTATCCCGTCCAAGAATCTCGTCAATGTGTACAAGCGATGGGGCGAGGGCCAGTTTGGTGTTATCCTCACGGGCAACGTCATGTTTGAGTACGACCACCTGGAGGCAGCCGGCAACCCCATTATCCCGCGTGACGCAAAGTACGAGGGCGAGCGGTTCGAAATGTTCAAGGAGCTCGCGACACAGGCCAAGAAGCACGGCTCGTTGATTGTTGCCCAAGTGTCTCATCCTGGCCGTCAGGTCCCGGAGAAGCTGCAGAAGAACCCCATTTCGGCGTCTGATGTCCAGCTCGAGGGCAACATTATGGGCATGACGTTTGCGAAGCCGCGCGCTGCCACCGAAGAAGACATCAAGAAGGTGATTGAAGGCTTCGCACACGCAGCAGAGTTCCTGGAAAAGGCCGGCTACGACGGCATACAGCTCCACGGCGCCCACGGCTACCTCCTCGCGCAATTCCTGTCGCCCACCACCAACCAGCGTACCGACAAGTACGGCGGGTCTCTCGAGAACCGCGCGCGCCTCATCACTGAGGTTGGACAGGAGATCCGCAAGCGCACATCGCCCAACTTTGTCCTCGGCATCAAGCTCAACTCAGTCGAGTTCCAGGACAAGGGCTTCGACTCCGAGGAAGCCGGCACGCTGTGCAAGATGCTGGAAGACAACACGTTTGACTTTGTCGAGCTCTCGGGCGGAACTTACCAGCAGACCGCCTTTGTGCACCAGCGCGAATCCACCAAGAAGCGCGAAGCCTTCTTCATTGAGTTTGCCGAGAAAATCACGCCCTCGCTGTCCAAAACACGCACCTACGTCACGGGCGGCTTCAAGACAGTCCCCGCCATGCTCGACGCCCTCAACACAGTCGACGGCGTTGGTATCGCGCGGCCCGCAGCCCAGGAACCGGAGCTTCCGCGCCAAATCATCGCCGGCGAAGTCGACGCCGCTATCAAGCAGCTCACGGGTGAAAACGACTTTGGCACCACCAACCTCGCGGCTGGAACGCAGATTCGGCAGCTGGGTAAAGATCAGCGGCCAATTGACCTGAGTGACGAGGGCAACTTGCAGGCGTTTATGCAGGACGTGCAGAAGTGGATGCAGGCGCTTGGGAGTGATGCAGAGGGAAATATGTATGGCTTTGTGGATATCGAGAGTGTGCCTGGTGTGCCGTATGGAAGTGCAGCGCCGGTTTCGTAGATTTATGCCGAGCGTAGCGAGCGTAGCATAACGTAAAGCAATAGATATATGTATACCCAACCATCGCTGAGAATTCCAAAGCCTCAACATCTATCCCTCCAAAACATCCCCCCCCCCTTTCCACCACAACCCATCCATCCATCCCATCTCTCTACACCTACACACCCTTGACCCTCCCCCTCCCAAACGCCGGCATCCCTCTAAACCCGGTCTCAGCATCCCTCTCCCCACTCACATTGCCCAACCGCCTGCCATACTCCTCACTGTGATTGTAATCCGCAGCCACGCCCGCCACACGCCCAAACCCCACGCCGCCGCCGTAGAGCTCGCGATCAGACCAGTTGCGGCCGGTAAAGGGGCGCGCGTGCCCGGATTGCTTGAGCCATTTTGCCAGGAGCAAGCCGATGGTGGCCCAGGCGGAGGCGAGGACGAGGATGAAGATTGTGAAGAGCATTTGTTCTTGTTCGTCTTCTTTTTTTTCTTTTTTTTGCCAGTGTTTTCTTCGTTGGTTTGTTGCTTGTGGTGATGGAGATGGAGGAGGGAGTGTGGAGTCTTGGACGCGGGAAAGAAGGAAGGGATGATGATGGAGTGAAGGCGAGCAAATATAACAAGGCGGGGGGGGGGGGAAGAAAGATGGGGGAGGGGTAAAAATAAATAAAAATGGCGATTTTATTTCCTTCTTCTTGGTCTTTCTTTCCTTCGCTTCGCTTCTCGCTGTTCGGAAAGAGCACAAAGTACCAAAAGCAGTAAGTAAATGGAAATTGATAATTATGATGATAAAAATTAGTGTTGCAAATCGGGGTATGTAGCAGCAAAGACAATACCAACATACACACATACATACATACATACATACATAGTTACGTGCCCGGAACGGACGGACGGACGGACGGGCGGAAACGAGCGGGAAAACGGATGGAAGCGGGGGTTTGGGATTGGTGTCAGGGTTCAAGTCAGCATGGCGACGCTAGGATGGCTTGGGATGGATGGGGTATAAACATGGGGTAATGGGCGAAAGCTTATTTTTCCTGGTGAGGGGGAGTGGTGGCGAGGTACCTGTTTGTTGGGAAATGTTCAGAGTTTGTGTACAGTAGTACCGTGTGCACTTGGTCCGCTGGATGGGCTGACGTGAAGGACTCGAGCCACGCGTGAGCGAACTCAAAAAGACGAATCATGGTTTTTTTTTTCAACAGCACATCTATCGCTAGTGATGGCTGACTGTACTCAATGGACATGGAGAATCACAGAATTTGTTCAAGGGTATATCGTGCAGTTATGGCAAGACTACATAATCTAACCGTTCAGCACACCGCCATTCTCCACATGCTCCTTGGTCTCAGTCTCCTTCTCCAACGTCTTCTCAGACGAAGTAGCATTCTGCTGCGCACCGACAACCGAGCTTCTTCTGCGCTCGGCCTCGTGCGCCTGCTCCGTGTCGGCATAGTCGATCAGCAGCTCACCGCGCTTGCCATAACGATGCGGCAGCTCGTTGGCAATCTTGACAACGTCGAAAGCGTTTGTCGTGTTGTGGAAGATTTCGTCCATTTCCTCGAGCGAGCGGTATGCGGTTTCAGGGAAGAAGAAGTAGACGGATGGGACCATGGCGGCGTTGATGACGGCAAAGATGATGTAGGTTTGGTAGCCAATGTTGGCAAAGGCGGGCGGTGTGATCATGACGACGAGGAAGTTGAAGATCCAGTCTAGCAAGGTTATTATTTACTATTACATGATTCGTTCAGAAACTTACTGGCTGTGGTGGAGATGGCGTTGGCTGGGGCACGGATGGACAGCGGTGTAATCTCAGCAGGGTACAACCAAGTCATGCCTAGCCATCCAACGGCGAAGAACGAGTTGAAGACAAAGAGGAAGACAGTCTACAGATGTTAGTTTGCGTACATGCATCAAGATACAAAGGACTTACAGCTAGCAATCCCAAGCTGTGACTGCCAATGTTGCTGGTAGCACCCGCCAGCACTGCCATGGACATTGACATGCCTGCTGCACCAAAGATCATCAAAGAGCGACGACCAAACTTTTCAATCGTGAAGATGGCAATCCAACTTGCGATCCAGTACTCAGTACCGTTGCAGGCAGACAAGAGACGACTGAGGAAGGGTGAGAGACCAATCGAGTTCTCAAAGATAGTGGCAGCATAGTAGGTGACGAGGTTGATACCAGAAATCTGGGTAGGGGGTTAGAAGATGTTAGACGAGAACTCCTGAGACAACCTACCTGTTGGAACATCTGGTTGACATAGGCCAAGGCAGTGCGGTGAAAGTTGCGGTTCTTGTTGAACTTGAAGCAGTCGCGGAAACTACCCTGGGACATTTCCGCAATGACATCCTTGACAGCCTGGAACTCTGCCTCAATCTTCTTGTCTGTGGGAGGAAGGTCGCTCAGCGCAGCCAGCACCTCCAAAGCCTCATCCTCTCGACCCTTGAGCACCAACCAACGCGGACTTTCAGGGAGACCTGGGATGAGTGCGAGGATGAACAGAGCCAGGATGATCTGAAAGGCAATGGGAAAGCGCCAGGCGATGCTGCTGGGCTCAAGGAAGGAAAAGCCAAGGTCAAGCCAGTAACTCAGCATGACACCAAAGACAATCAGTGAGCCCTCAATCATGACCATTTGACCTCTGCGATGGGGCTTGGATGTTTCCGACTGCCATGTTGGGACGGTACTGGTGTTCATGCCATTGCCGAAGCCCGTGATCCATCGCCCGACAATGAGCTGGGCGAGTCCATAGGAACAGGTTTGCAGGACAGCACCAACAACCATGATGGCAGAGCCAATGAAGATGGTCTTCTTACGTCCGAGCATATTTCCAAGCCAGATGGTAGCGACAGCGCCGAAGAAGCAGCCGAGCGTGTATGCACCAACTGGGTGGCGTTAGTAATGCATGTCCGTATTGGGCATACAAAAGACTAACCGGTGATGGCCTGGGTCGTCGCAGCATGGCTCTTTGAGCTGCCTGGGGGTGGGTTGACACTGTCGATCTCGGGGAAATACCTGACGAAGGACTTGAGGGTGAGCAAACCACCCATTACACCTTGGTCTGGTGGCGTGTTAGTCGGGAGCAGGGCGAGACCATGTGTGACGGCGTACCATAGCCGAAGAGAGCAAAATCCGTGCCTGCAATGACAGCAATGGCAATGTTGAGCTGGGTGCCCCTGAGGCCGTAAAACTTCTTCATGGTGGCCAGTCAAGTCGAATGACGCGTGTGGACTGGGAACAGGGAACAGGGCCGGGAATAAGGGCCTGGCAGAACAAGCACTCGCTTGAGGATTGGAAGCAGGTTGCAAGGAGGGTTGAGGCATGGCAACGGGCGCGACGGTGGGCTTTTTAATAAAGACGGGGGCTGCGAGAGGCAGTCAATGGAGCATCCCAAGCGCGTTCACGCCCCATGTGGCCAACCCTGGCGGCAAGCAGCATCCCCACAGAATCAGTTGAGGAGATGACGTCTGATGGGCGAGCATGGGTGGATTGCCAACCCCGTGGAGGTTGGCGGGTGGTGGTAAGTTGTCTGGGGCAGCGTATGGCCAGGCCATGTGATTTGTCGTGTCTCGCTCGAGCTACCCCCAGCGACTGTGGAGGGCTAGCCGGATTGCCTCTTTGGGCTAGCCCGGCGCGTGATGATGTCGCCAACGGCTGGTGCTCGTGAGGCTACGCCTCCAACGCCGAGAGATGGCCCGAAGCTTCGGCACATACAAGAAATTGCTTGACGGCTTGCCCAAAGCCGTAGTCCGCCCTGTCCATCGTGCCCCGACGACTACGCCTATGTGCCCACGCCCCCAGGGTGCAGGAAGTTTGGAAGCATGCTAGAAGAAACGCCTACCGGGAGGGGGGCTGAGGTACCCGTCGTGGCTGCATGGTGGCCTCTGGCATGCTGCATGGCCGGGGCTCAGTTGGCACGGGACAGGACAAATTAAGCGTGTGGGACGGGGTTGCTTCGACGTGTGGGGAATGCTTCATCCGTCTAGACTTGCTCGCCCTCACGCGTCTGTTCTGTTCCCATCCCATTTCCTACATAGTCTACTTAAGCATCCCAAGCAAAGCCTAGCGCTAGGGCCCTGTTGCCCCGAGACGAGGCGGCCTACCCTGCCTAGGCAATCCCTCGCACCACCTGCCAAGCCAATGTCTTTTATTTTCTCTCCCTCTCTCTCATCCATACATATGCACACCGGGAATCCAGTAAACAAAATGATACACATCTCTGCCCCAGCCTCGTCACAAAAGCTCAACCTCCGCCTCCCCACAATCGCATCATCATCAGCATGTCCAAGCCTGGCGCCAGCCCTCTGCTGCCATGATATCATCCATCTCCCAGCCCTGCTACGACTCAGGCTGCGAAAAAGAAACGGGTCGCATGACTCCGTCCAGACGCCCATCGGGAATTGCAGGCTCTGCATCCGGCTCACGATACAAGTTGATGTCAAGGCCGGCAAACACTTCAGTGAGCTCAGACACGTCATATTGCGCGCCCTCGTAGCAGGAATGACGCCTGCGCTCTTCTTTGTCGTTTTGTTGATTGGTTTTCTTCTGCACATTTCGTTTCCACAGAACCAACTTGCCTACTCGTCGCACGTTGCGCGTGCATGCGTCGAGCCTCGCGTGCATGGGCTCCACGAGACCCAGGCCACAAAAAATACCCGTCCGCAACTCAGGTACCGAATGCGTATCTAACACTTCGAGCGTCTCGTTCACGTCCTCGGCTGCGTTGTACATGGGCTGCTCGAAAAAACCTGGAGACGTTGGTACAAAGCCTCCACATTCCTCCCCTTCATCTTGCTCGGTTTGCTGCGAAATAGACGAACCCGCATCCGAATCCGTTTCTGTCCCTGTCATTGATGAATTCACATCGCTGCTCCAGCCACTTGCACTATGCGTGCCGTCAGTTGCCGCGTCGTTATCCATATTTGGTAGCATATCCGCCCAAGGACTGCCTGAATGCCCTAACATGCTACCAAGTTGAGTCCTCTATCAACCACAGGGGCATGTTTTCACGTTAGAAACTCTGTTGCATTCATTACTTTGTTGACATTACAAACATGACTACACAATGTGTTTGGTGCACAATGTCTCACAACCGTCTTCAGTGAAGCCCAGAGACAATACAAACCCTCCACGCCCAAATGCCATCATCCCACTAGCCATGTCAACCATAATACTTCCATATGGCTATTATATCCGCATAGCCTTGCTCGCGCTAGGAATTTCCACTTCGTATTCAATCTTCCGCTTGGGGCCCTTTGTTTCTTTTGTCGCCTTCTTCTTGGGCTTCGGTGGTGGTCCGGCAGGGCGTTTGCGCTTGAGATTCGCCAGTGTCTTCTTGAGCGCCTCAGTGTCATCGTCTGACTTGTCTTCAGCTTCGTCACTGCCGCTGTCGTCCTCGTCGCTGTCGCCCTCATCTGGACTCTGGCCTCCTATCCAGTCTTCAAAGTCTTCCATCTCGTCCTCTGACTCGCCCTCAATGTCACTGACATATTCCACTTGTCCCACGCCCTCCTCCATTTCCTCCTCATACTCGTTCTCCTCGTCATCTTCAATGCCATCGTCTAGGTCCTGGTCTCCCTTGAGCTGGCCCTCCTTCTCCAGACCGCGCATGACTCGCTTCCACACATTGGGCTCGACGTTGATCCTATGTTCGAGTCAGTCTCTGATAAACCCTTGTCATGACTACTAGAACGTGTGTTGATGCTCATTAAAAAATTAGAGTGTTGTTGCTGTTTTTGATCCTCATCGTAGGATCTCAGGGTTAAAAAGTTTTAATCATAGCAATGAATGCAAGTCAAAAGAAAGGTATAAACTTACGGTCGGTCACCATATGCGCCACTGCGCAAACGTTCAATCAGCACTCGCTCGATCGCGCGCTCGACCTTTGCCGCAGCAAGTGCCTTGCGTTCTCGGCCTTCTTCTCGTCGGCGGACCTTGGGTGCAAGCCTAGGTACAAGCCTCTCTCCTAGACGCTCGTCTTCCTTAGCTAGCCGCCTTATCCTCAGGTTGACTTGAGTAAGCCGAGTCAGGCGCTGCTTGTTCTTGTGCACCAGAAACTTGGGAAAGTAGGCAAGATGTTGGTCTACGAGCTCAAGTGCCTGAGCATAGTTTTTGGGAAGTTTTATCTTCTCCCACCATTGTGACGGAAGGTGAGCGCGTTCAATCGCCTTGATGTACAGGTACAGATTTCCCGTCGCAGGATCTGAGCGGATCGTGGCATATCGAGAGTTCGCGAGGGGGCAAGATTGCTTTGAGCAGTAGCCTGATACGTTGTGCTCATTTCTGCAAAAGGTTTGATCTTTGGTTGTTTTGAGCTCTGCAGCTAGTCAGTATTCGTTCGCACAAACGCCATGTATAGGGCACCTACTGAAACTACAGAAATCAGTGCCTATGACGGACCACACGAGGTCGTCCGAGGCCATGGTGTCGTGGGCGGCGCGTCGCTGACAGTGCGTTTATCGTCTTGATATTGTGAGTGTAACAACTCGGTCTAGCTTGCGCTTGATTGGCAGGGCACGTGTGCAGGAGGAAAAAACAGCTTCCTCGCTTTGGTGCTGGATGGGTAGGTGGTTTCGCAGGCGCAGGCCAGCGACGATCTCAAGAAATTATTTTAGCGTGCACTGACCACTGCGGAGGCGTGGAACCATTCCATCTTCCGAACCACCAACATGACCAACATGCGCCAAGTCAGCTCGGTATGAGAGCTATCGTCTCTGCTCTCAATCGCACATGCTATCACAACGTGCGCAGTCCTTCAATTCGATTTGTCTGCCGTTATGCGTCGCTCAATGCCTCGCCGACTAAAGCATTGCCCCTCTATCGTGTGCAGCGCACCTTGAGAGAATCGCAGCGTCGTCTGTACCATATAGACCACGGTGAACCCACCATCTATGCGCTCTCTACAGCTTCAGGGCGGGCTGCAATAGCAGTCATCCGTGTCTCTGGCCCAGCATGTAGACAGGTTGGTATCCCTCAGACCATGGCTCATTGTAAAATTGGAAAGTGCTCAACGCTTATAGATTTATCAAGGCCTGTGTCCATCGACTGAATTTCCGAGGCCTAGACACGCGACGCTCCGAAAGTTGTTTACTCCAAATTTGCCACGCTCGCCTGCGACAATTCTTGATTCTGGTGCCCTTGTCCTATACTTTCCAGCACCCAAAACCGTGACTGGCGAAGACATTCTGGAATTTCACGTACATGGCGGCCCAGCAATTGTTCGTGCAGTTCTGGAAGCCATACCGCAATGCGGCATAGCACCAGAAACTCCCGGATCAATGCGCCTGCAAATCCGGTATGCTGAGCCTGGAGAATTCACTCGACGCGCTTTCACCAACAACCGCATGGACTTGCCTCAAATCGAGTCGCTGGGCGAAACTTTGTCAGCTTCTACTGAGCAGCAACGCAAGTTGTCTGTGATGGGCACAACTTCTTCGCTAGCCGTTCGCTACGAGCACTGGCGGAGCCTTCTACTGGGGGCGCGCGGAGAGCTCGAGGCTCTGATCGACTTCTCCGAAGACCAGCATTTTGACGAAACACCAGCAATGCTATGCGCTTCAGTTGCATCCCAAGTCCGCGCCTTGAGCGTGCAAATGGATGCGCACATTGCGAACGCCGTTCGTGGAGAATTACTGCGTAATGGCATCAGTATTGCGCTTCTTGGGGCGCCCAATGCAGGCAAGAGCAGCTTGCTCAATCGAATTGTCGGACGAGATGCTGCAATTGTCTCGCAAGAAGCCGGTACAACACGAGACGTGGTTGAGATAGGATTGGATCTGGGTGGATGGCTCGTCAAGATTGGCGACATGGCTGGTCTACGCCGGGCGGGCCTCATGGGCGGCGACGTGGTTGGAGCTGTAGAACAAGAAGGCATCAGGCGCGCTAAGCAAAGAGCCCTCAAGTCGGACGTCTTGATCGTCGTCCAGGATGCCACGGCTGACATGGACCCTGAGGTCATGGAGACGGCGAAGCAGTGCGTTGACCTTGGCATCAATGTGATAGTTGCTATCAACAAGAGCGATCAGCTGCCTGCTCTCGACACGGCTCGACAAGAATGGAAGCAGAGAATCCGTTCTGCACTCGGCCTTCGCGAGGACCAAGTCTGCTTCATTTCGTGCAAAGAAAGCACCGCTTCGGCCACCGCCAACATCCAGTCCTTCCTCTCCACCTTGCAAGGCACATTCAAGTCGATGACGGCAGCGCTGGTGCCCGACTCGGACCCCGATCCAAGCATATGGCAAGAGTCTTTGGGCGCAACCGAGCGCCAGCGTCTTCTGCTGTCCGAGTGCCTAAGCCATCTTTCCGGATTCCTCACCACGGTCGGCAGCTCGCCTCCTACCGGTGAGGATATATCAAGCGAGGCTGATGAGGTTGATATTGTGGTGGCTGCGGAGTGGCTGCGCTCCGCTGCCGACGCCCTGGGCCGCATTACGGGCCGAGGGGAGAGTGGCGACGTCGAGGAAGTTTTGGGGGTTGTTTTCGAAAAGTAAGTTTCCCACGCACACTCTCTCACTCTCACACACATTCTCCCCTTGTTCTATTTTGCCCTGCATGGCTGTGGCGCAGCAAACGTCGTAGGGCTGTTTTCTTGGTTTCGGCCCCAGCAAAGTGTCGGTCAGACGTTAGTCTTGGAAAGGGAAGAGCTGGGTGGCCTGAATCAAGGCAAGCCACAATGCTGGTAGCTTTGTCTTATCGGTGCTGTATCGATTGTGGCACAGCGCGGATGTGCTGCCGGGGATTTCACGTGGCGCTGTGGCTTGCTTGTGGCTGTAGGCGGTTGAGGCATTTGATGAATAATTTGCTAACATTGCTGCCTGTTTAGGTTCTGCGTGGGAAAGTAACAACGGCAATTCCGAATGCTGTCAAATGTACTTGATTAGGAAACGAAGAATACCGTAAATTTGTGTATGCCCGAGAGATACCGCCAGCCGCATCTTCTTCTATGTAGTCTATGGATTGAGCGGAACTGTTGCCGTGTGAAAAAAAAACCCCCCACTTCCCGTATTGGATAATCTCTTTTGAGAGAAGAACTTCCATAATTGTACATCCAGAGACGAAAGAGAGAGAAAAAAGCAGCAAAAAAGAGATAACGTATTCCACCACCGAGAGTGCCACCCCACCGAGTGTGCCACTTTTTCTTGGCATCGCGAACATCACATATGAAAACTTGAATTACTCTACAC